ATTATTTTGCTTGTTTTAAGGAAAAACTCACTTAATATTGCTTCTTGCTTCTTCTTGAAATTCTTCTTGATTTAGGAATTTTTAGATATTTGGACTAGAAACAAGACAAACAATCTAAGTAAGAAAAGCATTTTTTTGCAGTGTGTGAACTTTTTATTATATAATAAATTACTTGTGCCTCAGAATATGCAAACAAAATGAACACGCTATGGCTTTTACATGAATTTGACACTTCACAATGTGGTCAGTTTGCTGGTTTGTCCATTAATGCCATCCCAATGTGCCCATTCTTGCTATCACATGACTGTTTTTGATGCACATGCTGGAATTTTTTCAGTAAATCTGTTTCCATCATTGTTTATGCAAGTTTTTTCTTATCGGATGTAAAGTCAATCCAACTCAGTTGTGCGCATCTACATTTTTATGTGCATTTTAAAAATTTATGAACATCTTGTCATGTCCTTTACGCCAGTGGTTCTCAACCACATTCATGGAGGACCACCAACACTGCATGTTATGGATGCCTCCTTTGTCTGTCACACCCATATCAGGTCTTACAGTCTCTGGTGTGTTTGGTTAAGGAAACATGGAAGCTATGCAGAGCTGGTGGTCCTCCAGGAACGTGGTTGAGGAACACTGATCTAGAGCACTGTTTCTTAATCACATTCCTAAAGGACCACCAACACTGCATAAATGAGCTGATGATCTGAATCAGGTGTGTTTGGTTAAGGAGACATGGAAAATGTGCAGAGCTGGTGGTGCTCCAGGAACGTGGTTGAGAAACACTGATCTGGAGCACTGTTTCCCAACCATATTCCTGAAGGACCACCAACACTGCATGTTTTGGATGTCTCCCTGGTCTGTCACACCCATTACAGGTATTTTAGTCTCTGTTAAGGAGATAGTGATCTAAATACTGTAGGTGTGATTCTCAACCATTTCTCAACAACATTCCTAAAGGAACACCAACACTCCATGAATGAGCTGATGATCTGAATTTGGTGTGTTTGGTTAAGGAAACCTGGAAAACGTGCAGAGCCTGGTGGTCCTCCAGGAACGTGGTTTAGAAACAGTAATCTAGAGCACTGCTTCTCAACCACATTCCTGAAGGACGAGCAACACTGCATGTTTTGGATGTCTCCTTTGTCTGTCACACCCATTACAGGTCTTTCAGTCTCTGCTAATGAGCCGATGATCTAAATCAGGTGTGTTTGACTAAGGAGACATGGAAAATGTGCAAAGCTGCTGGTCCTCCAGGAACGTGGTTGAGAAACACTGCTTTAAGCAATATTCCAAAATGCACTTAAAGATAGGTGGATGGAAAAATAGCTAGTGATGACAGAATTTCCATTTTTTCGTTCAATACCGCTTTAAAGTTTCCATTTAGCCCTTTCAGGCTCAAATTTAATTTTAGAAACAGGCAAAATCTATGCTTTTAACTGTTGCAAATCAGCAACGCCTGCCTTGAGAGGGTTAAGAAGGTGAAAAAAGTAGAAAAAAAAAACTAATTCAATAAAACTTTATTGAAATTGACAAAAAAATCCTAAAATAATCTAACAAAGCTAAATTAAACACACAAATTAAATAAAACTAAATTAACAAAACTAAAAATTATTTTAAAAAGCAATCAAATAACATTATTATTATTATTATAATCAGTGCATGATTCAACCCTGTATGAATAACTGATCTATAGATGGACGGTATAAAAATATGAAGCTGCTATGCACCATAAACACCATCTATATTTCAATAATGTTTTGTATTTCAAAAATCCTGATGCAATTTCTTAGTATTCATTAAAAACAAACATCCTAAAAAAACACTTCTACAATATAAACACATTTGCAGGCAGCATCACTTCAAACTACAACAAAACAATCTTTTTAAAGAGACAGTTCACCCAAACATAAAAAATGTCCTCAAATGGTTCCAATGAATTTCTTTCTTCTGTTGAACACAAAACAAGATATTCTGAAGAATGCAGTAAAAAAAAAAGCAGTAGCTACGTTTCCATCCTATTTTAATGCGCAGTTTGGATATGCGCATAAAAAGCGGTTGATAGAAACGGCAAGATGTGCATACATTTTTAAATTGCGCATAAAAAAAATGTATGCGCATCATTAAGTAGGAAAAACTTTTTATTCGATAAGAAAACATGCGCATAAACTATAATGGAAACACTGTTACCGAACAAATGCCAGTATGCACTTTTAAAAAATCATGTGATTTTGTTAGAAGAGATCATGTGATGAAAAAAATGTGAATGGACTAACCAGCAGGCTGAGCACATTGAAAAACATCTGAAATGTTGTTGTTGGGTCTTTCTAAAATGCCGTAACCGTTTTAGTATTAGTGTCATTATATTATATTATTAATGACCTCAAGAATTGTCAAGAGCATCTGTGTCGTACACTTTCAAACACCACTGCGTGTTCATTACGTGCCAGCATTGTCTTCTGAGGCACAAGTCATTTATTAAATAAAGAAAAGCTTCACGCAGCAACTCCTACCACACCAAATTCCCTTTTTACTTTGAATATTTGGCGCCAGTTAATCAGGAAGTGATGATTTTGTTCTCTTTAAGTCATTGGATGAAAATGTTGCTTTAGGCTGGCCCTGGCCCGGTTGGAAGAGCTGTGCCAGAGCGCAGTTTTCTTGGGCTTTGGCACAGTACACTTGTAGTCCTGAACTAAACATGAAACGTGCCTTTTAAGGGACTGTTTCATATGGATTTATTAATCATTCCGACTGTTCAATGAACGCAAACTGTCGTAGATTATTAAAGACGCAAACCCATCACTGCACGACAGCTGCGCCTTCAGCAAACCTCCTAATTCCTGCAGCACGAGGACTTCATGATTATTTAGGAGCGTCAAAAGTAGCTGATATGTTCGGCGAAATATTTGACTGTGTGTCACTGTATACCAAACGACTAATGCCTAGTTCAGACTGCGTGATTTTAGCCCCGATTTTGGCTCGCCGACAGGTTTTGAGAAATCACCGACAAATGGCTGAAATCACAGGCAAATCGCTGCTCGTGCACGTGAGTGACAATCACACAGTATGAACTTTCAAAGACATGATCTGAGAGAATCGCCGATGAGTCGCTGATGCCTGCGAGATATTTGGCATGCTAAATATCTGGAGCTGTCGGCGATTCAAATCATGCTGTGTGAATTGAGTTTTGACTGAAAATAACATCAGCGATCGCCTACAGCCAATGAGAGAGCGGCATTCACTTGTGTGTGTATACCTGCTGCAGGCCAGCGGGAGGCTGGGGGAGAAGTTAAAAACGCTCTTTTTCAGTTTATTTGGACCCACGAAATGGAGGAAAAACTAGTGGAGGTTTGACAGGACTCAGGAGCAACCGTGTCTGTTTGACGTTTCATACAGAAAGAAATTAGTTTATTATCAACGTTGAGGAGAAATGGCTAATTCCCTTTAAACCCAGGTGAGCAAACATGTACATGTTCTACCCCATTAAAGGCTTCTTTCACATTATGTAGTTAATAACAAAAAATATACTACGTGTTTTTGGCTGTGAGACGTAGTTTGGACGAAGTTGTCGGCGATTCTTCCTATAGTAAAGTCATGCAATGTGAAAGTCCCTGTCGCCGATCCATCTTGCAGTGTAAACAAAGCAGCGACGAAACGCTAGCCCAGATAGTCAAGCAGTGTGAAAACATCTGTGACACGACTACTTTGAAAATCATGCAGTCTGAACTCGGCATAAAATGATATAACTAAAGTAATCTCTATTGTACTGAGAGAGAGCACTTCTCTTCTGTTAAACTGACCAGCGCATCATCCATGACGGAAGCGTGCTCTGGTTCGGAGGCTATGTGAGTGCAGGCCGTTAGAGGAGAGGGAAGGGGCAACTGTAACACCCTTAATTTGGATCTTTGGATGGAAACATAGCAAGTGACAGCCATAGTCTAGAAACCAAAAATACTATGAAAGCCAACGGCTGTTTTCCCCAACATTCTTCAGTATATCTTCCTTTGTGTTCAATAGAAGAAACTCAAACAATGACTAAACTGACAGAATTTTCGTTTTTTTTGGGGGGGGGGGGTGAACTATCCCTTTAAATCATATATAATCCACATACAAAAAGATAAACATGCAACATTACATTCTAGGGTTGTCACGATACTGGAATTCGGTACCAATCGTCACAGAAATCTGAAAAACGTCCATTTCGTGTTCTTAAACACTGCTGATTTCCCATTGTGTTCATGTGCTCAACAGAAATGACTGTGATTGGCTTTGAAGGTCATCTGTTCACCAAACTTACCACTGTTTGCTGAGTTCAACCACAGATACAGGGACACTGGAGCGTTTCAAAGTCACATCGATCAGCTGGTTTGTCTATAAGCTGACATGCAAGCGATCCGCTGATGAATCACGGCTTTAAAATGCTCCAGTGTCCCTGTATCTACAGTCAGTAAAGAGCTGTGAGTTCGGGAAACTGATGACCTTTACAGCCAATTACAGTCATTTCTGTTAAGAAAGTAAACACAATGGCCAATCAGTGCTGTGTAAGAACGTGCTCAAATGTTAGCGGAAAATGGACGTTTTTAAATTCTCAGTTTCAATCGGTACCAAATTCCAGTATCGTGGCAACCCACATACTGTATGGATGATAGGAAGACCTAGTTGAGTGCTTCTTACTTTATAAAAAGTAGAAATGAACATTATAAACTCCAAAAACAGATTAAATGAGGTTGAATTTGGTAGCTTTGGTTTCTCCCACAGTGTGAGTTCAAATGAAGGCAGCAGAAACCAGAAAATCAACGCCTTTAAATGGTGATAATGCCACATATTGATTAGAAACAGTCTGATTATTAAAAAAATGCATCATATAGTAGAACTAGCTTAAGATTGAGGTCATGTTTGTGTATCACATTTTATAAAATTTTTCACATTTAACAAAAAAAGGCACCGATATGTTGTTATAAACTACATGGATGTGCTTTGTATGATTTATTGAGTTGTTTTTCGGAAGTGTCGTGCTGGTGGTCTTCAGAATTCATACTCTGCCGCACACTGACGAAGATATTCTTCATACAGTTTGCGCTACGGTAAAGATGAGAAATATTAAATGATTAGAAGAAGAAAAAACATATATGCAACCTTCTGATACTATTTTCCTAATCTGGATTCATAAACTGGACTAGAAGATCTGTTCTTTTTAAAAACTATAAAGCTTTAACTTATATTTTCATATCATATTTTTCAATTGAAGATTGAATTGTTTAAATGACGTCCAAAAATGAAACTGAATCTGAGCAACTTGTTAATTTTATGAATGTGGAAAAACAAAGACAAATAATTAAAAACTAACATGGAAAAATCATTTCAAATTGTGAAAAATAAAATACCACCATGTTCTTTTGTTAAATAAAGGCAAAGTTTTGAAGGTTACCATGTTTTTACCATCATATTACAACATTTTGTGATTTTTAATTATTGAAAATATGTTTTGGAATGTTTTTAAAACTATGATCTTACCACATTTACCATGTTCTTAATTAAAAAAAAAAATAATAATAATAAAATAATAAAACAAAAATAATAATAAAAAATAATAATGACAATATATATATATATATATATATATATATATATATATATATATATATAAATGCAACCTTTTGATTCTGGATTCAACTGGACTAGAAGATCTGTTCATTATAAAACTATAAAGCTATAACTTAAATTTTCATACCATATTTTTCAGGTGTTTAAACGACATCCAAAAATGAAACTGGAGCAGAGCAACTTGTTATTTGTGAACGTAAAAAACAAAGACAAATAATGAAGAATTACATTTAAAAATAATTAAAAAAATGTGAAAAATAAAAATACAACCATGTTCTTTTGTAAAATAAATGCCATGTTTTAAATGTTACCATGTTTTTACTGTCCTATTATGACATTTTATGATTTTTTTATTTAATTTAAATTATTGAAAAAGTTCTAACTATATATCTGAAGTAATAACTATGATATTACTACATTTACCACATTTTTACTTAAAAAATATTAAAATGCAGCCTTCTGATTCTGTATGCCATTTTCATTTTCAACCAGACTAAAAGATCTGTTCTTTATAAAAACTTTAAAGCTATAACTTATATTTTCATATCACCTTTTTCAATCTTTTTCTGAAAATCAAATTGTTTAAACAACTTCCAAAAATGAAACTGAATCTGAGCAACTTGTTAATTTGTGAATGTGAAAAACAAAAGACAATTAGTGAAAAATTAACATGGAAAAAAATAAAAAATTGTGAAAAATTAAATAGTTCTTTAGTGAAATAAATGCAAATTCTTTAAAGTTACCATGTTTTTACCACCATATTATTACATTAAACATGCATTTAACATTCTTACACATAAAACATGCCAACACAGCTACTGGTGGACTAATTATTAGTGGTAATACAGCAGATTATTTAGACTATTGAAAGAATGCCACAGAATAAAAAAATAAGCTTAAAGTTCTGGAAGCATTACACTTACTGTACATAGGAAATTTAAGACCTAGGTCATGTTACTTACTGATTTTTTTAAGACCTTAAATAATAATATTGCTAATGCTAAAGTATACCATACCTTCTTGGATTTGACGACATCCTGGATGTAATCGCTGCACTCCACCAGTTTTTTCTTCTCTCTCTTACTCAGCGTCTTACTGCCCTGACTGAACGAGAGTAAAAACATTACAAATCACAGCATAATTACAGTAAGTGGCACAGCTCAAAGATTAAATGCTACTGTTTAATTATAGTATTTGAATAAAGGCGCTTGATGTATTGTACGCAATTTATATATATATATATATATATATATATATATATATATATATATATATATATATATATATATATATATATATATATAGCTAATTTGGCAAATCATTGTATAAAAGTGGTTTGTTCTGTAGACAACCGAAATCATATTGCAATTACTTATTAGACAAATCGCTGATAATACTAAGCTTAAAATGGTTTTAAAAAATGTAAAAACTGCTTTTATTCTAGCTTAAATAAAACAAATTAGACTTTCTGCAGAAGAAAAAATATTATGGGAAATACTGTGTAAGAGTCCTTGCTCTGTTAAACATCATTTGGGAAGTATTTGAAAAAGAAAAAAAAAAATCACTGGAGGGCTAATTATTCTGACTTCAACTGTATGCATGCAAAATACACTCACCGGCCACTTTATTAAGTACACCTTACTAGTACTAGGTCAGACCCCCTTGTTCCTTCAGAACTGACTTAATCCTTCGTGGCATAGTTTCTACAAGGTACTGGAAATATTCCTCAAAGATTTTGGTCCATATTAACTTGATCGCATCCCACAGTTGCTGCAGATTTGTCGGCTGCACATCAATGATGCCAATCTCCCGTTCCACCACATCCCAAACGTGCTCTATTGGATTGAGACCTGGTGACTTTGGAGGCCATTTGAATACAGTGAACTCATTGTCACGTTCAAAAAACCAGTCTGAGATGATTCACGCTTAATGACATGGCGCGCTATCCTGCTGGAAGTAGCCATCAGAAGATGGGTACACTGTGGTCATATAGGGATGGACATGGTCAGCAACAATACTCAGGTAGGCTGTGGCGTTGACATGATGCTCAATTGGTACTAATGGGCCCAAAGTGTGCCAAGAAAATATTCCCCACACCATTACACCACCACCACCAGCCTGAACTGTTGATACATGGCAGGATGGAACCATGCTTTCATGTTATTAACGCCAAATTCTGACCCTACTATCCGAATGTTGCAGCAGAAATCGAAACTCATCAGACCAGGCAACGTTTTTCCAATCTTTTATTGTCCAATTTTGTTGAGCCTGTGCAAATTGTAGCCTAAGATTCCTGATCTTACACAAGAGTGGCACCCAGTGTGGTCTTCTGCTGCTGTAGCCCATCCGCCTCAAGGTTGGACGTGTGTGTTCAGAGATTAGATGCAGACCTCGGTTGTAACGAGTGGTTATTTGAGTTGCTGTTGCCTTTTTTTATCTGCTTGAACCAGTCTGGCCATTTTCCTCAGATATCTGGCATCAACAAGATGCTTGCACCGACAGAACTGCTGCTCACTAGATATTTTCTCTTATTATGAGCATTCTCTGTAAACTTTGTGTGAAAAAAATTCCAGTAGATCAGCAGTTCCTTAAGCACTCAGACCAGCCCGTCTAGCACAAACAACCATGTCACATTCAAAGTCACTTAAATCATCTTTCTTCCCCATTCTGATGCTCGGATTGAACTGCAGCAGATCGTCTTGATCATGTCTACATGCCTAAATGCATCGAGTTGCTTCCATGTGATTGACTGATTAGAAAGTAGTTGGACAGGTGTACCTAATAAAGTGGCAGATGAGTGTATATATAAGCTTGGGGTCAGTAGGATTTTTTAATGTTTTAAAATAAGCTTCTCCTGCTCACTAAGGCTGCATTTATTTCATCAAATATACAGTACAAATTGTTAAATTGTGAAATATTATTGCACTATAAAATAACTGTTCAAAAGTAGTTTATGCTTTAATCTAAATTATTTAAATGATTTTATTGATGAATTTTCAGCTTCACTACTCCAGTCTTCAGAGTCACACGATCCTTCAGAAATCACTCTATTATTAATAATTATTATTATTAAGGGTAATGGTATTAAAAGCAATAATGACTGGAGTAATACTTTCATTTGAAACTACATACAATAAGAAAGCAGTTATTTAAAATTTTAATAAATATTTAACAATTATGATGCCGCCTTGATGAACAGAATAATTTTCTTAAAAAAAAACAAAAAAACAACTGGCCCCAAACTTTTGACCGGTAGTGTATAATTTGTGTACAGTATATCACATGCTAATGTTTAAACCGTAGCATTTAATCTTTGAGCTGTGCCACTTACTGTAATTATAATAATGCAATACTTCACTTTTTTGGAACTAAGATCCTTCATAAAACATGCTAATATGCTGTTTTGCTTCTTTTTCAGGATTGTTTAATAGAATGAATGTTAATAAAAAAAAAGCATTATTTTTTTGTGTGTTTTTACAATCACTTTTGATCAATTTAATGCATTCTTGCCTCTTAAAACTGACCTCAGTGTACTGCACATTGCCTAAAATTGACATTTTTTTATTTTGTAAGTGGAGAAAAATGTCCATGTGCTAACAGCACTGCATTGTGGCAAACATTATTCCAATCTGTATAATTTGTCTTTTATCTACAAAGTCATTGTTTTTTTGCACAGAACCCACTGCACCGTTAAATAAGTAGTAAGAGTACTATGTCTATTCCAAACATTGCCAAAGTGCCAAATAAAAGAGTGTAAATAATAGCAGATTTACAGTGCCCTCTTGTGACGACAAAAGAAAACACTCTTAAACTATTTTTTGCTTACCGTGCAAAATATTTGGCCAGAAATAGCATGAAGTAACACAGAGCCCCAAAGATGAGGACAAACACGATCTGTCCATCTTCAGGAATCCAATCCCACAGATACACCACTATTGCCTAAAACAGAAACACACACACACACGTACACATGTAAACAGATGAAGAAAAATCTAACAGTGATTCAACTGCTATATTAAAGTGGCCTTGTAATGTTTAAGGTTGTAAATATTGTTTTAGAGGAACATTTGAAGCTTCTGAGGTGCATGTGAAGTCAATTTGCTTTTATAGCACTGAAAGCAGCGTCTGCTCAGCCTATGAAGACAATAGACTGGCATTGTGTATATTGTAATATACCCAAGTTGACTTATGTACGAAAATAAAACCGCAATTACTCATGATTCATTTCATGCAGGTTAGAATTGCTCCTTTCATTTGCAGCAGGAGATGACAACAACCCAATTTTTAATGCACTTTGATTTTCAATCTTTGCAGACCTTTTATCACAAACAGCTTTACAGTCTACATAAAGGCAATAACCCCTAAAAAAATCTATAATAGGAGCATGAAACTTCTGAAAACATGAAAAAGAGAGCATACTGTAGAAAAGTAGAGTGTTTTGGCCAATCCTTCTCCTACAAGAGAATCCAGTTCCTCTGGAGCGAAAGTGCTGATGATGAAGCTGAGAATGAAGAGCGAAGGCAGGAAGACTCCCAGAACGCCACACAGGAAGGAATTAAAACGATTGCTTTTGTTGAAGCTCACGTTCATCCTGAGGGAGGATACATATATAAGAAACTGATAAAGATACTACATTAAATAAGTCATGATACTGATCCCGGACAGATGATTTAATATGTTGTGGGTATATTGATGAATGGATGCACAAGAATGAATGAATGAACAGACGGGCATATCGAGGTATGGATGGATGGACAAATAGTCAGATTGTGATGGATAGACAGAAGAATGGATGGATGGATGAACAGACAGATTAATGGATGGAAGGATGAATAGACAAACAAACAGAATGACAAATGGATGAATGGATTGATGGATGGCCAGACAAAACAATGGATAGCTGGATGGACCCAACTATATATGAACTATAAATGGATAGACAGACTGACGATTGGACAGTGGACAGAAGAATGAATGAAAGGTCAGATAGAACATTGGTTGGATGGATGGATGAGTGAATAGACAGACTGACAGATTGTGACAGAAGGATAGACGGCTGTGGACAGAACAATGGATGAATGGACAGAAAGACAGAACAATGGATGGATGGACTCACTGATATAAAGACTAAACTATACTGTAGATGGATGGATGGATAGATAGATGGACAGAAAGACTGATAAATAATGACAGATGGACAGAGAACAGAATGATGGATGGATGGACGGACTGAAAGACAGATTGACAAATGTATGGAGGCCAGACAAAAAGATGAATGGAGGGCTGGATGGATGAATTAATGGAGAGACAGAACAACAGATGGATAAACAGAAAGAACAATGGAAGGATGGACAAATGGATGAATGGATGTAGAGACAGAACCACAGATGGATAGACAGAAAAAAAACAATAGAAGGATAGACAAATGGATGGATGGATGGATGGATAGATATAGAGACAGAACAACAGATGGATGGACAGAAAGAACAATGGAAGGATGGACAAATGGATGGATGGATGGATGTAGAGACAGAACAACGAAGAGATATAAGGAAGGAGAGATGGACAAAATGATAGAATGACAGATGAATGGACAAATACATAGGTGGATGTATGGATGGATGTAGAGACAGAACAACAGATGGATGGACAGAAATAACAATGGAAGGATGGATAAATGGATGGATGGATGGATGGATGGATGGATGGATGGACAAATGATGGAATGACACATGAATGGATGAATACATGGGTGGATGTAGGGAAGGATGTAGAGACAGAACAATAGATGGATAGACAGAAAGAACAATGGAAGGATGGATAAATGGATGGATGGATGGTGGATGGATGGATGGATGGATGGATATAGAGACAGAACAACAAATGGATGGATGGATGGATGGAGAGATGGACAAAATGATAGAATGACAGATGCATGTACAAATACATGGTTGGATGTAGGGATAGATGTAGAGACAGAACAAGAGATGGATGGACAGAAATAAACAATGGATGCAATAGGCCAACTGGACGGATGGTTGGACAGAACAATGAATAAATGGATGGATGAATAGAGAGATAGACAAAGAGATAAAATGACACATGAATAGATGGATGGATGGATGTAGAGACAGAACAACAGATGGATAGACAAAGAACAGTCGAAGGGTGGACAAATGGATAAATGGATGGATGGATAGATGGATGGATGGATGGATGTAGAGGCAGAACAACAGATAGATGGAAAGAAAGGATAATGGATGAATACAAATGGATGGATGGATGGATGGATGGATGGATGTAGAGGCAGAACAACAGATAGATGGAAAGAAAGAATAATGGATGAATACAAATGGATGGATGGATGGATGGATGGATGGATGGATGGACAGAACAATAAATGGATGGATGGAGGGATGAATGCATAGGCAAAATGATAGATTTACATGATTGGATGAAAACATGGGTGGATGGAAGGATGTAGAGACAGTACAACAGATGGATAGACAAAGAAGAATGGATGGATGGACAAATGAATGGATGGATGGATGTAGAGACAGAACAACAGATGGATGGACAGAAAGAAGAATGGATGGAATGATGGAATAATAGAATGAAGGAAGGATTGTTGGACAGACAGAACGAAAGATGATGAATTGACTCATGGACAGACAGAAGACAGAAGGACAGACAGAGAGACAAACAGATCTGTAGATGAACTGAAGTGTACCGGTCCTGCTCCAGTGTTTGGTTGATAGTAGAGACGATCAGGTTACAGTCCTTCTCCAGCTGGTCAAGTGTTTTCTGCACAGCCTGATTTATGCTCTTCTCAATGGTCTCACACACCTCATCAATCTGGTTGATGCATCTGCTGGGCTGCACACACAAATAAAACAAAGATATCATTTTAACTACACTTTATCAACTCTCTATAGCAGCAGCGATGTCAAATAAAGCTTTATTGAGCCAGACCATTCAAAACAAACAACTATAAGCCATACCCATCTTTTTCCCAGGCAACCTTAGTAAACTATAGGAGTTTAACTGGTTTTAAGAGAGTTTAGCTTCTGCAAACAGTCAACAATATATTTGTTTAAAGGTTAAATCAATTATTTGTAATGACAGGGTAAAGTTATTAGGGCTCACTTCTCAAAAAATGACCAATAGAAGACCACAAACAACACCAAAAAGCTAAGATATTATGGACAGGTAAAATATTGTATAGGTATATACACATACATATAAGGGGACGGCCTTTTCTTGATGGTTTCACTTCTATTTAAAGCGTATTTTTATTTCTTAAAATAAGCTTGAAAAGTTTTCTGTAGCAGGGTGGTGCTGACGTCACAGGCGAGCGCCCCGAGGGCAGTGTAGTCCGTTTATAGCCTAATTTTAGCTTGTCAGTTCTTGCGTTTGCATTTAAGATCCAAAAGTGCTGAAATTGTCGTGTGAGGATTATCCAGCTGGACAAAACATGCAAGTGTAATAAACAGTGTTTGAACACAGAGCTTATAATTTGCAATCTTCGAAAAGCCTATGGGAAAGTCCTATAAGGATTTTATCGAGGGAGGGAACCAGTTTTATGCTAGCAGCCGATTAGCCTACAAGGTGACGTCATAGTTCCTCCCAAGTGTGCCGCAAGCCTACGTTTGAGTGAGGGTCTCGGCCGTTAGATCGCCCCCTGGGGGCTGGCTGCAGTACAAGTCATAAAGCCTGCCTCCTCCGTGTTAATGAAGGAGACTTGAGCCCAAATTTAAAAAAATATTACACTTGCAATAAAATGTCCCGAAAGATAGTTCTGGTCGATTAAGGCACTGGTTATTGTGCTGAAATAGGTGCAGATCTTCATTTTTGTAAACAGTTTGTTTTTAGCAGTAATTTAATGCTGGGCGTGTCATCGTGATTGACAGCTGTGATTGACAGTTTCTCAAAGCGCGGCGTCTGAGCTTCGGCAGGAGACTGAAGTAGACTGAAATGTTATTATTCGATTTCTGTGTTATTATAAACTATAGTTTCTGACATACATGATCTGGTGGAACACTGTTTATTCGCTAAGTTCAGGGCTTTTTTCGGGCTTTATTAGTTTGCTGATACACGCCTAGCCACCCAGATAGCAAAACACAGTTCCGGCTAGATTCTCGCCTGCCGGAGACTTATCTCTTAGAGCTCAGACTGACTAATGTTACCTCTGCTGGACCTACTCCGGATGCCTAGACTCACTACCCAATTCCAGCCCGAGTCAATCGAGCCAGATGCGGCGGCCGAGCGAGCAGGCGCTGCCGCATGCGAGCCGGAATCAGCCCGCGACGCCGCGAGTAAGTTATGTGTTGCGGCCTGGAGCTGGCGCGATTGAATATATAAAACCCTCATATTTGTTAACGTTATTACATCCATTTGTGTTGATATGACAGCAAACGCATGCTGAGAAGTTCGGGGGGCGTAGTTGATTTTACATAAAGCGTTTGATTGGAAGCTCGACTCTGCTCATTTTCGCGGCTCCTCCTCTGGCTCCATCAGACAGTCCTTCTGCGCATGTCTGGCTCCAATTTCAGCAGTCTTTTGCGACAGTTTGTGCCCGTCAAGCAGGCGTTTTGCCCTCAAAGCGTTCAATGGGAAAAGGGGCTGTCGCGTCGTCCATATTTTTTACAGTCATTGGTTCCTCCACTCTATTGTTTGATCATATTTGCTGCCTATTTCGAACTTACGCCAGTTTTTGACCACGTTTTTGGATTGCTTTTTGTACCAGACACTTCTGTTTGTGCCTGTTTGCCTTAAATATAATCTTATTTTACCTGCAATTGGATCCTTGTCTCTGTTGTTCCTCACTTTGATCCCTGCATGTGACATGATGCTGAAAAATCAGCTTTGCCATTAGCATTAATTACACTCTAATATGTGTTAAAGTGCAAACTGGCATATTAAATTAGAATTAAAAATAATAATACCATCTGACCCAAATTGAATACATATTTGCATAATTACTGTAATTATCAAATCCTCTGAGCTGTTCACATGCTCGAACTAGGCCAGCAGGGACTCAAACCAGCCACCTTCTTGCTGTGAGGCGACAGTGCTAACCACTAAGCCTCTGTGCCACCCATCTTTAAAGTCACTTCTGATCAATTGAATGCATTTTGAAAAAACTAAATCTTACTGACCACAGTATATAATGCATTTTCTAAAATCAGCATTAACTATTTATCCCAAAGACGCATCTTAATCAGCCAGATTTCTCTGAAGTTGGGCTTTTAAGAGAAGCGTCCGAGTCCGGTTTGAGCTTCTCTGCTGAACTAATTATTGTAAATGCGGCAGAGACACATAAATCCATTTCCTCTGACACAGCAGCGCAGAAGGAGCAGGCGTCCATTACTCATGTTTGATTTCCTGCTCTAGGAGGAAAAACCGTAGACGTTAAAGCAGTCTCTTACTTTTTGAGGGTTGGGGATGTATATCGTGGGCATTTCGAAGCCACATTTGTTGAGTCCAGGTCTCCTGCACAGCTCTTGAACAATCTGCATCATCACTCGCTGTGGGAAAACAAACAACATCATGTATAAGACATTTGATTAAAGATGATCTAATGCTACATTCATAAAAAGATCATTACATGTTATGGCTTGTTTTATTTATACTGTACTGTATGTGTACCTGAAAGTCCAGATTTACTTTTATTTTGTCATTTAAATATAAGACTACTAAAGTTAAAGGGATAGTTCACCCTCTCCCTTTATTTGTTCCAAAGCCTTCATGACTTTCTTTCTTATGTTGAACACTAAAGAAGATATTTTGAAGGAAGCTAATAACCTGTAACCATTGACTTCCATAGTATATGTTTTTCTTAGTATTAAAGATATTTTGACGAAAGCTGAAAACCTGTAGGGCGTCACGGTGGCACAATCCCCTCACAGCAAGAAGGGCGTTGGTTTGAGCCCCGGCTGGATCAGATGGCATTTCTGTGTGGAGTTTGCATGTACTCCCCATGGGCATGGGTTTCCACAGGGTGCTCCAGTTTCCCACACAAGTTCGAAAAGACATGCGGTATAGGTGAATTGGCTAGGCTAAATTGTCTGTAGTGTATGTGTGTGAATGAGAGTGTGTGTTTCCCAGTGATTGGTTGCAGCTGGAAGGGCATCCGCTGCGTAAAACATATGCTGGATGAATTGGTGGTTCACAATACACTGTGGCGACCCTAGATTAATAAAGGGACTATGCTGAAAAGAAAATGAATGAATGAATGAATGAATGAATGAATGAAAACCTGTAACCCTTGACTTCCGCAGTATTTGTTTCTCCTACTATGGAAATCAATGATTACAGGTTTCCAGCTTTCTTCAAAATATCTTCTTTTGTGTCTAACAGAGGAAGGAATCTCATAAAGATCCACTTGAGGGTCAGAAATAGGGGTACATTTAAATTTTTGGGTGAACTATCTCTTTAAATTGATTTGAATTATAAATAATTGTCATGTTTCGAGGCAAGACACTGCTGGTCAATAGGGTAAACAAATGAAAAGTTTTACAAAGTTGATTGAATACTTTAAGAATTGCGCACAGTTTTTCTAAGTGTTGTGGTAGAATATGCAAATGAGACGTTTCAAAAATCTGAACATTCATAAATCAAAACAATTCAGAAAATACTGCAAAAAGCTTGTTTTATACACATTTTTTTTTTTAAATCAAACGCTATATACAGTACATAATCAGCAGTGCCAGACGGAATCAGCGGACGTTTTTTGCTATTTCTGCTGAGAATTTTGGTAAAAATCTGCAGATTTCTGCGGAATTATTTTGAGAGTATCATAACTTAAACCTTAATGTATGAAATAAAAAATAATATCTTTTTTACTTTCATTTAATGTTTAAATTGCATAACAGGTTAACTTTATTTGGTAAACAAAGCAAGTCTCTCATATAATATATCTACTAAAAGACAGAAAATATTACTTTACAAACTGCATTGTACATAAATCAGATGAACATTTTTATATTAGTCAATAATATTACTGTAATTAATAAAAAAACTGAATAAAAATAGATTTACACACATTTTACATAAACAGAATTAATTGTAGGATAAAAATCTGCAAAAATCTGTGGAATTCTGCATGCGCAGATTCCGTGTGGGCCTAATAATCAGGTATGTATGAATATATTCCTCTGGAACCCCCCCTCCCTCCAAAATACAGATAAGAATAAAACTGAAGTTTGGTGTATGTAAGTGCTGTTAAAGTGGAGATTGTCTTTAAAATGTCTTTATATTCTGCAATATTATGATTGACATCCACACATACACAAATTTTTTTTTTTTTAAATCACTGAAAGAAACGCTTAAAAGGATATCTCTAATGTTTTCTTTAGATATGACTGAAGAAATAAACACTTGAATTGTTGACAAATTGTTGTGTTTTGCCTGCAGTGTCTCATCTTAAAGGGATAGTTCACCCTAAAATTTTTATTTACTAACTATTTACTCTCTCTCAAGTGGTTATAAACCTTAACAATATCACAAAGATATTTTGATGTAAACTGCAAACCTGTAACCATCGACTTCTATAGTAGAAAAAAGCAAATACGATGAAAGTCAATGGTTACAGGTTTTCAGCATTCTTCAAAATTTTGTGTTCAACAGTGGGAAAGAGACTAGAAAGAAACAAGTAAAGATTGAGTAAATGATTAAATAATTCAAATCTTTGGGTGAACTATCCCTTTATGGGCAGTGAAGACACACTTATTTACCTGTCTGTCTGTTTCTTTCCCGGCTTCATCCGCTTTGCTCAGATAAAAGCGTAGTTTATCTCCACACTTCTCACTCAGCTTCTCAACAATGTTTAATGTCCGCTTGCACAGTGCCTGGCCCATCGGGTCAAAAAACACGAAGATGAGGTCCGCCTGCTCACCTGAAAGCACACATCGATATGTGAAATGAGAGGCATTATTCTTTTAACTTAAAAATGATTTTTGTTACAAAACATTTACTGTCATTTAAATGCATGATGCAAAAACAAAATGCCAGTGACATTTGTCCTTATTAACATTAAAAAGTGATGAAAGGCTAGGCAAGTTTATTTATATAGCACATTTCATACACAGTGGCTGTCCAAAGTGCTTTACATAAACAAGAATAAAAGACACAAGTATAAGAAAATAAAAACAAATAATAAAAATGATTAAAAAAACAGATAAAAAAGATAAATGTGTTAAATAGGTTAAAAAATAATGAAAAAGAAAATAAAAAAATAATAGTGCGATCTGTCGGACGTAGTACCGTGCTCATTCAGTAAAGGCACAGCTAAACAAGATGTGTTTTAAGTCTTGATTTGAATGTGCCTAATGTTGGAGCACATCTGATCATTTCTGGAAGCTGATTTCAGCAGCGAAGGCAAAGTTAATTGGTTTGGCCAATCCAGTTTGATTCCTGTGTTAAATTAAAATGAGAAGTAGCAACTGACAAACTGAAGACTACATTTACAGATTAAGTCAGAATTTTTAGCCCTCCTGTGATTTTGTTTTCTTTCTCAAATATTTCCCAAATGGTGTTTAACAGAGCAAGGAATTCTTCACAGTATTTCCTATAATATTTTTTCTTCTGCATAAAGTCTTATTTGTTTTATTTCATCTAGAATAAAAGCAGTTTTTAATTTTTTAAAAAACATTTAAGGTCAATATTATTAGCTTCCTTAAGCAATATTTTTACAGATTGTCTACGAAACAAATCATCGTTATACAATGACTTGCCTAATTACCCTAACTTGCCTAATTAACCTAGTAAAGCCTTTAAATGTCACTTTAAGCTGTCTTGAAATATATCTAGTAAAATATTATTTACTGTCATCGTGGCAAAGTTAAAATAAATCAGTTATTAGAAACTAGTTATTAAAACTATTATGTTTAGAAATGTGTTAATAAAAAAATTTCCGTTAAACAGAAATTGAGAATAAAATATACAGGAGGGCAAAAAATTCAGGCGGGCTAATAATTCACTTCAACTGTATATACCTTTTTTCTTTTTTCTTTTTTTTACAAAAGAAACTACATAATTATTCTAACCTCTCCTTAAAATACATATAAACAATAGGTTATCATTATTATTTAAATAGCTAATATTTTTTTCAAGGCAAATAGTAAAAAACACAGTTTTTTAAAATGATTTGGAGATCATACAATTTTTTAATATGAATATAATCATATGAATCTCATTCTAAATATATGAACTATTGTTAAACAGAATGACTTTTTTGGTATGTTTAACTTAAACTTATTTCAGTCAGTTGCCCAGTCAACATATAATATTTAACTTTTATTTGTAACATTTTTAGTTTTAGAAAAAAACATCAACACTTGTATGCAAAGCTATAATACAGTACATTGTGAAAAACAGGGCTTCCCAAATTTTTCAGACCATGACCCCCAAAATAACAATTCTAGTTATTGCCGACCCCCACTATCCTCGGAAGAGGTTATAAATATATAAATATTGCACACAACGATGCACACACACCAAAAAGCCTGTATAAACATGAGCATAATGACAACACAAAGTGCAACAGTCTAAAACAAAATGCTTTTTAAAGTCATTTATTTATTTGTTTAATTTAATATTAATAAAGCTTTTTATCTGCACATTGTTTTTTAATATAATTATTAAATACAATTTTAATCTTCTGAAGGTTATAGATAAAATATGGTAATTCTAACAATTTAATAAAACAACCAAACGACCCCACTTTGAGAACCACTGGCCTAAAATACAAAAAGCATTAAAAACTCTCCTTAACCAAGAAAATTGCTCATTAAAAAGTTACTTCGACTACCCAGAGAGTTCATTTTAATCCATATCATGAGAAGTTACTTAAATACAAATGCAAATGCAATATATGAAACCTCAGAGAACTACCCTGCAGAAGGTTTTTTTGTCCAAAAATGATGATATATAGCCTTACCAAAAGAAGTGATGGCGCTGTTGACGTCAAAAGGGTACACCATATCTCCATCCACCAGCCCTGGAGTGTCCACGAACGTCACCAGGCTGAATTTCTTCTGTTTAGATGTGGAAATCTCAGCGCTCAGGTAATCCGTGACACCTACAATATAATACAACTGCAGGCATTTATAAAACTGCGCGGAGAGTCATTATTAGAACGGATTCATCACGTGCTTTAGCACAAAATAAATTAAACATCGACTAGAATTCAGATAGAATTCGAATTAGCATTAGAATTAGCACTGACAATAATGTTAAACTAAACTGAACTTTATCTGTTTCAGTTTACTAAAACCACATTTCTGTTAAGCTGCTTGACATGATCTCTGTAAAAGCACTATAGAAATAAAGATGAATCAAACTGAATTAGAATTAGCATAATCCCACCTTGCTGACCACGACCCTTTGGGTGGTCTGTTGTTAAGGTTACCCACAACAGCTCTTCAACTGGCAGCTTTAAGGTGCTGCCACATAAAGCTAGCCAGTGAAGAACGACTGTGAAGTAACGCCAGCCAGACAATACCGACAAGACATTTGAAAACATTTACCATGTTTCAAAACAATGAAATCCACATGGTCTAAAATAAATCTGAATGCTTCATTAAACAGTGCTCCAGAATGATATTTGAGAGCAGTGCCGCTAAAATAATACAGATGGCAGCACCAACACCTGATTTTGTAGAGCTGTGTATGTGCTAATACTACTAGGGTACTGGCATATTCAATATGCTATACTGTTTTTGAGTACTGCGATAATAATATTTCTTGCTATTTAACATTTCCCTAAAAAAATTTAATTTTTAGAAGCTACGGTAATCCTTTATAATAACTACACACTATGAATCATTTATTAAGCATTAGCAAATAGTGAATTCATTATCTGTTAAGTAACAAACTCCCAAAACATTCAATTCATGTGTCATTTGTGTCGGAGGATGTCTGACCGCGTTTTTGCATTGAAATGTGAATCACTCGGGCTTGATGCTTCATGCGCATCTGGTGTGAACGTACCATGAGAGGATGCATCTTTCCATAACTGCAGGTGGCATTGTTATTCCACAATGGTAAACCAGAACTAGTACTACACACACAAAGCCATAAACAAAGCAGCCTTTACATACTATTTTCACAGTGTTTCTTGTTCACCACAGAGGGGTTCGTTAATGCAAATGCAATGTGTCTAATAATCTGATAATCCATATAGTTTACAAATAGTTAAGAAATGTGAGCAAGTCCAGAAAACTTCCTTAAATCTCCTCTTGACTTACTGTTTGGTTAGCTTTGTCTATTCAGTTTCTATTCTCATGCTCGGATTTGTAGCTGCACAGCCAATCAGAGCGCTCTCATTCACTGGTGGCTGTCACTGATTCTACATGCTGAATCGGGCAAACTTCGACATGAGCCTGATGAAAGGCAACATGTGGAACATATTGCAGACTAACAAGCTAACAAACAAACTAGTTTGACAGAAGCTTAATGGTGGCCCGATGATGCTCATTCTGACTTTGGTGAGATTGGTAGTGTATCTCACTCACAACGGAAAGTTTTCGTTTGTCAAACTGGTAGGGGCAGAAATGCAACCTTTTAGAAAATGTAGTTTCATTAGCAGGAAGTAAAGTCACAAAATTGAGGCCTGTGTCACTCCTGATTTCCTTGAATCTTCACAGATTCTCTTGTCTCATCAAATGTATCGTCATCTGCGGATGGTTGACACTGAAGCTCTTTCACACAGTGGCTGCAGGTGTGCTCGATCTTACACAAACCCGTCTTGTTCTGTCTCATCAACATTCAGCAAAGGTGCACCAACACACCCTCAAATCTGTCTGTCCACCTCTTGCTGTCTCTCAAACGCTCGCTCTTTCTCTTTACTAAACAGTACAAACTACAGGAATACGAGTGTAAAATATTATTGCTCAGCAGTTACTCTTTTTGTATGAACTCTTTAAAAAACACACAAGGAAAATGTTGACATTAAATTCAGTATTTTACAATATAATACATGAAGTGTTGAGATGCAAAAAACTCTAAGTGATGTCTGAAATGTCCATAGAAAATTAAAAAAATGTTCAGTCTCCTTTGTTTATGTTGAGTTATTTAATATAATATTTTAAATACCATGAAAAGGGATTATTATTTTCTATAAACGTAATATTAAAGAACTTACACACACAAGCTAGAAAGAAATGCTCATTTAAAAGACCATAAAACCCCCCACTTTCGGTTCAGGTCTACGTCAGAATTTTTTCAAAAGATGCATCATAATGGGCGTGGAGCTCTGCGAGCAAAGGGCAGGGATGGGCGTGGCCAGCAGAGCAGGGGAGCGAACAACTGTTGTCAGTCGGCTCACAAAATGAGACACGAACCGTGAGGAGGCGCATGATTTTATAGTTTACAAAGTTAAAATGCAAAGAAATAAACAGTAATTTAATGCCCTGCTACATTTGTTATTCGTAATTTCATATACAGATAACCACAATTTATATCATTATAAAGATAATCGTGTTCATATAAACACTATGAATGAGGACTTTTCCATCAATCCCTGGGTCTGAATGCAGACTCAGTGCAGCAGGTCTCTTGCCCTGTCTATTTTAACAATTAGCCCGGTTGGTAATCTGGAGGATTTAGGCAAAAACAGCAGCAAACTCCATGGATCATGGAAACAAACACAAGTCTGTGCCGCAAGTCTGTGGACGCGGTCTAACCCAGTCATCAAAGTGTCTCACAGCTTGGCACTGGCAGGTCTGCCTTGCCTTCAGAAAGCACGCGCAGTCATGAATAATTAAGAAGCCAGCTCTTCTCATAGTAGAGCTGCACGATTCTGGCTAAAATGAGAATCGCGATTTTTTTGCATATAATAAAGATCACGATTTTCTCACGATTCTGTAGATGTAAAATAAAGGTATGGTAAAAACAAGCATATGGCACAACATCGATAATAATATTATGTGTAGGTCTACTGGTATCTATAAATAATTCTATTCTACTTATAATAATTCTGATGTTGAATTATTATGTTTGAGATATATGCTTGCAATCTGTCATATTAGACAAATTTATTCACTGGTAAAATCAGACATTTGCCATTATCAGATTATATTCAACATTATGTAGACTACAGTAGTCAAACTGACATTGTAAACATTTATTTTCATGCACAACTGTGGGTTCGCTATGAACGAAAAAAAAAACATATCAAATGCTTGTCACAATCATAACTCTAAAATGCGATATGATTATTTAAATGAAGTGCACACTTTCGGTTTCATTTTGACAGCTAAGTGCTTGTTCATACTTCGCGCGCGGCTCCCAAACCATCACTCTGTGCCACAAACAGAATATTTACAACTGTATTACCTGTTACTCGCAACATATGCAGGTTCTGTTTACTAAAGTAGACGCACACGCGTCTATCATTAAGTAGATGTGATAACAGTTCACGGTCAGCAGCTCACGTCACGTGTGATTTCCCGGCCGCGAAAACATTATTATATGAAGACAAAAATTTTTAGGTGAATTATACCTTATAAATACAGTATGTGACTCATTCAACATCATTTGGAGGTGTCAATGTCACTGAGCAACGTATGTGAAACAATGAAAAGACTCGTGCAGCCGCCTTTTCTTCTCTCCTGAACTCGAAAATATGATTGGCAGAATCGTGGAAATGCTGGATTAAGATCGTCTAGGGGGTCGAATCGAGATCGCGATCTTTTAACGATTAATTGTGCAGCTCTATCTCATAGGATAACAAAACTCAGGTACGAATAATAATGAGAAACCGACGCGTCTGACATCTTTGCACTTGCAGTTTTGCGCTACATCACTGATTTTGATTCCGCCCCAAAAATCATTTTAAAACCGGAAGCTGAAATTAGTAGACAAAAGCTCAAAATTATCCACACACACAAATCTGTTAAAATCTCAAAAAAAAGTACTCCAGGGTTTCTTTTTTATAGATGAATTATAGATGGCATTTAAAGGTTTTTAATAAAAATAAAAAATGCTGCAGGTTTTTTTTTGTTTTGATAAATTTCTTTACTTTTAAAAAAAAAAAAACATGTAAAAAAGTAAAAATATTACACAAACACACACACACACACACACACACACACACACACTGTAATTTAGAGATTTTTTTCATATGTTGTCATTGAAAACCAGGCTTCTTTCACCAAATATTTCTTAAAGTTAAAATAACGGTATTGTGTTATCTAGAAAGGAATATAAACATGTAATTTTTTAACTTTATATTACTTTACTATGACTTTAGAAAATTTATTATATTTCCTTACCAAATAAAAATGATGCAATCTTCCTGAACTCTAACTTTTAAATGGTAATGAACCAGCTGCTCTCATTCTGGGGCGCTATGTCATGAAAATCAAATGCAGTCATGTGCATATGATAGGCTCAATAATCACTGAGGGATCCTTGAGTCTTTTTAAAGGTGAAAAGGTAACTGGAGAGACACATCTCGCCTTGCTGACATTACTGCCGAAAGGTGGAAGGAGATACTGAGGGATCTGGTCCACCAGGGAAAAAGTCAAAGGTCAAGAAAGTGCTGTGTCATGGCCAAACCGCACAGCAGCACCACTGCGGAAAGTCTCCAGTCAAGATGATAGTGTCAAACTTACTGAGATAAGACAAACCACACCCAAACCATGCACCAATCACAATTCCCAGGCCAAACCCACATCCTTATCAACAACAGAGAAGCCAAACCTTCAATTTCCAAACCCATAAAAGCATCTGCAATGCGCTCATGCTCATAAGCAAAGAAGAATGACATCAATTTAGAGAAAATAAACAAAAGCTGGTTGTACATGCTTAAAGGGATAGTGCACCCAAAAATCATGTACTCACCCTTTACTTGTTTTAAACCTTTGAGTTTCGTTCTTCTGTTAAACACAAAAGATGATATTTTGAAGAAAGCTGGAAACTGTAACCATTAACATCCATAATATTTGTATTTCCTACTCTGCTTTCTTCAAAATATCTTCTTTTGTGTTCAACAGAATGAAAGAAACTCAAATGTTTAGAATCACTAGAGGGTGAGTGAATACTCATTAAATGTTCATGTTTTGGTGAACTGTCCCTTTAAGACACTGCAGGTGAATAAAGTAAAAAATGAACTAACAGCAATCACTTCTACAATTGATTGCCTGGACAAGCAATTGCAAAGATGTTTTTTGTCCTAAAAGTATTTAAGCTTTTTCTTAAACATGCAAATGAGGCACTACTTAAATAAATGTTCTAATCTGCATACATTCCTACCATAAAAATCTGATGTAACCCACCAGTCCTTCTGCACACAACCTGCGCTGAGCTGGGATTGAACCGGCGATTCTTCGCATGGGAGTCGGTTGCTCTAACAAGGAAGCTAAGACCATGGCTTCTAGCGTCTGTCGCTAGAGCACCTTTAGAGGTCAGAGGGATGAGGTTTACCTGCGTAGCACTTCGCTAGCTGGCCTCCATTACACTCACCTCCCTAAACCTCACTCCCATCCCGGACGAGCCCCCAGATGTGTAATCCACCAGTCCTGCTGCACCCAACCGGGTCTGAGCTGGGATTGAACCGGCGATTCCTTGCATGGGAGTCGATTGCTCTAACAAGAAGGCTAAAGACCATGGCCTCTAGCATCTGTCACTAGAGCATCTTTAGAGATCAGAGGAGTGAGGTTTACCTGCGTAGCACTTCGCTAGCTGACCTCGGTTACACTCACCCCTAAACCTCACTCCCATCACGGACGAGCCCCCATACATGTAACCCACCATTCCTACCGCACCCAGCCCGGTCTGAGCTGGGATTGAACCGGCAATTCCTCGCATTGGAGTAGGAGTTGGCTAAAGACCATGGCCTCTAGCGACTGTCAATAAAGCACCTTTAGAGACCAAAGGAGTGAGGTTTACCTGCGTAGCACTTCGCTAGCTGGCCACTGTTACATGAACATCGAACAAAGTCAGGCTCTAAATTCTTGTTTTGTTGTTTTGAAATAAAAATATGTGCCATATTTGCTCGAATATATCGAATGTTTTCTTTATATTAGACCTACCAAACCCATAATGGAAAGCAAATAATGACTTTCAATGTGTTTTTGCCTGCGGTGTCACACCTTAAAATACAGGAAATGCTATACATAAAAAAATGGAAGCATGCAAGCATATTTAAAGGAAACATTTTATTTACTCACTATTTATTCTCTCTCAAGTGCCTACAAACCTTTATGAATATGTTTCTTCCTCTGAGCACAAAAACACATTCTGATAAAAAAGCTTTAACCATTGACTTTCATAGTAAGAAAAACACTATAGGAGTCAATGGTTACAGATTTCCAACATTTTGAACTATCCCTTTAATGTATTGTTTTATGGATGTTTCTCCAGATTTGACTTTGACTCGTGCAACTGTTCTACAATGTGATTTCGTTCTATATTTTTATATTCGACTATCCATCAAATGCTCTCTCCAGCAGTAACGTGGGAAGACGTTTCTCTCTCTGTATCCCACCGCTGCTGCACTGTTGTCAATGTGAATGACTCATTCTGGTTCTCTGCACCGGCTGAACCCACACTGCCCACTGACGGAGCACTGCACGATCAGTGATGCCCTCTGACACGCCCAAAAGATCACTCACCTACGCCAGCGAAGCATCATCACTGCCCAAGATATGCTGGACTACGGTTATATAAATGCACAGTGAAAAGCGTAAAGTCAGCAGAGCCGGAGGGAGTTTTGCTGAAGTGCATGTGAATGAGATGTGTTGCTATGTTTCGCAGTCTCAGGCGGATCCAGAGCTGGCCGTACATACGCTGGCATGACTCAGTGTGCGCTGTTAGTCATCACTGTAGATGCAGACGTTTTGATTTTTTTTTTCAAGCCAAGTATAATTTATAGGCAATAAATCATGAAAATTGCTTGCGAGGCTGTACAAGCTACTAATATACAGTAGGAGCGTTTGTCACTTTAACTTCATGCTCAAGTGTTATAACCAATGACATAAAATTCACACTTTTTATTTTATTACGCTACTATGTGGTGCTAATACTGTGCCTAAATGGTGTCATTTTGCTGATAAACATGGTACAAAATATTTTGATATTTGATTAATACAAAGGAATATATGCACAGAAAAATGCATATGTGCAATATTTAAAAAATAAAATAATGAAATGGTGAAATGTAAACAATTGTAACAATTATACGAGAATACATATCCATAAAAACGTTTTAAGTTGTTAAAATATTTACCTACTGCTGTCAAACAATTAGTAATACATATATATAGTCCATTCACTTAACGAAACACTTCATGGAAAGCAAATATTGACTGGCGTTTTTGCCTGCAGTAATATATAATATATATATATATATATAGTCCTTCGAGATATTATAATTTATAAGCAGTGTAAAACATCTCCATTTGCTGCGTGTTTATCAATGTATTAATATATTGTGTTATAATTCATAAGCAGTGTAGAATATCTCCATCTGCTGCGCGTTTATCAATGTATTAATATATATATATATATATATATATATATATATATATATATATATATATATATATATATATATATATATATATATATATATAAATATAGGTACATTTACTATATATTACATTGAAACACATGCAGCAGATGGATATATTCTACCTTGCTTATAAATTATAACATCTCGAAGATATAAATACATTACAAATAAATCTTTTGACAGCAAAGTTACATTTCAATACCAAATATCAATCCTAAATGATCATTTCCTACCTTTGAACTCCAGCAGAGGTCTGAAATGTGGATATAGGTGTAACGTTGCATTTCCCTGTGTGGAAAAGAAGCAAACATGTTGAGAAAGCAGAGGTGAGGAGTGTGTGGTGTGAAGTCAGAAGACAGGCCCGCTGTAGGGAGGCTCCTTCTTTCTCTTTCTCTCTCTCTCTCTCTCTCTCTCTCTCTCTCTCTCTCTCTCTCTCTCGAACACACTGCAGCTCTTCCTGTTCTGCTGCTCAGATCTTCCTCTAAAAATCTGATAAACCTTTCATTTCACACCTTCATAGTAATTACATTACTCTTGTTCAGGTCTTCATAGAAACAGAGACAGAACGAGTTAAACAAAGAGAGAGAGAGAGAGAGAGAGAGAGAGAGAGAGAGAGGGGGAGAGGGAGAGTCCTTCATGCTTGGAGAAAAAAAAGATGCTGTGTCTTTAAGGAAACCCCTCTGCTTCTAGAAGGAGTGACTGACTAATCTGTGATATGGTCTGCTATTTAACAGCATGCAGGCATGTACGGTTTTCCTTCGTGCCATCTTAAGGTAAAAATATTTGTCCCGCTTTTCTCCTCGCGTATTTGATACTATTAGAGAAATACTGCATCCCTGGTTCAGCATGTTGCTCTTTTACAGCTCTAACAGAGGTCTAAGTTCAAATATTTCAGTAGTTTCTACTACAATTCCTAAAAGTAAGCAAAAATGAGACCATACTGACATGCATAACCCTGTGAAATCATGTGAAAATTACTCAGATAAATTCGTCTTACATGAGAACTAAATCGTTCAACATCGTTTAAAGATTTTCAGAGAATTTCTAAACTTATAGTCATTCACTTATACGACAGACCACTATATAAAGACATCACTCTTTTTTTAAATAAGTTTGAAGATTTAAAACAGTATTATTGTCAAATATAAGGAATGAATATACAGTTGTAGGCACAATTATTAGCTCTCCTGTGTAATTTAAAGTCTTTATAAAATATTTCCCAAGTGATGTTTAAGAGAACAAGGAAATGTTTACAGAATTTCCTATTCTAGATATTTTTTCATCTAAAGAAAGTTTTTTTTTTTTTTTTAGTTTGACTGTAATTAAAGCATTTTTAAATTTTAGAATCAATAACATTAACCCCTCGGTGGTGCGGAGGGTATCGCTGTCGTCTCACAGTAAGAAGGTCACTGGCTCGAGCCTCGGCTGGGTCAGTTGGCATCTCTGTGTGGAGTTTGCATGTTCTTCCCGTGTTCGCGTGGGTTTCCTCTGGTTGCTTCGGTTTCCCCCACAGTCCAAAGCCATGCACTAGTCTATAGGTGAATTGGATAAACTAAATTGTCTGTAGTGTATGTGTGTGAATGAGAGTGTAAAACATGGTTTGGGGTTACATGTAGTATGGGAGCATGCGAGAGACCTGCAGAGTGGATGGCAACATCAACAACCTGAAGTATCAAGACATTTGTGCAGCCCATTACAAACAGGAGAGGGCAAATTCTTCAGCAGGATAGCGCCCCTTCACATACGTCAGCCAAAGTGTTCGAGAATTGACCAGCCTAGTCACCAGATATGAACATTATTGAGCATGTCTGGGGTAAGATGGAGGAGGCATTAAAGATGAATACAAACAATCTTGATAAACTCTGGGAGTCCTGCAAGAACGCTTTCTTTGCCATTCCAGATGACTTTATTATTAAGTTACTTGAGTCATTACAGAGATGTATGGATGCAGTCCTCCAAGCTCATAGGACTCAGACACAATATTTATTCTTTTTCCACTGCAGCATGACTTTATATTCTATACTAGACATTATTTCTGTTAAGTGACAAGACTTTTGTCTGAGCAAAGTCAGACTTTACTGTCCTAATGAAATAGTTAAAAAATCAAGGCATGATCATATTTTATTTTGGTTAAATAAGCGTAGGGGCCTGAGCCACTTCTGATACCAAATGATCAACTAGAAGTCAAGTTATTATTTGTTGTTCCTATAGTACTTGGATAGGCGGCAAGACTTTTGTCAGGTAGTGTAAATAAATCAATTGGTATCTTGCAAAACAACTTGTAAAATGTTACGTACTGCATATCATATTGACATAGATAAAATAAAGTAGTTATTAAACACTAATTAATTTAAAAAAAAAAACGTTAACATTTCTGTCTCTGTTAAACATCTCGGTTAAACATCACTTGGCAAATATTTTTTTTAAATAATTCAAATTTAAAAAACAGAAGAGCTAATGTTTCCCTCAACTGTGCAATTTTTAAGTTAAATACAGTTATTATGTAAGCATTCATTATCATTGCAGACATACATAAAAAAAACAGAAAAAATGAAAAGGAAGTGAGCTGGGAGTTAAGTCTTTATACTTTTCTCGATTTAATCACAGTAAAAGCAAAAGCGATATTTAAAAGATCTTATTTGTCTTCATTCATTTCTGTAAGTCTCAATCTTAACAGAATCTAAACAGGACATGATTACTGATGCGCCAACTTGAAAAGCTGGCATTGCTGCACACGAGCTGAAGGTTTCACATTCACACCTGTCACTGATGTCAGTAATTAGCAAGTTCGTTTAGCACTTGCAACTGCAGAGCCTTTACTGACATTTTCAAACTTAACTTATTTGCTAAGCAATGCTTTCAGCTAAAGGAAATACTTTCAGATATTTCTGATACAATTTACCACATTCAAATTCATTCACAAGAAATTCTTCCTCAATTAGCACAAAAAGTGAGAGTACATCTGTACATGCTCATGAAAATGTTTTTGTTTTTCGTGCTCTTGTAAAAGAGAAAAGAAGAGTGACTTGTTGTACTTGTTAGAAAGCAGAGTGAGAACAGGAAACAGTAACACATTTTTTGTCAATGATCAATTGCATCAAATGAATGTGCACCTATAGCTTTTACTGCAAATAATTAGCTGAACGCAAACAAACATTTCTCAGGAGCTCTACTTTATATATACTTAAAATAAGAGTATATTGTTGCTTATTATAGCAGGTTTACTGAGCCATACAAAAGTGTCTTCAAAGAAATAGTTCACCCAAAATCCTTTACTCGCGCATTTTTGCAAACCTCTTTGACTTCTGTTGAACACAAATGAAGACATTTTGAAGAAAGCCAGAAACCTGTAACCATTTACTTCCATAGTATTTGTTTTTGCTAGATAAGGTTAGCTTTTCAGCTTCATCTTCAACAGAAGAAAGAAATTTATAAAGGTTTGGAAACACTTGGGTGTGAGTAAATAGTGAGTATATTTTGGTTTATGGGTTTACTGCTCCTTTAAGAATTCAAATAGGGACTAGGCAAGGGCCGGTATAAGATTCTGATGGTATGACAACCTTAGATAAAAATATAATGGTTTCACGGTATTGAGATTACTGCTCTATAATATATTCTTTTAAAATGTCTGGGTAAAAAAACTAAAACTTTTTCCCCTTTGAAAACAATATGTTCTATTTCTTATAAATAGAATAACGAAAAATATATAACTAAATATTTATATAACGATGCTAAATAACGAAAACGAATAATTGACTTCTGCTGTCTTCATCTGTTTCAAAAACACTAATTTCTTTACAATTTAAAACGGCGTCTTTGGATATTTTTTTCTGATGGAGATACTGTTGTCCTAAAAAAACTAAAAAAATGTCAATAAAAAAATCTTACACATACCTTAGGAATGGTATTACAGAAAATATTTGGTTTTAAAACCTTGACTTTTCCAGACCACGGTATACCTTGAAGACGTTTATCGTCCCATGCCTAATAGAGACATTCATTAAAAGAGGTTTAGCTATTGAGTTTTTATTTGAATGATCTTTCTGCAGCTTATTTTATGGAATACAGCTAACAGGTGACTGTTTGGTTTCTATTACATATTCTAATGATGAAGGAAATAGATATTTGACATTAATTGTGATTTCCACTGGCGTAATTTAGTTTTTTTGTGATTTTACCTAGCCCTGTTCGCTTTGAAAATGATCACAGCAAAACTATGTTGGTACTGTAAGTCTGTGCTTTTGCATGAAAGAAAATAAGTGAGAATCTGGTAAAAACAGACGTATATTTGATTACCTTGGTTAGCATCAACCAATCAGAAACAAGCGTTCATCAGAATGTTAGTAAGTAAGATTGTTAATGTTAGTAACAGAATGTTGGTTAAAGGTCCCATGAAGTGCTTTGAAATGTGCATTTTGTTGTATGTTTGCTGGATGTGAGACGTAATCTCAACCAAAACATGAAGAGAGAGTGGGACATAACAAAGCCCCTCCCCTTAAAAAAAACAGCCAATGGCATTTCACACTCAAAGCTCTTTAAATTGGTAGGGAATCTCCTCATCCAGCACATGTGTGCAGCATCAACCTGGATGACACGACAGCAGACATAATGCGCCAGACTTCACACCACACACCAGCTGATTGGTGGAGTGGTGACAGAGTGATGAAGCCAGTTAAGATATGGAGATGGTTACAAGGGCATGATGAACAGAGGTCAGAGCAAATTTAGCCAGGATGCCAGGATGAAACTCTTTTTTAAAGGACATCCTGGGATTTTTAATGACCATGTTTAACGTCTCATCTGAAAGACGGCGTTCACTGAGTCCCCATCAATATACTGGGGTGTTAGGACCCACACAGACCTCAAGTTGAGCGCCCCCTGCTGGTCTCACTATCACCACTTCCAGCAGCAACCTAGCTTTCCCATGTGGTCTCCCATCCAGCTACTGACCAGGTGCAGCCCTGCTTTTGCTGAGTTCAGACTGTATGATTTTAGCCCCGATTTTGACTCGCCGACAAGTTTTGAGTAATTGCCGACAAATTCCTCAAATCACAGGCAAATCGGTGCTCGTTCACGCGAGTAACAAATCACACAGTATGAACTATCAAAGATGCAATCTAAGAGAATCGCAGATGAGTCACTGACACCCATCAGATATTTGCCGTGCTAAATATCTGGATTCAAATCATGCCGTGTGAAATGTGTTCTGATAGAAAATAACATCGGAGATCCCTTACAGCCAATGAGAATGAATAAACGTCGCCTCGTGGTTCCATCCCAAAGAGGGAGAAATCACTTTCGCTCACGCTCACGCTCAATCTGCCCAGTTGGTGGAATGAACTCCCTAACTGCATCAGAACAGCAGAGTCACTCGCTATTTTCAAGAAACGACTAAAAACTCAACTATTTAGTCTCCAATTCACTTCCTAATCTGCAATTGCCTCTCTGAATATCACACTAACTGTACCCAAAAAATAAATAAATAAAAATACTAATACTGCAAATACTTTCCTTCTTAGACTTTACAGACCTGAAACTTGCCTATAGCACTAATTCATTGTTGCTCTTATAGTTGTGTAAATTGCTTCCTTGTCCTCATTTGTAAGTCGCTTTGGATAAAAGCGTCTGCTAAATGACTAAATGTAAATGTAAATGAGAGAGCAGCACTCACTAGTATGGGTATCTGCAGGCCAGCGGAAGGATAAAGGAGAAGTTCAAAGCGCTCATTTTTAATCTATTTGGACCCAAGAAATGAAGGAAAAACTAGTGGAAATTTGGCAGAAGCACTTGTGTCTGATTGACGTGTCATCTGAGCAATACCCCAACCGGCTCAAAAAAAAAAAAAAATTAAGTAGAAATTGCTAATTCTTTTCAAAAGCCAGGTGAGCAACATAAGCACATTTTCTACCTTTTTATGTTGTTAATAATAAAAGATATACTACGACCTCCCGTTGTTTCCGTTCTCGTGTGTTTGGTTATGAGATGTAGTTTGGACAAAGTTGTCAGCGACTCTTCCTATTGTAAAGTCATGCAATGTGAAACCTCCTGTCACCGATCCATCCTACAGTGTAAACACAACCCCGACAGAATGCTAACCCAGATAGTCATGCACTGTGAAAATGTTACTTTGAAAATCATGCAGTGTGAACTCGGCATTAGCTTCAGTGGGCGACCATGTGAGAGTTGCAGAGAGCTAGCTGCTGACCAGTTATATAAAGTTTCATTGAATATTTTTAGTCGGTTTGACTGATGTAAGCTGAGATGTCTAGAAAAGTTAATTTGATTCAACTAAAAAAACTTAGGCAGCAAGATTTTTCTATAATGACCCGTAAGTCAACAAGAGGGTTAAATATGAGTGTAAAAGCCATGTGACTGAAACAGATGAATGTGTACTTTCCTAAGCAGCTTTCTCACAATAATCGGCTTTTCGTTGCGCATGAAAAAGTACTTACTGTTAATGACTCTCGTTTTCTTCCACTAGTTATAAACGTGAAGCCTTGTGTCTCTATGGCAACACCTGTCTTCTGTATGTGCTCCTCCACATACCTGAAAAATAGTTACACATTTTCTTTTTTACCTTTTTAAATAATATTTCTTGCCCATTTTCATTTACACATTCAGACTTTATCAAAATTATTATTATTATTTTTTTTTTTTTGTAATTACCAGTTAATAAAGGAGCTTTTTCCAGCAGAATGGTTTCCCATAATCATAACGATAATCTTTTTGCGTGGCGGTAAAAGTCTCACTCCCAAGCTCTCTGCAATTTTTACCAGTCCTGTCAAACAAATGCAGACAAACATGCCTTTTTAATAATACACGATGACGCCTTACTGTTTCTCAACAACAATTCACGATTAAAGAAGTATGAAACTCTATTACTAATATTTCTATTACACCAACATTTCACATTAAATACAAAAGTACCAATATGACTTGCTTTATGTAAGGAATAACTGATGACTAAAGAGTTAATTTGCAAAAACAGATAACCACAATTTACTGTAGTTTTTTTAGAAAGCCATTTGTTTTTTTTTCAATTAAACTCTTCAAGAAACGATATAAAAACATGATTTCTAAAAAGTATAAAAGTATTTTTTTTGCAATTTTACTCTTTAATAAACACTGAAAAATACGATGTCCGTAAATTAATAAAAATGGAGAAATGTTCTTGCAAATAAACTCCACAAACACGCACAAACACGCACACACACACACACACACACACACACACAAAAAGAGAGAGCTCTATGTGAAGTTAACCACTTATGTTCAAAATTATTGTTGCTGTTTGTTCAAACTACTTATTGAAAATGAGCTGAAACAACACTGTTCTTTTTATGAAACACCTTAATTGTTTTATGCTCGATCCACTTTAATTTGTCAAAACAATTAAATTAACTTAATCGATTTGTGTTGGGATAGCAAGAATGAATTGTGTGGAACCCTGGATTTTTTTACAGTACATGTTTGAGTAAAATTACAAGTACGAATGTAATGGTTTACAAATGGTACCTACATGACTTAAGGTTCAGGCTAAGGAATACATAGGTTTTTACATGGTTATTACCCAGGTTACATAGTTTACTATGATAAATATAGTATGTGCACTTGTAACAAGACAGTACCTCCAAATATTATATATATTTACATAAATATAAATAAAAATATATTTTGGTAAAATAAATAAAAATTTATTTTAAAATCTATTTTTTATGTTTATTTAATTTATATAAGTTAAATATTGGTCTAAAATGTATTTGAACATCTGAATACATACACACACAAGCACACACGCACACTATATATATATATATACTACAGGTATATATATTTGAAGTCACAATTAGCCCACCCGAAATTATCAGCCCCCCTGTTTAATGGAGAGCAGATTTTTTGAACACATTTCTTAACTATTATATAACTTACATTATATTAACTAATCTCTAATAATATCTCTGATCATTTCTTTTATCTTTATCTGACTCTGACAGTAAATAATACTTGACTAGATATTTTTCAAGACACTTCTATACAGCTTAAAGTGACATTTAAAGGCTTAACTACGTTAATTAAGTTAACTAGGCAGGTTAGGGTAATAAGGCCAGTTATTGTATAGCGATGGTTTGTTCTGTAGAATATTGAAAAAAAATATAGCATAAAGGGGCTAATAATTTTGACCTTAAAATAGTGTTTAAAAAATGAATAACTGCTTTTATTCTAGCAGAAATAAAACAAATAAGACTTTCTTCAGAAGTAATAATATTATCAGACATACACAGCAAAATATGGGGACCCAAAACAACTCTATGGGTGTTAATTTCAACACTTTGAAAGTGTCTCATGGGGTCCACTCAAAACAGACTTAAATCAACACTTTCAAAAGGGTTGGCACATTGACACCGAAGTAAGGGTTAATTTTAACTCAGGGCAGAGTTAAAAATGTAACTATATTTAACACCACCTGGTGTAATATATTATTTTATTCAACTCTCTTGAGTGTAAATATGGTAAAAAGGTCAAATAGACTGTAAATTACAAAATAAAAAACATTTTATTTGAAAACATTCACAACTTCAACAATTCATTCATTTTTTAAAATGCAACAATGTCAAATATGCTTTAAATGTTTTATTAGTACAGACAGTATCAACAAAATATGATGTCCAAACTTGATGTTTCATCAGAGCAATTTGAAAGTTCAATATATCGTCACTCATAGTTTTCTTCTGAACGCATAGTTTTCTTCTGAAATTACATTTTAAACAACTTGGTGTGCAAATCTTTCACTTCGGGTGTTTCCTTGGTCCTCCATATCAAAACACAGCAGTTTAAATGAAGGTATAAATGCTGTAAACTTGTGTGAAAACAAACTGGAGCTAGGAAATCTCATCAAGCATGTCCTGTGAATGAAGTGCTTCCCAGCCACAGGATGACCTTTTTATCCATGACGATGTAGCAGCTGCTGATCGCTCGTCTGGTGGTTCCTGATGCACGGATATAGGGTGATGCTCATCTAAGAACTCTTCAAGACTCCAGCATGACTAAGAAAAATGTTTGAAAACAAATTGCAATCAAATTCTATGATATATTTAAAAGAACATTTAAAGTAAATAAAACATTCAAGATATCTAAACTCACCTTTTGAAAATCCACATGATGATCCACAACTTGACTCTCCCAGCTGGTTGAGGTGACAGGATATGGAAAAGTAGAAAAAACACATACATCACTGTTGGATCTCCAAAAACAATTAGGTTAACCACTATGACTAGAACTGGAAAAACAGGCAGCTGTCTGTCCAGAATCCTCAATTTAACACAACACTTGGAGCAAAATTTAGAGGAGCTTAAAATCTTTTATATAATTTAGTGATGCTGACTTCCCCAAAATATTGGCCACAGTGTAAAAAATATTCATAAACTTACAGTTTTCTGTAAGCGTGTGTGTGTGTGTGCGTGTTTCTTTACCAGATTCAACTTGTTAGGCCCTTTCAGGTCCAGTATTGACGCCACCTTTCCTGGAGTCTAGCAGATGTTTTAGGTCCAAATATAATCTAAAATATTAGGATAAGCAGAAGAGGAAAAGTGCAAAGCAAAGAGAAAACATTATTTAAGTAACAGTTCACCCACAATACAAAACTTATCACCTTCATGTCATTTGTTATTCTCTAATGCTCTAATACCCTCTCAGCTTATTGTGAAACAAATACAAAACTTTACCAAACATACCTTCGTTATTATCACCACATATGACCAAGAAGGTGTGCTTGGTCATTTCATCAACTCTGGAAATACACCATCCGTCTCTAATCAGCCACCGTCACAGGGTCTTGTGTTATTGTACAGAGAACTGTGGCTGTTAAAAAACATCAACACATTAGTATCTAACACATATGCATAACCTTCAGATAAAAAAAGAGAGATGAACATCACAAAGTATGCCTCACACTTTTTCAGATATCTTTTGATTCAGATGTTGATTATTGATAATAAATCTACAAATCAAACCTGTATCATCATTAGGCTGCTCAAATATGAATCAGTTGATTTATTTTACAGACAGGTGGCTGTTTACAACGCACTAATAAAACGGAAATGTTGTGTACAGTACATGCTAAGTTTAGCCTATAGTTTTAAGCACAATATCATGCGGGAGAAAAAGCTTGACTAAGATGTTCCTGACAACAGAAATAGCCTAACTTACTAACGTCAGACATCCCGAGTTGGGAAAAGTCATTTTCGGGGGATACAGAGTTGATTTGCGGGAGAGATAAGTACCTGAAGAGCAATGGGATAAGCTGCGCGCGACGTACCTGAAGAGCGGTGGGGGTGACTTGCGCGCGACGTACCTGAAGAGCTGGGAGGGATGCGGTGGAGAGGGGCGTGCAAAGTGTTTAATGACCGGGCGGGAGACGCGCGATTTCCGGGAGATGATCATTCATTTGAGGGCATCTACTTGGGCATCTGGCAGTCTCTGTGCATTTGCGGAATAACGTTAACGTTAGTCCCGCAACTTCCGGGAGACTTCTGTAACGTTAAATGTCTGATAAAGTGCAAACGCGGTCATTTAAAGACATTAATGTTAACATTCCGACTTTTATGGTTGTCAACACTTAATATAATTCAAGCGTACGTTATCCCACGAGTCTAAGTTATGGACTAACGTTAACGGTATACGGACGGCCACGAATGAACCAGTTTAAAAGGGCCGCGGTGTTTAAAATAACCAAATTAACGTACACGAATAACAAACAATCATTTGTTTCAGTCAGGAAGCCTTTTACAAGTAAGCATATGTTCATTTACTCACCAGATATGTTTTAGAAACTCTCCAGAGCTTATGGAAACCGTCCTGTGTTGCCGTTAGCATCCGGGCAGAGTAGGCTAACGTTAGGCGGCTCCGGGGATTCCCTCGCTAGTTTGCTTGGAATTAAAGGAGAAGTGTCGATTTTATTTTACAGATGGGTAACAACGCACAAAATGGCATTAAGCGTGACAGAAATGTGTTGAACATGTACATTTGATGTTTTTATGCACTATGTATGCATGAGCATATATAAAAACATTCTTGAAAAGAAGTCAATAGTAATGCAGTTAAGCTAGATACACAAACGACCATGAATGAACCGCAGAAGTTTAAAATTGTCACTCCATTCTAAAGTTATTAACTTAACAACATGTTTACAACTGTATTTCCTTAAAGAAAGTCAGTAAAATACCAACATTTAGGTAGTTTGACTCACCAGTTGCTGTTCTAAACCTCAGATGGAAAATGGCGTCTGGAAAATTCTTCAGTGACTGGGGCTGCATGAACACCACCAAGTGTTGAAAAGATAACTCCTTGATTTCGCACTGAATAAAAACAATTCTAACTCTTATTATATTCATTTATCAAAATCTAACTCTTTAACGTCAACACTTTACTCTCAAATGCTTCAACACCGAGAATTTAACTCTGATGAATTTGCTGTGTACAGTGAAGACGTCTTACTCTGTTAAACATCAGTTGGGAACTATTTAAAAAAGAAAAAAAATCTAAGGGGGGCTAATAAGTATATTTGCAACTGTATATATATATATATATATATATATATATATATATATATATATATATATATATATATATATATATATATATATATAATGCTAGCATTTTTAAGGCCTGTGACTGCATGAGAATTTTATAAGCATTCTGGCATAAGAAACTGAATCATATCTAATTTTAATAACAATTATTTTTATTGAATTATTTTTACTATTCAATTGCCGTACCTGAATACTGTTACACTCTGAAAATTATAAAAAACTGGTCATTTCAATTGTATCTTTTACTTTATAGTATTTATACATGCTTGTAGATTGTTTAGTAGATTTTTTCATACGTTTTCTTCATAAATTATTCCCAAATAGAGCTATTCAAGTCATCTGGTGAAATTGTAATCATTTCGCAATGTATATCACAGAATAACAAAATATCCAAATGCTAGATTTTTCCAATATCATGCAACATATATATATATATATATATATATATATATATATATATATATATATATATATATATATATATATATATATATATGCCATTTTTTAGATGTTTCATCATCATCATCATTTTCTTTTCACCTTAGTCCCTTTATTAATCTAGGGTGGCCACAGCGCAATGAACTGCCAATCTGTCCAGCATTTCTTTTACGTAGCGGATGCCCTTCCATGCAGCTGCAACCCATAAGTGATAAACATCCACACAGTCACACACCCATTCACACTCATACACTACGGCCATTTTAGTTTATTCAATTCACCTATTGAGCATGTTTTTGGAATTGTGGGGGAAACCGGAGCACCCGGAGGAAACCCACGCCAACACGAGGAGTACATGCAAACTCCACACAGAAATGCCAACTGACCCAGCAGAGACTCGAACCAGAGACCTTCTTGTTGTGAGGCGATCGGGCTACACACTGCGCCACTGTGACGCCTCAGATGTTTCAGATATTCATTTTAGAGGAATATTTTAACTATTTACTATATAAAAATTAAGAAAGCCCTATTTGGTGGTGGAATTATCCTCATTTCTAATCACAAAAAGTGCTTTTTTTGACCAATTGTCATGTTATAAAGAAAATGCTCTAAATCACAATACTTTCATTTGCAATTTAGAAAAATAAATGAGTTCAGAACTTAATAAAATAAAACAAATATCGGCATTCTACTCAAACCCATGCCTAATAAAAGTATGCACCAGGTTTCTGTATACACTATAAATACTGTAGGTATTGGCCAATAAAAGACCTTCAGTTTCGATGAACTTGACGAACAGGAGCACTTCAGCATAATCACAGATTTACAAATACTGTACTATTACTGTTCAAACACTGTCCTGAGCCTGCAGCAGCACAGTGACATGCAGAGACAACTGGTCAACATTTACCGCGTCCTAAAACTCTGTGAGCGGTCAATATCACAATATAAGTCGTGTTGCCACATCATGTTTAATTTGGTCTAGCCTTTCAACATAGATTTTGAATGAGTCACTATTATTAATAAAACCTAGACATATAAAACTAATACTGCTCAATACTTCGTTTGACGTTTGAACTTTCTGGTTGATTTGCACCGTACAGTGGCTTCATAATAAAGACTTAACAGCAACATGTGTTTACATACGAATGTGTTAGCGGTATTTGTTTGTTTACCGTTCTCGCTGTCGATATATAAAGTGTGACATTCTTTCAGTATTCTTTCGCTCGGTGTTGTAATTGTAGATTCCAGAGGATTTGCCACAGCTCGCGGCTTCTTACTGCCTGACATTTTGAAAATGTGTGGGACTGTTTTTCACCGGCAGCGACAGCGGGGGAACCAAAACAGCGGCGCACACGAGAAACTAACGTTAGTGGATACGTCAGAAATGTGAAGCTTTGGAGCCCTCTAAAGGAGAGTTTGACGTGAACAGACCGGACACATAAACAAACTAATTTAAATTAATCGACAAATAATAAAAACAATAACCATATCATTACATTATTATTATTATTATTATTATTATTATTATTATTAGTAGTAGTAGTAGTAGTAGTAGTAACGTTAGTGGTAATAGTGGTAGTAGTAGTAATTGTAGTAGTAGTAGTAGTAGGAAGAGGAGGCTTCTAGTAGTGGTAGTGGTAGTGGTAGTAGACATAAAATCCGTGACTGTTTCAAAAAGATCTGTAAAAATATTTTACAAATATCTACAAAGAAATTTAAATAATTATAGTAGTATTTTATAATAAATATAAATATACAAATAGATTTTAATAATAGAAATTTTATTTTAATTAAAATATATTTTAAGTAAACATTTATGTGTAAACTTGTAACATCATAGTTATTATTATGAATATATTATTATTAATATTATTATTATTAATAGTAGTAGTAGTAGTAGTAGACATGAAAGCTGTGACCACTGCAAAAAAATCTATAGCAATATAATGCAATAGAATTTCACACAAATGAAATAATATTAGTAGTTTTTTAAATAAATATAAATAAACTAATGTTTAAAAAAGATTTTTACACTATTCTTTTAATTTCTTTTGATAATAATAATAATAATAATAATAATAACAACAATAATAATAATAATAATAACATTAATAATAATAATGATAATAATAATAATAACATTATTATTATTATTATTATTAATAATAATAATAATAATAATAATAATAATAATAATAATAATGGTAGTAGTAGTAGTAGTAGACACAAAAGCCGTGGCCGTTGCAAAAATTCTGTAGCAATATAGTGCAATATAATTTCACAAAAAAATATTAAAATAATATTAGAAGTATATTTAAAAATAAATATAAATGAATAATTGTTTAAAATAGATTTGAAATATGACTTTTATTCATTCATTTTCTTTTCGGCTTAGTCCCTTTATTTATCTGGGGTTGCCAGAGCGGAATAAACCGCCAACTTATCCAGCATATGTTTTATGTAGCAGATGTTCTTCCAGCTGCAACCCACCACTGGGGAACATCCATACACTCTCATTCACACACATACACTACAGACAATTTAGGTTACCCAATTCACCCGTACAGCATGTCTTTGGACTGTGGGGAAAACCATAGCACCCGGAGGAAACCCACATATCCATGGGGAGAACATGCAAACTCCACACAGAAATGCCAACTGACCTAGCTGAGGCTCAAACCAATGACCTTCTTGCTGTGAGGCGAATGTGCTACCCACTGCGCCACGGTGCAGCTCTATGTAAAACATGTAACATAATAATAGTAATAATAATAATTATCATCATCATCATCATTATCATCAGCATTACTACAAACCCATACTTTCTTTCTTAAATATATTTTGAATTTGGCACAATAATTAATTATAACTATATATATATATATATATATATATATATATATATATATATATATATATATATATATATATATATATATATATTGACACAAATATAAGCTAACTAGACACAACAAAGTAAACATATTCATCTCTTCACATGTTTACATGTATGCTGAACTAAGCTATGATTCATGAACCAAAATGTCATTCATGTACCATAGTGCATTTTAAAAACTACTTGACATTTTAATATTAAAATAGCATTGCTACTACTATCATTGCCATAATCATCATCATTATTGATTCATTATTTTCACATCTGGTAAACAGTAGCAAACAATAACAGTAGCAAACAGTGACACTGGGCCTGCATGTAACACTTCAGGTCAACCATAACTTCACAACAGCTTATCATTACATTCACTGTATACTGTAGTATCGGTTAAGAGTGAAAAGGACCTTTGTTCAAAGTCTAGGATCCTCCAAGCCAGCCCTCGTGCAGCCGGTTGACCTGCCAGACTCTTTTTTTATTATTAACTATGCTTGAACAATAACAGATTAACATTAAAATTGCACAAAAAGACCAGGATAACAATCAATTAACATTCACAATCTTTCCGTCCACATTAATATTAATAAAAATACAAAATTATATTATTCAATAAATAAAATGTCAAATAAATAATTAATAAATTAAGAAAAATAAGTAGCAGGGGAGTTGAAGTTCTCAATACATGAAACCAAAATCATTTATTTATTCATTTTCTTTCGGCTTAGTCCCTTTAGCCCCTCAGGGGTCGCCACAGCGGAATGAACTGCCAACTTATCCAGCATATGTTTTACACAGCGGTTGCCCTTCCAGCTGCAACCCATCACTGGGAAAAAAACATACATACTTATCAACACATATACCAGGCCTATAGCCAGAGGGGGTTCGGGTGGTCCAGAATTTGTCCCATTCATGAGCTTATTTGTCTTATTTTCACTGCTATGTCTTCGCAATAAGTGAAAATAACCCATTGAAAAGGCTTTAAGACCAAGCCGAATTCTGTGTTGGCTGTCATGACTTTTGCTAGTCAGTTTTGACCAATGCAAACAAGTATTTTTCATGAGTCCAACATCCAGCGGTGCAAGAAAACACAATCTGATGTAAGTGGGGTCCTCTTTTACTACTGTGTTGTTTTTAAAAAAGAGAAAGCAGTTTACTAACTTATTCATGAGACAAAAAATGATCAATAAAAAGGTGTGAATCACCAAAAGCGGATCATATTAAAATGAATTTGAATACTATTGGCTATTGCTGTATTCCATGAATTTTCAAATGTAGTTAATTAATACATTTTATTTCAAATGGCGAAAATCTGACTGAATAAAGTTTAATGTGCTGGCCAGTTTGTTAATAATTGACAATATAGGCTTGTTTTAAATTTAAAATGGGTTAGTTTTTTTATGATATATGATGTAATAAATTTGAATTTTAAAAATAAATATTTCTTTATTATAAATTTTTAGGATTTTTTTTTTGGTACATCAAAAGTGTGGTTATGATGACCATCCGACAAGCTAATACAGATAAAAAATAGTGCTTAAAATCTATTTAAATCTCATAATTAAATATAAAACGAGTAGTGTAACTCTAAAAATGTCCATAATTTGAGAAAAAAGAACCACCAGTTTGACCAGGCTGGCTACTGGCCTACATACACTACAGCCAATTTCATTCATTCATTTTCTTTTCAGCTTACATGGTCTCCCTAATTAATTGGGGTCGCCACAGCGGAATGAACCATCAAATTTGCATATTTTACTCAGCGGATCCTCTTCTGTACTGCTAAACATCCATGCACACTCATGTGAGGTAAACCGGAGTGCACTGCGTCACCCGAAACCAAAATCCCCCGACAAAGTATATAGACCTGGCTGCCAGACTCAACTCGTGTCACCTGTCAAACCCAAAAGTGGTGCGTGTCTCTTTAAGAGCGCAGGTAAAGGGTGTGGTCAAACTACAATTTCAAAGTTTCCGGGAAAAAAAAAAACCGAGTAAACAGGTTGAAGATGAACACGAGACGGACGTAGCAGAAGAAACATTTACGGCATTCCCCAAATCGATCACGAGTTAATCTTAATAATATTTGCATTTATTTAATCATATTATACAAAAAGTGTTTGATGCGTTTTACCGGGAAACAAAAGGAAACTCGATCGAGTTGTCAAAGGAAAGTGTATTTTATCCCGTAATCTGAAAGGACTTCCTGACAAGCCAACGATGATGATAACATCTGCTGTAGTTTTATATCTGCTTCTTCTTTCTCATCAAACAGGTGAGTTCGTTGACAGGTACATTTGTCGTGCGTTCATTTTGAAGGAGACATCATCGGGTGTTATTGTACTTTATTATGTATTTCCAGCTGATTTACAAAAATGCTATGATCATGTCCAAACCAAACACCTCACTCCTGTAGTTTTTAAGTAGTTTTTAAATCAATATTATTTTACCTTAATTATTCGCAGGGTATGAATTATTGATATCAACAATTAACATCTCACTAGTAAAAATGCTAATTTATCAGTTACTGTGAGTTCACTAATAATAACAATGACAATATTTAATATCAGGAAATGACGACTAGAAAAAATATAAAAAATGACGTCGTCACTTGGAGGAAAAAAAAACAATGTTCTTCATATCAGGGGTGACATTTTTATAAATTGTCACACTATTGATTGCCATTTAAATTAAGAATTGAGAAAATCCTGCAAATTAGCAAAACTGCTATTAGCTTAAAGCTTCTTTTTGATAGGGCAAGTGAAACCATGATACTAAACAAAGTTTACATGGGAATTGTACCATAGTATTACCATAGTACTTCTGTTTTTTTTTATTTAACTTCTGTTTAATGTCAAATCACTGTACTGCTCCAAAAAGCACAGCTTTCTTTCTTCCTGTATAGACTGCTATTTGAATTCAGTTGTTGGTGTTGGTAACAAGAATTGAGTAGCCTGCAAATTAACTTAAAGTTTATTTTTGATAGGCCTTTTTAAAAATTGAAACCATGGTACTAAACAATGTTTAGCCTACATGAAAATAATATTAACATAGTGCTTTTGTTTGAAATTTGAAGTGCTCCAAAACACACTGTTCTTTCTTCCATAGACTGCCATTTAAATTCAGTTTGTTTGTATCAAGAATTGGGAGAAACCTGTAAATTAGCAAAACTGCTATTTAACTTAAGGCTTCTTTTTGATAGGCCAAGTGAAATCACGGTACTAAACAATGTTTACATGGGAATTATGTAAAATAATATTGCCATAGTACTTCTGTTTTAATATTTAAAGTCTTTATATCACTGTACTAATCCAAACACACTGTGTTCTTTCTTCTATAGACTGCCATTTAAATTCACTTGTTGGTAGGAATTAAGAGAATCCTGCAAATTAGCAAAACTGCTATTTAGCTTAAAGCTTGTTTTTGATAGGCCTTCTTAAAAAGTGAAGTCATGGTACTAAACAATGTTTATATAATAATTGTACTATAATATTACCATAGTACTTCTGTTTAATATTTGAGATGTTCATATCACTGTTCTCCTCCAAGACACGCTGTTCTTTCCTCCATTGATTGCCATTCAAACCAGTTGTTGATATAAAGAATTGTTAGTAGCCTGCAAATTAGCAACCTGCAAGTTAGTGTAAAGCTTATTTTTGATAGGCCTCCTTAAAAAGTGAAATCATGGTACTAAACAATGTTTACACGAAAAAATTGTATACCATGATATTACCATAGTACTTATTTATTTAATTATTGATTTATTGCATAACAAGAACAATAGCATACAATAAAGAGGAATACAATGCTTACATTTTTCACGTCAAAGAAACAAATCAATAGAAAAAAAAAAAGAAATTACAGGGGATATATAAATTGCAAGAAATTCACATAAGAAAATGTTTTCAAAATTGCATACATCCTTCTAGCTTTTTTTAAAAAATTTCTTTTAGGGTTTCAAAATAACGCTTAAGATTAATTTTCAACAAATACATGTTAGGTTTATCATTGGACCATTTTTTTTGTTTGTGTACATGGCACTACCCATATATAATCATCAAATTATGATTAAAATTATAATCAACAAATTCTGCTCCAAAGTATTGTTATTGTATGTCAAAAAATATCTTTACAAGAAAACAACATTTTTAAATTTTGTAAGTTTAAATATAAGATATTCAACATCAGACCAAAACATTTGGCTATATGTGCATTCAAAAAATTGTTTTATCGATTCCTCCTCTAATTCAGATGAATTAGTTTATATGTCACTTCTTTAACTTTATTTGTTAGACAGTATTTACTAGGTAAGTTCCAAACTTTTTTTATACTCAATCTACTTAAATAAGAACATTCCAAAAAGATTTGCATTTAGGCAACAATGGGGTTCTGGTTCTGCATAACGTTTTAAAGTTATTAAATATATTGTCTTTAGTTTTCACACCATTGATACTTAATATGTAAAAGATTGGATTCAGTGGACATACTAACAGATAAGTTACACAGAACAAGTCTACTAGGAATTTCATCAAATACTATTGCAAATTCAATCTTAAGACGTCTTTTTGATAGGCTTTTTTATAAAATTGAAACCTTGATACTGAACCGTGGTTTACATGGAGGATTATACCATTAAACCATATTATATATTATGCTTTTAATTTCACCCAGCCCCAGGGCTTCCAGTTAATTGTAATTCAATACAAAATCGCCACATTTAAGATCTGATTTCTTTAAATAAACAGTGATCTTCACTGCCTGGCTGAGATATGATATATAAAGTGGGTATCAGGTCAAACAAGAAGCACTGCATTAAAGTGTATTGTTCTGCGCCATGTCTTTAAAATATGGAAATAAATTTTACCCCAGTATTGTCAATGGAGTTTCTGCACTAGCCTGGTGCTAATGACGGCACTTGCGTTTAAACGGTCTTTCATCTCTTTTCACACGTTAACCAAATGGACGCTTAAGTCTATTTAACTGATTATATTTGATTTACATTACAACATCGATGCTGTAAAAGCAACCTTAAGAAATTGAAAATAGTCACATAAAGCTTTCACCGGAAGTTCATCACTGGCTGAAAAACCCTAGCGGAGCTCATTGAGAAAATCCTGTAAATTAGCAAAACTGCTAATTAGCTTAAAACTGCTTGCCATTCTTTTTAATAGGCTTTACTAAACAATGTTTAATGGAAATTGTACCATAATACTACCATAGTACTTTTTGATTTATATTTGAAATGTTTATATCACTGTACTACTCCGTAACACACTGCTTTTCTTTCTTCCTGTAGTTTCAGAAGAGCAGGTGCAGCAGTTTGTTATTGGAGAAAAGGGGAACAACACAACACTACACTGTCTTGACCAGCCTGTTAATGCGTCTTCAGTTCTTTACCAGTGGAAGAAAGATGGAGCTGTTGTCGCAACCCAAAACCCCCCAAACCCGTCAGTGCATCTTTCTATTTCAGAGAATGGCTTTCTGAGGATCAGTGGCCTTCAGTTAATCGATGAAGGACTTTATGAATGTGAATCCCAAGCAAAGGGTGGACGCTCGTGGCAGACTCTTTCAAAAATCCAACTTACAATTGCCGGTATGTAGATCTGTAAACCCTACTAATGTGACAACAGAAAGCTTTGATAGATCGCTCCAGTTTCTGTAAGACTTCAAACTGGTTTTTCTGGTTTAACTGCTATGCATGAATCTAGAAAAGCACCGCCATGTGACTGAGATGTGTAGGATAGCCAACATACATTAAGACTAGCTGAAATTGAAACAAGGCTGTGGTCTAGTTCTTATGTGGATTCTCAAAAAACGTTTGGGATATTGAGATATTTTATTAGGAATAGATGCATTGAAAATAAAGGTTTACTAAAATTTACTAAGGATTTATTCTTTATTTATGTATTAATTAAGAATTTTAAGTAACATGCGAATGTGCACTTCCGTATTGCGGGATCAGTGTGTGTACCCTGATATAAACCTATATTTACAATTCTAAAATGCATGGCACATCGTGGCGCAGCACATCCGGTGTGCGGCCCCCTTTTTAGTGGTCTTGCTGCAGACAGTTACAACCTTTTTTACATCCTTGTTGAAACTCACACTGCTAGCGATCGAAAATTTATGTTAATTTGGCAAGCTGAACGCATTCTGTACTGTACAGGAGACATGGAGGAGACTAACTGACAGTTTTACATCTTCTAACCCAGTGGTTCTCAAACTGTGGTACGCGTACCACTAGTGGTACGCGGGCTTCCTCCTAGTGGTACGCGGAGGAATCGCCAAATAATGAAAGAAACAATTAACACTTTTAATCCTTTGATGCGTAATATAACATCGATGTGATCAGCATTGGCTGTTTTGTGAAGCGTACGATCACAACGCTGTGCTTAGAGTGTTTACTTTAGTGCTTTGTGACATAAGCTGCTGAAAATCAGTTTCCGAAGTTTAAGAATTGATTCTGAAGGGTGATTTGACTGCCATGAAAAGTAGCCAATCACAGTCCACCTTTTCTAGTTGCGTGAAACGTAAGGGCGGGACAAATGCTTTCTGTGTTGCAGAGACAGAAAAAACAACTTAAAAACAAAAGTTTTGTTGGAATAGTGCTTCTCGGATGTTTTCACTATATAGATGTCTAGCAGAGTAATTAAACCGCGGACATATTTCCTGCCTTTTTGATTATCTACATACACGTTTCGCTCTCCGACAGCCAGTCGACTCGCCTCTGACCTGTCACTCCTCTAAATACATTCTGAATGGCGGCACGGGAATGGAGGTATTGCTCAATTACTCATTTCTGCAAATGTGGCGAGTGTTTTATTTTAACACGAGAGAGCGCATTCATGTACGCAAATCGCTAAAACAGATATGCGAGCTCCTAAATAGGCTTTTTTTCAAATGAACTGCAAGTCCTCTCATGATCGCGTGTGTGCTCAGATTGAATACAATCGCGATCTCTCCACTATTAAAGTAGACATTATTTGTCTTTGCTCCTTGACTAAATTTAGTCAAAAGTATTCAAAGTTATCAAGTATTTAGAATTAGATTGATGCATGATCGATGACAATGCAAATTGTCTTCTTATTTGGCTGTATTGTGAAGTGAAACTTACTTTTAGCAAAGGTGGAACTTATTTCTTTACGACAAAAGAATAATGCTGGAAATGTTTCTGGATGAGGTATTTGAGTGATTTATACATTTAGCTGTATTCTGATCTGTGTTAAAGCATTACAGGTTAAAACAATTCGTTGTTACTTATTGTTTATTTATCAAAATTATCAATAAGGCTCTTAAAACACTGCGTTGATAGATGTAGTGTTGTCATATTTCAAATACCTCAAGTAAAATGAAGTCATTTGTTTTATTTTTTTACTGAAAGTGTACTTGTTTTTTTTTTTTTTGTATTTTAGATTAAGATCAAGTGTAAAATAAAATCTACATGTGATGTACAGCTATTTAAGAAACAAATTTGCCATATTGTAAAGAAAAATAGTGTAAAATATGTAAATAAAAGGCCAAATTTAAATATTTTACCATATACTTTAATTAAACCTTTCAAAGCTTGAAAATATTGTTTAAAAAATGGGCAAAAAGTGTCTCTTTACCAGTAGTTTTACCAGTGCTATTGAAAAAAAGATTAATTGTCATGAAAGGAAAAATCAACCATACTTCCTTTGTTAGTGCAAATTCCTATACATGTAGCTTTGAGATTTAAGCAATTAAACCATTCAATCAGGTTTACACTTAAAAAAGTGATTTCAAAATGAAAATCTGATTTTTTATTTCAAAAGTAACCAACTAGTACTTTTTAAAAGAGTACTTTGTACTTTTACCTAATATTAGTATTATTTACAAAAAATTGTGTTATTTTAGCAGTGTAATAGTATTTTTCCTTGAGTACAAAAAAGATTTCACAATCATTAAGTGCAGGTTTATTATATTATTAATATATGATTAATAAATATTTTTAGTATTATTATTATTAATGGTTTTTATTTGTATCTATTCCTATGCAATGTTTTATGGGTTGCTGAGAATACATTTCAGGTCTTCAATACATAGCATGTCAGTCTTGAAAAAAAAAAAAGGTGCTGGAATTGATTTTCATTAGGCTGTGCCTGTATGAACCCTGTCATATGTACATTTAACATTTCAAGATTTGTCTAAAAGTGTATGAATATGACATATAGCCTATATTTATGAGGTCCAAGCAACATTTCCTGCTTTTGATGAATAGGCTATTATGAATACTTTAGATTTAAGTGCAGCAGTTTTCTTTTTACTTTTTAAGAACAGCGCCATTTTTTATGAACCTTTAAACATTTTAACTAAAAATTTTTATTTTTTTTACCTGCAAGCACAGTTAATGTTCAGACTATTTAAAATGTTTAAAGTGACTGACAATAATACATATTCTTAATAATAGGAATTAATCTGCATCGTTTTTAAACTGTGCACACCTGTAGCTGCTTAATTAGGCCCACAACACTATTTTTTAATACTGGTTAAAAAATAGCGTCGTAAGGTGGTACTTGGAGAGACAATTTTTTTCTAAGGTGGTACTTGGTGAAAAAAGTTTGAGAACCACTGTTCTAACCCAAATTTTGTCTCTGTTTTGGAGCACACTAGCTTATAGATATCCTAAACAGTACGGATACTAACATCTAAAAACTATTTTTAATGACATTTAAGGCTAAAATGGCTCTTATAGGAAAACTAAAGGAGTGCAAAATCCCACAAATGGCAAACAGAATGAGATCAATGCTCAGAAAATAAACTTTTTGAAGTTCAGCCAGACATAGGAGGAACATCTAATTTATTTTTTACCTTAAGACACAATCTAAAAAACTGTTTTAGATTTGTATCTTATATGTTATCATCATCATTATTATTATTATTTATGTATTTTATCTTGTGTATTATTTATTGCTGTTGCTGACTTTTAATTGTTAGAATAGTTTTTATAACTATAGAAAAGTGGTATTTATAAAATGTGGTAAACTTGATCTGTTTTTTTTGTTGCCATGACAAAGCCAAAGAAGCTGAAATGACAATAAACTCAAAATTCTCTCTCTCTTAAGGCTAAAGTAATGATGCTAAAAAATCAGCTTTGTCATTACAGGAATGAATTGGTTATTTATTTAATTAATAAAAAAAAACAAGCAAAAATACTTTTGTGATAATATTACACCATTATTTTTTACACAATTTAGAATTAAATAAATTCAGAATATGAGAACATTTTGAATATAATGGCTTAAATGATTAATTTCCCATTTATGCCATCAGTTTTTTTATAATAAAAAGAAATTGATAAACTGGAATGAAGTGCTTTTAATTTTGTATTTTAATTTGTGATACAGTAATATGCTGCTATTTTATGTAACTATTAAATTCACAATATGTCAAAGCATTAAAGATGTTGCACAAAATCTTGTACACAAAGATGGTACACACAAACAGAAATCAACTACATTTTAAAACAAATTCAAATGAAAAAAACTATTAATTTGACAGAATATTTCGATATAATTGTTTCACTTTATATTTAATTAAAAATGTGTAGTCTTGAAGGTTTTGTTGAAGGTTATTATTAAAGTTTTGCATTTGTTTTATATTTCAGCTGGTCCCACTGGCGTATCACTGGACATAAGTCCAGCGACTTTCTTGAACAATGGAACGTTATTTGTCCATAAAGGTTCGGATGTCAATTTCAGTTGTTCCAGTGAGTCAAACCCATCACAAAACCTGACATGGACGGTTGACAATTTGGCATCAGATAATCCTGAAAGAGAATTTGGAAGCAAATCTCCTCTTGCGTTCTCCATTACAAATATCCAGCCACTAGATCAAGGGACGTACACTTGTACATCCCAGAATACACTCTCCAGGAGAACCGCGAACAAGACCCAGGAGCTGCTGGTTTACTGTAAGACAGGTTTCATATTTTTTACCTAAAAAATAAATAAAAATGTGTACATCCACCAATGTTGGTACCCCTGTTAAATATAAGCAAATAAGGCTGTGAAAAGTGTATTTATTATGTACATTTTGTTTTTATTAACAGAAAAGCTCTGTTGCTGGTGTTGAAAACAATTAATAACAAACACAACACAGTTTTATCAAAAATCTAATATCCTTGTTAAATATATGTGTGCCACATTTATTGGCATCCTTATTGATTAATTAATTAATTAATTCATTCATTCATTCATTTATTTATTTATTCATTCATTTTCCTTCAGCTTAGTCTCTATTTCAGAGGTCGCCACAGCGGAATGAACCGCCAACTATTCCAGCATACAGTATATTTTACTCGGCGAATGCCCTTTCAGCCTAGTACTGGAAAACACCTATACACACTTTTTCACACACACAAACACACACGCATGCACATGCACTCATACACTACAGACAATTTAGTTCACCCAATTCAAGAAGCAAACTCCACACAGAAATGCCCACTAGTCCAGCCAGCGACCTTCTTGCTATGAGGTGACAGTGCTAACCACTGAGCCACTGTGCCATCCCCTCCATGAAGTCATATGTGGAAAAAAAAATCTATTTATTTGTATATTATTTTATTTATTTTTATTAAAACAGCTGTGGTTCCGGTATCTTGCAATAACATGTACAGCAGTTCTTGTTTTATATTAAAATGCATGCAAATTCCTTAGAGCCAAAATTAGAAAGACAAAGGGTAGGTAAAATCAAGAAAGTTCCAGAAAGTGCCAAAAGTGCAAAAAAGCCTCTAATATTTTATGTAAATTAAAAGCGACCTGTCTGAGTACATTTTTCCAATGGTAAAAGTGTTGTCTCCTGACTCATCCACATGTTGACTGAAAGAATCTGAGAACTTGACTTTAATAACTTTAATAATAATGACTGTAAATAGTAGTTTTCCTGGTACTGGGTTGTGGCTGGAAAAGCATCTGCTGCGTAAAACATATGCTGGAATAGTTGGTGGTTCATTCCACTGTGGCAACCCCAGATAAATAAGTGTCTAAGCCAAAGAAAAATGAATATATGAATGAATAATAATGTACATTTTTAGCCAAGTATATACAACAGTTTAGCACGTTCTTTATTGCAATCAAGACAAACACTGCGTTCCACATGGCATACAATGCGCTTACACATTGTATTAATGAACTTACACACTCAACAGCATAGTATATGAATTAGGTTTGTGAAGTGTCCAACACTGCACACTTATATTTAATGGTTGAATAAGGGGCATCATCTGGGTATTTAAAGTGCACCTATTAATTTTAGAATAAAATGCAATATTCATTCATTCATTCATTTTCCTTTATCTTAGAACCTTTTTTTTTATCAGGGGCTGCCGCAGTGGAATGAAACACCAACAATTCCGGCATATGTTTTACAAAGTGGATGCTCCTTCCAGTTGTAACACAGCACTGAGAAACACCCATAAACTCTCACATTTACACACACACATACACTACGGCCAATTTAGTTTATTCACCTATAGCGATTGTCTTTGGACTGCGGGGTAAACCGGAGCACCCAGAGGAAATCCACACGAACACGTGGAGAACATGCAAACTCCACACAGAAATTCCAATTGGCCTATCCAGGAGTGTAACCAGCGACCTTCTTGCTGTGAGGCGACAGTGCTAACCACTGAGCCACCGTGCCGCCCTAAAAAGAATATTTGCGTGTGAATGCACTATTTAAACTATATAATAGTGCATAAGTATGCAATTTGGGATGCATCTGATGTTCTACTGTACACTTCAGGTTATGTACCATTGGGTATATTACAAAAGCTTTTCCAATTATTTTCTGAATAATTTTTTTTCAATACTTTTTGAATCCGTTATAGTCCCACTATAGGTGCATCATTTAAACACACCTGAGAACAATTAGGATAATGTTATAGGACGGAGATATATATATAATTTCTTTTATTTATTTATTTATTTATTTATTTCAGATAATACAGAATTAAAACCGGAAAAAAATGACTGGTATTCTTATTTAACAACCAACACATTTCCAGCTCTACCAAATTTTAGAAACAAATTGAAAGGTCCCAAAACTCCCTCCAAGATCTTGTATTTATCTCGTAATATATAGGTTATGTGTGTGAATAAGTGTGTATGGGTGGTTTCCAGTACTGGGTTGCGCTGGGCACCCGCTGTGAAAAACATATGCCGGAATAGTTGGCGTTTCATTCCGCTGTGGTGACCTCTGAGATGGAGAATAAGCTGAAGGAAAATGAATGAATGAGTACATAGTTTATCTGTTCCATTGTCATGTTTGTAACCATGTATTTCAGCCAACATCCTATACATGTACACACATTTTTCCAATTTAAAGAAATAATCAGTTTAGCTTGAAGAAAACATACATTTTTAAATATAAATTCAGTCTTTTTAATTTTGATTTCCCTTTGGGTATAAATGAAATTTAATAAATCTGAGGTGACAATGGAATATTCACACAAACTATCTTCTCTGTCATTCCTTTCACTTCTTTCCAAGAATTTCTAATTTTGTCACACTACCATATGCAACGATATAATAAACCTTTAAACTCATGCATCATTGCATCTTATACAGGTGTCTGGAATGTTTTCATGATGTTCATGCAATACCACTGGAGTTCCGCATCAACCACTTATATTGTAGCAGCTTCAGCCGTGTATTTATTATTTGTGATTGAGCCTCTTTGCTCTGTTAATATTTTGAGCAACGCATCAAAAGGTTAAAAAAAAAAGCCAATTTCTTATTTCCACTGGGTCCCAAATTAGTTAAGGGTGAAAAACAGTACTATGCAGCAACTTAGTGTACTTTTTCTTTGTTTTGTAGTTTCTTCAGTTTATCTCCAGACTTTATAATTAATGTAAAAATGAAATACCGGTTTTAATAATCTTTAATAATACTTTTTTTTTCAGATGCTCCAGATAGGCATCCGGAGTGCAGTTGGGAGTTGGGAGATAAGCCATCTGATGTGTTGTTCATATGTAGCTGGTTTGGAGGTTACCCTGTGCCCACTCTGACCTGGCAGGAAGTCGAAGGAGCAGCCGAAGGTCCCACAATCAACTTGACGACGCCCCAGCAGACTGAAGAGCTGAATGTCTCTGTGAACAGGTCAATCCTGCACGATGGAGATGAAGTGAAATGTACTGGACATCATGTGACAGGAGTGGAAAAATCCTGCTTCTTTACCCTCAGTAAGTCACTTTTATTCTGTATTACAAAAATGCAGATCATCATTGAAATGTTTGATAAAAGGCACAGTGTGTAAGATTTATTTATTAAAATATATATCAAAAACAAACTAACACTAGAACAGTGTTAAGTATTTTGCTGACTTGTGTATTTAAATTATCCCAAATGTTTACAAGAATGATCAAATTCAAAGCAATTTTAACTAGTGGAATGCATGGGCTGTGTGTTCATGCTAAAGATGTCACAAACCATCGATTTTTCAGTTTTGTTTTATAGAAAACGAAGAAAAAACAAAACCGCTTTAATATGTTGTGTGTTTTATTAGACTGCACAGAGCAGAGTTATAACTGTAGCCTAAAATGTGTTTATTATGATAAAATAGTGCTGCTTCTTCTCCACCTGATCACTAGTGGAACAACCAGAAATAGTTCTATACAACTTAGTAACATTGAACTATGACTTAACTAGGTTAACTAGGCAGGTTAGGGTAATTAGGCAAGTTATTGTATAACGATGGTTTATTCTGTAGACAATCGAAAGAAATATTGCTTAAAGGGACTAATAATTTTGACCTTAAAAATGGGTTTAAAAAATGTAAGACTGCTTTTATAGCCGAAATAAAACAAATAAGACTTTCTCCAGAAGAAAAAAAATTATAGGAAATACTGTGAAAATGTCTTTGCTCTGTTAAACATCATTGGGGAAATATTTTAAAAAGAAAATAAAATTCAAAGGGGGGCTAATAGTTCTGACTTCAACTGTACATGAGTGCTTAAAAGTTTGGGATCAGGGTTTTTGTGTATGTGATGAAATTAACTGTTTTTTTCAGCAATAACATTCACAATGCATTACATAATCATAATTGCAATATCTAAGCGAAATCTGCCAATTAAAATAATTTCTGAAGGATCATGTGACTGTGACGCGGTAATGATAAAAAATTTAGCTTACAAGAATAAGTTACATTTTACAAAATATTACATTATATAATAATACATCTTTTTGTCAAATAAATTTAAATAACCCAGAACCAAAACCTTTGAGAATGTTTTTCTAATAAACACTTTTAGCCAAGATTATACTTAGTCAACTTTTTTGTGTGTAATATTGTAGTAATTATTAAAAATTATTTATTTGTGCAAATCATTATGTTAATTCATGTGCTCATGAATCAAAATATACTTTTCTCCCACTTCACAAACTTCTCTTCTTCAATGTTATGTTTTTTTGTATGAAGGCCTGTTATAGGGTTGATTAACCTGTCAATAATACACAATCCACCAATAGCAAACCGCAAACACCCAATCTAACTCTAATGAACAAAATTATGTCCCGTCCTAAACTATTTATTGAAATGAGGTGAAAAATATCGCAACTTCATTTTTATGTCTAACTAACCCTTGTGTACTGCTTAAACTGACTTTCGCTATGTTTGGGGCCTTTTTTGCCCCATTGACTTTTATTATAAAATGACATATTTGACCTCTTCCCAACAGGGAAAATAAGCGACAATCAAGAATGCATGATTACATGATGTCATTCCTTTGCATTCTAAAAAATTTCATTATAATGGAAGTCAATAGGGCAAAAACAGCCCCCAACATAACGAAAGGGTAGTAAATTTACCCAAAGCGAATTTTTGAAAACTTTCAAAGCACTTTCCCCAAATATTTGTCAGAATAAGATTTGTGACCAAAAATCATTTCATTGGCTGAAACACAGAGAAAGATGTGGCAAAATTATCACTCAGAATCACCCCAGAGTAGATAAAAACATCCCCAAAAGCACACAAGGGTTAACAGTAAAAGATCTTTGATACATGTCATGATTGTCAGTATATGTTGGGACCCTCTAATGATTTTTTTATCCTTAAACATAAAAACAACTTATTAAAAGTGATCATATTTCATGTGTCTTCCAGAGATACCATACCCAACAGGACAACCTCTGGCCACCGCTTTGGAAGGCACCAATATCACCATCAGCTGTACTGAGACCAGCTCTCTACCGCCAGCCAAAACTGTCTGGAAGAAAAATGATGACCTCATCGAAAACACCTCGAAATATATAGTGCAAGAAAATAGACCCGCATTCACACTCACTATAGTCAATGTAACAAAGGCTGATGAAGGAGTCTACTACTGCTACAGTGAAAACCCCCTGGGCGCAAGAGAGCTGGAAGTGTATCTGAATGTGAAGAGTAAGTCTGAAAATTCAGTGTTTCTCAATACATTAATTTATACAGTACATGTGTGTTTTTGTAATTGTATTTAATAAAATTATTATAAAAATATAATTAAATGTTTAATAATGAAATGCATTTATTTATTTATTTAATTAATAAATTAATAAATTATTTTATTATTATTTATGGTCACACTTTATTTTGATGGTCTGTTTGTTACAACTAATTCTCATTAGATTATACATAGACTGTTAGGTTGGGGTTAGGGTTAGTAAGTGGACATGTACTTGCAAAGTTTCTTATAGTCAGTTAAATGTCTATTAAAGGAGCAGCATCAACAGATATTAAGCAGACAGTCTACTAATACTCAAATGGACCATCAAAATAAAGTGTTACCTAATTTATTATTATTATTATTTATTTATTTTTGCAATTACAATTCTTTTATTGTAGTAATAAAGGTCTAGATTGCCTCGAAAAACTCGAAAATTCTCAATTATTAAAGAAATAAAATATTAAAGTACAATAACTTTCATGACAAGAATGTTACCCCAAATTTCCCTTGCTGATTTTTAGTGTTTTTAAATTATACTTATAATTCATTATTTTCTATTTACAATCTTTATTTAAAAATTACAATTTAAATCTATAACAATTTTTTATTTGTTTAGGCATAAAGGCAGTAGAAAATTCTGAAGTAAACTGGTACTTGAATAATAATTATCATACATTAAAACTGTAAAACAGTACTTTGAATTTAAAATAACTGTTTAAATATATTTCATGACATTTATACCTGTGAATTTCAGCATCCTTGGTTTTAAACGTGATATGATTTATCAGAAATCATTTTAACCTCCTAGGGCTTACTGGCCACATATGTGGACAGCACATTTTAGCTCTTGTGTCTTATGTCTTATGTTATATTTTTTTTTATTACAGACATGCAGTGTCATCCTGCAACTGTTTTGCAGCATATGAATAATCCCAGACACTGTCCAAAATGGCCAAAAAAATTACCGAAAGTCAAAACATGTTCAAAAATATGTGTGTATGTATTATTAATGCATTAAAAACAGTCAGGAAAAAACTGCTGTGTTCAAGGCAGAAATACAGAGTTTTTCATACTATTACACAAAGGTGACTTTATTGTATTTTATGGAAATGCAGACCACGAGTATATGGACATAATTTTTCTTTAAAAGTACATCGTATCAAAAGATGTATTTATAATGTAAGATATAATTATTATGTACAGTTGAAGTCAGAATTATTTGCCCCCCTGAATTATTAGCCCCCTTGTTTATTTTTTCCCCAATTTCTGTTTAACGGAGAGAAGATTTTACATTTACATTTACATTCAGCACATTTCTAAACATAATAGTTTTAATAACTCATCTCTAATCACTGATTTATTTTATCTTTGCTATGATGACAGTAAATAATATTTGACTAGATATTTTTCAAGACACTTCTATACAGCTTAAAGTGACATTTAAAGGCTTAACTAGGTTAATAAGGTTAACTTGGCAGGTTAGGGTAATTAGGCAAGTTATTGTTTAATGATGGTTTGTTCTGTAGACTATTGAAAAAAATATATAGCTTAAAGGGGCTAATAATATTGACCTTAAAATTATTTTTAAAAAATTAACAACTCCTTTTATTCTTGCAGAAATCAAACACATAATACTTTCTCCAGAAGAAAAAATATTATCAGACATACTGTAAAAATTTCCTTGCTCTGTAAACATCATTTGGGAAATAATTGAAAAAGGGAAAAATCAATGGGGTCTAATAATTCTGACTTCAACTGTATTATGTCGAAACAAACTTATTTTATGTTATTAAACTTACTTTTTACTTTTATAATGTATTATTATCCATTTCATCCAATTTCTCACGTCATAGATAACTGCAGATGATTTCAGCTGTTTAGGAATGAGACACATATTTTAAACAATAGCCTACATCAGAGATGTACACTAGCTCAGGGGATACTTGAGATGCTAGTGATGCTAAAGTTATGACACCAGTGCATGAATGTGACCAGACCAGATGTTTCTTTGCTCTCTAACACCTCTGCCTTAGCTAAAGTATGTAAAAGCCTTCTGGTTTTAGAAAGTACAGTATGATGTGTATTTTTTTATTTATTCTCAGCCTCTGCAGGAAATGGAGGAGCCATTGTTGGGATCTTTGTCTCTGTGTTGGTAATGATGATTGGAATTGTTGTCGGTGTGACGGTTTATACGAAGCGGGATCGAATTTGCATCGGTTAGTATTTTTACATATACTGAAAGACATTGTTCACCTAAAAATGAAAATTTTCTCTATTTGTACTCCCTCAACATAGTATTTTCATTCTTCTGTTCTCACAAAAGATGTTACTGGTAGCCATTGACATCCATAGTACCGACGGGTACTTTTTTATATATATAAAGTTAAGGTCAACATTATTTGCCCTCCCTTTTTTTTCAAATGTTTCCCAAGTTGTGTTTAACAGAGCAAGGGATTTTTCACAGTATTTTCTATAATATTTTTTCTTCAGGAAAAAGTCTTATTTGTTTTATTTTGGCTAGAATAAAAACTTTAATTCTTTTTAAAACCATTTAAGATCAAAATTATTAGCCCCTTTAGGCAATATTTTTTTTTTCAATAGTCTACAGAACAAACCATCGTTAAACAGTAGGGATGTAATAGTATCAGAATTTCATGGTACAATAATGCCTCGGTATGAATGGCACGGTACGGTATTTATTGAATAATTTACAGAAAAAACAAAACTAATGAAAAGACTCGAAAAAAGTGCCAAAAGTGTTTATTTACCTTAGCACTGAACATATCAATGACATACAATTTAGCCATCTATCTGAAGGTTTCGAAACAGGAACTTCAGTTTTTCAATTTTAATAACAAAAAACTATTAAACCATATAAAAAAATAAAGTTTCAATTTAGTATTGTTGAAAACTCATCACATTCAACATTTAATCACTCACTCACTTAGATAGAGATGTTTTTTTTTTTAAAGGAAAATGATCATAAAACTATAAAAGCTGGGATCTCTGGGCATGTCCCCTGCAACAGAAAAAAAAACCCCTCTCATTTGGGACTGAGGTTTCTGGGACAGAGAGATATGATTTAGCCAAGGTTGACAGCAGTGGGTAACGTTGTGCATTGTCTTTCCACCACTTGAGAGGACAAGCCATGAGTGAGATAGAGGTCTCTTTACGGTACAAGTCAATGTCTGCATCAATCTAACAAGTGTGCTGTGTTCTGCAGTCCCCATGACTGTTTTTAGTCGTATTCCCCGACTTATATTTCACCACAGTCTGGCAGTGCCTGCATACTGTTTTTTTCTTTGTCTGTCACCTTGTCCCCTTTTTCGTTTCTTTTTAGAAAGAAACCGAAATGCTTCCACACATCCGATTTAAAACCCGCTTTAGGTTCGATCACTTCCAGCTCTTTTTCTTCCCCGCTACTAGCAGCACACTCCATTTCCACATTACTGGATCTGTAGTGACAACAGACCGCAAAGGATGATGCCCACGCCTAGGCTGATGGGAATTGTAGTTCCCGCTACCTCCCGTTCGCTTCATTCGCCTAAGCAAACCTTTCTCAGAAATATAGTTTTATTGAGTCATGCACCTACGGTAATATTGAAAAAAATTACTATTGCGGTATGACAGTATTTACAATATTGTTACATCCCTATTGAACAGTAACTTGCCTGATTACCCTAACTTGCCTAATTAACCTAGTTAAGCCTTTAAATGTCACTTTAAACTGAATAGTAGTATTTTGAAAAATATCTAAAATAAATCAGTTATTAGAAATGGGTTATTAAAACTATTATGTTTAGAAATGTGTTGAAAAACCTTCTTTTCATTAAACAAATATTGGGGGGAAAGTATTCAGGAGGGCTAATAATTCTGACTTTAAGTGTATTTTTTTGTCCAGGTCATGGAATGTCAGAGATTTTTGTTATTGATTTTAATTGTTACTTTACATTTATTAAATGCAATTTTTCTATCAGGTTTTTATTGAGTTTTAATGGACCCTTTTCACAAGACATTTATTGGCAATTAACGTCATCAGCATCTTAAATCCTTGATCATTTTTAATATTTTGAGTAAAAAAAAGTACAGTTATATGTATTTGTTTATGTTTGTATAATATCATTTAATTGCACAAAAGGATTACCACTTTAGTGAGGTGTTACTAATGAGGCAGGACAGTAAATTGGTGTTGTTCCGTCTTCTGGCTGTCATTATCAGTTTCACACAGTGTTAATTTATTTTTCGGAAAGTCTTGATTACACCATCATGAAGTTTTTCTTTGATTATTTCAGAAAATGGAATCATAAAAAAAATAGTTGTATTCTCCCATTCACTGCACTCTTAAGTTTACCCATTTATAATGACTTCTCTTACTGAGAAAGCCAGAAATATGAAATGTGTCCATTATTTTTTTTTAAAGTGTAGCTTTCCACAGAGTGAAATATATCTATTTTTAGGCTGTGAACTAATCATATTTAATAAAGTTTAGACTTTTTTATGCCTCTCTACAACCAGTATTTAGTTATCTATTTAAAGTCTTAAAGTGGTGTAAAATAATTATTATTAAATGTTTCTATCAATGTTGTATTAATACCATAATCTAATTGAGAATATTAAATATGAAATTAAATATTTAATTAAAAACAGACAATTTAATCTGAAGTGTCCAGTCCATCTTTGTATCTGGCTTTAGCACCGTGACCTAAACAGATATGATTTGACAACACACGATTAAAGATGTATGTTTTGCCTGCTCAGTGCTTCTAGGTCATGGAAATTCAGCTTTTTAGTCACACTGTAAAAAAAATTCTGGTTGCCCTAAATGTTTAAGCTGAATCAAATTAACCTTATAAGTAATTTAAATGTACAGTTGAAGTCAGAATTATTAGCCCCTCTGAATTATTAGTGCCCCTGTTTTTTTTCCCCAATTTCTGTTTAATGGAGTGAAGATTGTTTCAGCATATTTCTAAGCATAATAGTTTTAAAAAACTATTTCTAATAATTGATTTATTTTATCGTTGCTATGATGACAGTAAATAATATTTTACTTGATATTTTCAAGACACTTCTATACAGCTTAAAGTGACATTTAAAGGCTTAACTAGGTTAATTAGGTTAACTAGGCAGGTTAGGGTAATTAGGCGAGTTATTGTATAACGATGGTTTGTTCTGTAGACTAACAAAAAAAATTAATTGCTTAAAGGGGCTAATAATTTTATCCCAAAAATGTTTTTTTAAAAATTAATAACTGCTTTTATTCTAGCCGAAATAAAACAAATAAGACTTTCTCCAGACGAAAAAATATGATCAGACATACTGTGAATAATTCTGACTTCAGCTGTACATACTGTTAAACTGACCTAAAACAGCTTGCATAAGGAAAGGGCATGATTAAGTTAGTTTAATAAGTTCCAGTTAACTAAAACGTGTGTTGTCATGACTAAATTCATTAGTTCATTTTAGCATTAGGGCTTAGTCCCTTTATTCATCTGGGGTCGCCACAGCGAAATGAACCATCAACTTATCCAGCATATGTTTTACACGGCGGATACCCATCCAGCTGCACCCCAGTCCTGTAAACTCATGACTAAATCATCAAATTATTTTTAAAGTGCATCAAAAAGTCAGGGAATTGGACATGTGGCTTAGCATTGGAACCCCGATAGTAGGGAAAAAATGCTATGGAGGTCAATGGCTTTTAATTTCCAACATTCTTCAAAATATCTTCTTTTGTGATGAACATAAGAAAGAAACTTTTATCCACAAGAACAAGTAGACAGATTTTTCCTTTTCCAGTCATCTCTTTTATTTCTCGCTAAATAAAACATTTTCATGAAGACGCTTGATTTTAAATGGTTTTTGCTTTTTTTGTTTTTCAGGTTTAGGATTCAGGTGAGTATGAATATAACTGGAAAACATTACAGCTGGAGTATTACAGATTAATGTATGTTTAGTGTCAGGCTGATGCATTGTGATCTTTGGTTTTCTAGTCAATTAGATGATGACCGAGTGGATGTTTTGAGTCTAGTGGACTCGGATGAAGAGGAAATTTTCCATGAGGCTGTTCCTCGACTTCCTCCAGTGACAAACGGACACGCAACCACACTCGTGGAGATCCACAGAATACCATCCTGTAAGTCCATCAGTTCCTGAATATACTGTATTTCACAATGTTTTGAGAAATATGCTTGAAATGTAGAACTGGAAATTTGTTTTACAATGAAATGATTATATTGTTGGTTGGTTGACACTTTCATCAGTTTGTTGCATGGTCGTAGATACAGTAGCTTGAAAATATCGGTTTGTTTTCATTTTAGTTTTCAGGATCATTTCATATGTTTTTACAAGGAAAAACACACATTTTTTCAAATAGGTGCAGTTTTACCGACATTTTTTTCTCTCATTTCCTTTCATGGATATATTTTAGTTAAACTTTGTTTTTTATTGAAATATGTTAGTCAGAGAGCCACAGCATCAGATACACAGAATCATTAGACATCAACTGCTCAATGTGGTGGTAGAATACAATTTTGCTCACGTTTTCTTTCTCTCTGAATTAAACAATATAAAAAAAACAACAACAGTACAGAGAATAAATAAATACAAATACTCAAAGGGTATAACAGTAGAAAATAAAATATATACTAAAAATAATAATAATAATAAAAAATAAAAATAAAATAAAATAAAAAACACTCTCCATTCATAACTATGCCAGGGGCAGGGAAAATAAGTTAGCTATATACTTGCATACATATACACTTACATATATACATGCTTATTTATTATTTTTTATTTTTAAAGTGTAAGAGGAAGGGTTGCCAGATAGTGTCAAATTTTTCAGTATTACCGCAAACTGTGAGGGATGTAATGGTATCAGAATTTCACGGTACGATAATACCTCGGTATGAATGTCACGGTACGGTATTTATTGAATCCTTTACAGGAAAAAACAAAACTTATGAAAATACTCCAAAAAAGTGCCAAAAGTGTCAATGACATGCAAATTAGTCATCTATCTGTAAGCTTTGAAACAGGAACTTCAATTTTAATAACAAAAAATATTAAACCATGTAAAAAAATTAAGTTTCAATTTAGTAGTGTTGAAAACTCATCACATTCAACATTTAATCACTCACTCACTTAGATAGAGATGGGTTTAAAGGAAAATTATCATATAAATATAATCTGGTAAAAGCTGGTATCTCTGGGCATTTACAATGTCCCCTGCAACAGAAAAAACCCCTCTCATATGGGACTGAGGTTTCTGGGACAAGAGAGATATGACTTGGCCCAGGTTGACAGCAGTGGGTAACGTTGTGCATTGTCTTTCCCCCACTTGAGAGGACAAGCCATGAGTGAGATAGAGGTCTCATGTCTGCATCAATCTGAACAGTGTGCTGTGTTTCTGCAGTCCCCATGACTGATTAGTCGTATTCCCCAACTTGCAGGCACGTGCACACACAGTGCTCAACCTGTGCAGTGCACATGCCCTTTTTAGTCTTGGATAGAAAGTTCCCTTCCAAAATGATCAAAAGTGCCCCCGCGACGCGACAGACCCTCCGTCCCCGCTTTACAGTACGCGCACGACAACACAGCTGATAAGAACTCGCACGACAACACCGCTATTCACTACGCGCGCGACAACACAGCTGATAAGAACTCGCACGACAACACCGCTATTCACTACGCGCGCGACAACACAGCTGATAAGAACTCGCGCGACAACACGACTATTCAGTACGCGCGCGGCGACAACACCCGCTTTAGGGTTTTCCAGCTCTTTTTGATCCCCGCTTCTAGCAGCACACTCCATTTCCGCATTACTGGATCTGTAGCGACAACAGACCGCAAGGGATTATGGCCAAGCCTGGGCTGATGGGAATTGTAGTTTCCGGTACCTCCCGTTCGCTTCATTCGCCTGAGCAAATTTTCTCAGAAGACCTATAGTTTTACCGAGTCATGCGACTACGGTAATATCGAAAAAAATTAATATTGCGGTATGACGGTATTTACAATACTGTTACATCCCTACAAACTGTATATCTAATCTTTTCTTTTTGCATAGACTACATCAAATCATGCATCCAATATATGTTCATGGATATATTTTAAATTATTTATTAAACAGTAAACACTCAGGACCTTCCCCACTAAAATGTTTTCATATAAACCCATTAAAGTGACAATTTTTAATCTCAGTTTCATTAAGCAAAAAAGCGATATGCTGTGTTCCAATTTGCATACTAAACGTCCTTCAGTTCTAATTTGTATTCAAAAATTGAATTAATAACGTTTCTCAATGCATTCTTAAGCGATCTTGAGTTCTCATGTAACATCATCAAGCGCCAAAGTTCGATTGCAAAACTCAAGACCGCAAGAACAGAGGACGCATGTTCCCTTTGAGTTAATGCATCCTCTATATCAAGAGAAGTCTATAGCGATCACTGATTGGCTCCTGTACTAGAAGGCGGACATTATTTACCATTTTGACGGTTACACTTTTCTCATTCAAATCTCTAGTGACTTTTGTGTTCTTTTGGCTGTGTTTGAAATGGCATATTTCAGTACTTTTTTGTGTTAAATTGAGAATCAGCCAATATGTGCCAAATCATAATATGTTGAAATGAATGTTTCAAAGTCTCCTGGATGGTCTACTATTTCCCTGTAGAAAGTGCAGATCCGTGCATACTCTTAATGGCTAATATTTCACATTTGATGTAAATAGATCTACAAATACAAAAGCAAACAGTGTTAATAAACTACACAAATGGCGGATATGAGAGAGAGAGAGCGCGAGCGAGCGAGAGAGCTTTGGTAAAAATGTTTAAATGTTTGCTAATTCTTGAAAATGTTTGTCTTAGTTATGTTTCACCTGCAACAACAATGTGAACATATACAGTTGAAGTCAGAATTTGTTGCCCCCCCTCTGAATTTCTTTTTTAAATATTTCCCAAATTATGTTTAAGAGAGCAAGGAAATTTACACAATATGTCTGATAATATTTTCTTTTGGAGAAAAGTCTTCTTTCTTTTATTTTGGCTAGAATAAAAGCAGTTTTAAAAATTTTAAAAGCCATTTTAAGGTCAGTATTATTAGCCCATGTATTCTGTATATTTTTTTAATAGTCTACAGAACAAACCATCATTATACAATAACTTGACTAATTACCCTAACCTGCCTAGTTAACCTAATTAACCTAGTTAAGCCTTTAAATGTCACTTTAAGCTGTATAGAAGTGTCTTGAAAAATATCTAGTCAAATATTATTTACTGTCATCATGGCAAAGATAAAATAAATCAGTGATTATAGATGAGTTATTAAAACTATTATGTTTAAAAATTTGTTGAAAAAATCTTCTCTCCGTTAAACAGAAATGGGGTAAAAAATAAACCGGGCTAATAATTCAGGCGGGCTAATAATTCAGACTTCAACTGTATAAAGATGTGATTGGTCTTTACTGAGTGCATAATTATTCAAACACCTAAGGAGATTTCTCTTCATGAAAGACCCACAAATGGCAGATTAAACCGATGCTGCTACTTTAACATGGTAGGAAATAAATGTGATTAATGTCACAATAGGATTGATTGGGCATGTAATTAAGCAACATATCGATCCGTTATTGAGGAAGTAGGACAGGTACGTCCCAAAGCTTGCATACTCCCCTGTTACACACAACTTTTTTTTTCAAAAAAGTACATACTTTTAGAACATAATACAAGTATGTGATTTTGAACACAGGAATACATTTTTTGTTTTGTTTTGTTATATGGCTTTCATTTTTATGGCAAGACTTTAAAATAGTAAAAAAAGTTAAATAGAAAAAGTTTATTTCTAGGTTTTTTGAAAATAGCAGCAAATCGCGCCAAACACATCTTGCGCCTTATTGCGCCGGGTGCATGCATATTTTGAATACCTGCTATAGCACAATAATTACTGTAATTACAAGTTTGCTTCACAAGCAAACTTAAATTGAACTTTCATGACTACAAATCACAAAAATATGCTCAGTTCAGAAATATTTAATCTTTGAACTTGAGGATGATGAATTGTGTTTATTGTACTTTCTAATGTGTGTGTTGATTTAATAGGTGATCATGAAGACATTGCAGACAGCACTGAACAGAGCGATCAAACTCATGCAAATCTGACAGAAGCAGGACCACAGAGAGCAGAATCACAACCAGCAGTTTAAACCTACACTACACCAATTCCTCAAACAAATTGTGAACTGTGCTAAATTATTTGTTTGTTTGTTTCGTGAGATGATGTTATGCTTGTGTAATATTCCAGTGATCTGTGTAAAGGATTTAAAACTATTTTAGAGAGGCCCTGTTTTTTATTTTCAGTATTAGGTTTTAATGTAAAGGCCTCAGATGGGAAAATGATAACTTTTACTGTCACATTACAGCATGTCAGTGAACTGTTACAGAATGAGCTTGTTTTTGAATGATTGTTTTCCATGGATATGCATAGGTGAACAAATCTGGGTCAGATTTTATGAAAAAAATAAAAAATACTGAAATTTTACAAAGGCTATTTTACATATATTCTTATAATTTGCAAATCTGTGTTGTTGTTTTTGTTTTCTTATTGGATTCATGTTTTATGCAAAAATGAGATGATGTTATCTGAAAAGTGATATTTTATTTGGTAACACTTTACTTTAATGGGGTGTTCATTAGACTGTCATCAAACTTTTGTAATCATGACATGATACATTTAATGAATAATGGAGATTTTGTGCTTATGAAAACTGTCATTAGCTCAGTTAATTGATTTTAAATGCAAAAGTGACATTGTTTGAGATGTCTTCATGACAACTTGACATAGAGGCATACAACGTAACTTGTCTTTTATTTATAATTTATATTGACATTTATTAACACACACACACACACACACACACACACACACACACACACACACACACACACACACACACACACACATATATATATGTGTATATATATATATATATATGTATGTATGTATATATGTATATATATATGTATATATATATATATATATATATATATATATATATATATAAATAAATAAATACACACACACACACACACACACACATATATATATATGTATGTATATATATATATATATATATATATATATGTATGTATATATATATATATACATATATATATATGTATATAAATACACACACACACACACACACATGTATATATATGTGTATATATGTATGTATATGTATTTATATATATATTTATATTTGTATATATATATATATATATATATATATATTTATATATATATATTTATACATATATATATATATATATATATATATATATATATATATATATATATATATATATATATATATATATATATATTTATATGTATGTAGGTAAATAAATGTCAAAATAAAATGCAAATAAAACATCAAACCAGATTTTTAATGACAAATTCAGTTTGTTCCACTGAAAAAGTGATTGGAAAAATATTAATGACAATTATAATGGATGCATGATGATTATGTTTATGACAGATTTATGACAAGTTATGTTGAATTGGTAGTGTCTGGTTGCCATGACAGACAAGTTATGGAGTATGTGGTTGTCAAGTTCTCATAAAAAACATTTAGAAACAATGTCATCTTTGAGTTAAAAATGACAACTGAGTGAATGACAGTTGCTATAAGCATATATAAAATCTCAAGTCATGATTATTAAAGTCTTATGAACACCCTCTTTAAGTAAAGCGTTACATTTGATTTTTTATTTATTAAAACAGCTTGAAATTTAAAGAGACCGATCACCCAAAATGAAAATTCTGCCATAATTTACTCATTTAAGGTTTTAAACCAGATATTTTTGTTGAACACAAAAGAAGATAGTTTGAAGAAAGATGAAAACCTGTAACCATTGACTTCCATAGTATTTGTCTTTCCTTTAATGTGAGTCTGTGAATACAGGTTTTTAGCTTTCTTCAAACTCTCTTCTTTTGTGTTCAACTGATTAAGAAATCTCAAAAAGGATAAAAACCACTAGATGAGTAAATCGTGAGTAACGTTTAATTTTTGGGTGAACTGTCCCTTTGAGTAATGGCACATGTCTCTCTGTAATGATTTATACAGTACAGATAGTGTAATAAATTTCATGAAAGATCAAAAACTATACTATCATGAATAAATGCATTTTAATTTAATGCTTAGGGTTCACAAAATTATAACATTATATTTCAATATTACATTTCTGAGATGTTGCTTTAATAAAAATACAACTTACAGATACACTGTAAAAACTTTGAGTCCATTAAACTTATATTATGTAAAACTGACTTAAAACAGCTCGCGTAACTTATAAAATTAAGTTAGAAGAGGATTAACTTAGTTTAATAAGTTACAATTACCTAAAAGATATCCTGTCAGGATCATAAAATTTATGCAACGCTTACAGTAAACTCACGTTCACACAATGTAGGCTATTGTAAGTGTAAGTCAGCAGATTGATTCATAAATGTCGCATGATAATCACATGAAAGTATCTTACAACACTCCTGTTCCTGGAGACTCACCAGCTCTACACATTTTCCAACTCTCCCTAATCAAAAACACTCCTCACTCAACTCATTAGAGCATTAGAAGAGACTAAAAAACCTGACATTATAATAGGTCATATAAAATGGCATGCAAACTATGTACTGTTGTTGTGCCTTTAGGAACAGGGTTGGGAAAATAGGCACACCCATAGATACTATAATACCTATGTACTGTACAGCTCTCGACGCCACGTGACTCCTCAGCTGGCCACACCCCCTCCGCTAAGTGAATTCCTGTGAGAAGGTATAACGTTAGAAGCGTTTGTGATTTCTTCATATCATGTGTTAGGATGTGCGCTCCTCCTCAAGCCTATAATGTAAAGGGTAAGACATTTTAATATGTATTTATCATATAACAACGCGTATATTTGGGAAATACGCTTGTATGTCAAGAGTAAAGGAGTAGTTCCGGATATGCGCAGCTTGTGTGTTTGATGGTTTGGTTGTTGTCGCAGAGCCACCGGAGCTGCTGGCGGAGCTGAAAGCCGCTCATCGGCCGCGGCTGTACGGGACGCCGGACTGCGAGACCTGGAGCGCCCGCTTCTCTCCGGACGGCTCATATTTCGCCTGGTCGATGGGATTCGGGGTTATCAAACTCCTCCCCTGGCCGCTGACAACCAGAGAGTGCGTCTGTTTTCATTACATAACATACAACATGTATTCCTTGGGTTATATAATATAGAAAACAAACGACTATTTATAATAATAAATGACTGTGGGAGAAGCTTCTGTCATTAAGGGATAACTAACAAAAACAATAATGTACTGCCTTTTTTATTAGTATTATTATTGCAGAAACATACAAGAACATGAAAACAACAGCAAAATAATGATTATTATTAAAAAGAGACCGTCATCAGAGCATAGCATAGCATAGCAAACGTCTAATATTGCCAATAGAATAAAAACGTGAAATTGTATTTAACATTTTGAAGTGAGTTTCTTTTATTTTCTTATTAATACAGTATAAAGGGCATTAACCAGCGCTTCTCCAATCAATATTCTCTAGAGTTACCTAAAAAATCCCTCCAGTAGTAATTTTATTTTGCTTTTAAAAAATATGACAAATGTATTTGTTATTGCATTTTTATCAGTTAAGGTAGTGCCTTTGTTAACAAAGCTATAAAACATGTAGATTACATAATATAGCCTACACACCTAGCTGTGTGTGTGTGTGTGTTTATGTTTTCATATATATATATATATATATATATATATATATATATATATATATATATATATATATATATATATATATTGAATTGTCATTAAAATGTCATTAAATTTCTAAAATAATAATAAAACATTAAACCCCCTCAACCCTGACAATTTTAATGACAAATTTAGGCTACAAATATACTGTAGTTCCCTAGTAACATATGCTGGATAAGTTGGCGTTCATTCCGCTATAACGAACCCTGATGAATACAGGGACTAATCCGAAAAAAAAAAAAAATTATATATATATATATATATATATATATATATATATATATATATATATATATATATATATTTATTCATTAATTTTCTTTTCAGCTTAGTCCCTTTATTAATCTGGGGTCTGATAATTTAAAACTACCCAATTCACCTATACCACATAGCTTTGGACTGTGGGGAAAACCGGAGCACCCGGAGGAAACCCACGTGAACATGGGGAGAACATGCAAACTCCACACAGAAATGCTAATTGACACAGCCGAGGCTCAAACCAGCGATCTTCTTGCTGTGAAGCGAACGTGCTACCTACTGTGTCACCGTGCCGCCCTTATATAAATATGAGTAATTCCATGCAAATGTTATTCTTGCCATGAAAAAAATTAAGTTTTTGCCAAAATAGCAAAACCGTTTAGTAAGTAGAGTAAGTTTTTCTCCCCTAAGGGATCAAAGTTCCTTTAAGTGTATTCTGTAGTGTTTGTTATTATGCGGCCTCTGATGCCATCTTGTGGCAGAAGGTCAACCGTCTTTGCTCTGCTCAGTATGACAGGCTTATGGATGCCGACATGTTGTATCTTCAAAATAATAAATATTTTAAATAGGCACTATACTTATAAATAAACTGCATAGTTACAGTCTAAACAACTACATTCTCCACTAAAAAAAAGTCTCAAAAGTTCATTACTGTATGTTGTCCAACAGCAGCAATATTTGTCAAACTGTAGTGGGTTTATTAATCTGCTGTCACTCTATGTGGGTGAAGTAATAAAGAAGGGTAAGGAGGCTATCAGCCAATCATATTCGAGAACCAGACAGAACTGTTGTATAAAGCTATTATACAGTATTGTGATATATCAAGGTAGTTTATTTATTTGTTGACAGCATTAGTTTTTATATCAATGCATTCTGATCATTTGTTTATTCATTGATAAAACTTCATAAGTACAGTCATTATATAAAGAAATGTCATTATATTACTTTTTTTAATGATGTACAATAGCACTAAAACACAACAGTATATACCATATGCATGTTTTATAGTTTAACACCATTAATTACAACACAGTTTTTTTCAAGTAGCATGATAATGTAGATGATTGTTCAAAGGACATTAAAGATCAGTGATGGATGCGGATCCAAGTCATCTACATGCTTCGTCTTTGTGCTTGCAGTAGTGCTGAATCTTGCTGCAGTAAGGAGAAGATACTAAACTGCAGGTTTCTGGTGTGGGCGCTGGCGTTTGGACCCTGCACATCCACGCGAGTGGATTCTGCACACCAGCACAGACGAGAGCATGAGCTGCTGCTGGCTGCCGGTCTGCACAACGGCTCCATCCAAGTGTGGCTCGTCTCTACCGGTAAGACGATGGACTCTGGACTCACCATCAAGAACTTTTACTGGTTTAAAAATTAACCACCTAAAGCGCATATTGACACCCTTTTCAAGGTTTCGAGAAAAAAACTTAAGTTTTTTTTAGTATCAAGATTTTATAAAAATAAAAAAAACTAGTATCTTTTCTACAATTTCTTCATAAAAAAAAAAAAAAAAACACTAGAACATTAACAGTGGTATATATTTTGCTGACTTATGTACTTGCATTATCCCAAATGTTTTGAATAATGTTTAAATGCATAGAAAACAAAGTGATTTTAACTAGTGTGCGGTGTTCATGCTAATGACGTCTCAAAATCCTTAATTTCTGGTTTTGTTTTATAGAAAAATAATCTTTGAATAGAGGACTAACATCAAGTAGAGCTTCTCCATGGTGCTGTCTGTAGCTTTAAATCGCATGAGCTCTTTGTTTTTGTGAATTCTAACAGGCTGTCAGTGTTTTTTATTTATTAGCTGAAAAAAAAAAATTATCAAAGTGATCCAAATGATAGGGGCGACGCAGTGGCGCAGTAGGTAGTGCTGTCGCCTCACAGCAAGAAGGTCGCAGGGTTTGAACCTCGGCTCAGTTGGCGTTTCTGTGTGGAGTTTGCATGTTCTCCCAGCGTTCGCTTGGGTTTCCTCCGGGTGCTCCAGTTTCTTCCACAGTCCAAAGACATGCATACAGGTGAATTGGGTAGGCTAAATTGTCCGTAGTGTATGAGTGTGTGTATGAATAAGTGTGTGTGGATGTTTCCCAGAGATGGGTTGCGGCTGGAAGGGCATCCGCTGCGTAAAAACGTGCTGGATAAGTTGGCGGTTCATTCCGCTGTGGCGACCCCGGATTAATAAAGGGACTAAGCCGACAAGAAAATGAATGAATGAATGATCCAAATGAAATAGTTTCACTATATCTCTGTTGTTATTGACCGTATTCTAAAATGCGGAAGTGCGCCTGTTTTCGCGATTGTTTTAAAACTTCCGATTCTGTCGCCTATGGGAGAAATGACTAGGAATAATAAACAGCAGAAAACGGTGAAACTACTTGCTCTATAAACAAATGTTTGCATAACTATACAGACCAAGTAGAATAATATAATAAGGAAATATCAGTTTGCAACATCAAACAGCGAAACGAGCATGTCTAAAAATGAACGGAAGTAATTGAGACCGGAAGTCTCAAGCCAAAAAGATTCAAATGGCTGCGCCCGCTCATCGGCGAAGAATAAGGTGAATCGCTTTGGTTTGAACCCTGCTGTTGTTTTCCATTCAGAATATTTTGTAGTGCAATGTCTTTATAATTATCTTTATGGTTATCATGCTTGGTGTGAATGGGCCTTTACTTTGCTTCATACTACCATGATAATAAATCTTGAATATTTTAGCTTGAATCCATGAACATGATTTCCATGAACATGAATATGAGTCCCGTATAGGATTTAAAGGTGCTGTATGTTCGTTTTTTACTTTTTAATAGCATAAAAACTCTGTATTATGTTTGCAGATATTTAAGAAACATGCTAAGCAGACATTCTTGTTTATCTAAAAAACAATGCTGAAGTCAGATACTCTTCTTTGAAAATGTGAGTTACGTGCAGAAACAGCTGTCTTAGTTTTGGTCCCTTAAATCCGCCCAATGCCAGTTTAGCCAATTATAGTTCAGCATTCCAGGTTGCCTTGGTTAAAAAAACGCGTATTTGAGTTTTACAATCTAATTAATACATATTAAAGCTCTTTAACATTATTAAATGTACATGCTGAGTCACTGATATGTGTTGGCTTGCACTGAGTCACAGTTCTAAACTTTAATTTCAAACGGTTTGTTTTAATTTGAATCTGAGGTGAACTATCTGCTGCTGCTTTCAGTAGTATGGCAATAAATGTAAAGTGAGGAATGCATTGTGCCGAAACGTCTGTGTCTTTTAATCACCCGTAGAATGTAAGAGAAAATAAAAAATAAAAACAGTACAAAGCAATTATTTGATTGCCAATCATTACTTTTTTTGAATAAATGTAAAATAAAATGGCATTCAAACTCACATTATTAGCATTTAACACTGAATAAAGCACATGAGGTGTATCTGAGGTGATTATTGTCAGTTTTCTGTTGTTCAGCTGCAAAAAATAAAAGGCGTTTCTAAAATTTAAATCTCAGCTGTTGGTTAGGACAAAAACTCCTTTTAATATGGAAAATATTTATTTTATTGTGTGCCGTTTCTTTTAGTTAGGACACGGTTTAAATCAGCCTTTAGGCTAGATAGTCAGGCACTCCTGTTGGTGTCATCAATGTGGCAACCTGCGCTCACATGGGGTCAGGAAAATGTGTTTTGAACCAGGAGTGCAATACCTAAATCAACCACAGGGTGTCTAACCTTCACACTGCACCTTTAATGAAGACCACAATTCTTATGATTCCACTCAGTCACACTCAGTCATGGAGTCAACAAACTACGCCTTTGTTAGTTGTGAATACAAACCCTCTAGTGGTGAAAATCACATACTGTGTCTTTAAATACATGCCAGCTAAATATTTGTAAGTATATTCATGTGACCTAAATATGTTTAAGTAAATTCCCATTAATATTTGACATTTTTTAGCACTCATAGGTGACCAGAAACATGAAAAATTTTAATCAATGACCTCTAATTTCACAGGGCTGTAAATATGAGGAGACACTCAAACTAATCTAACTTACTCAGTCATTAATCACGTGTAACGAGATGAATGACGGAGTGACATTTCACGAGTTGTGAAACTCACGGTTGTTGAGTTTCACAAAATTGAAAATGGCTGTAAGAAAATGACAAAAACACTGAAACAAATACTGAGTTTTCTGGCTCAAGAAGGTGGGTTTGTATGTTTTTTTTGTTGTTGCTATGGTAACTTGCCTTACATGGCGAACCACTAGAGCAGTTTTTTAAATTTTTTATCTGGGATAGAAATCGCAAACTGGATCAACTGTGAGAGAAGTGTATCTGTATATCTATCTGTAAAAGTATATCTGATACAACAAGGCCACTCCTTCAGTCCCTGTCTATCTTTTTTGCTTTTATTTAAATTCTTTTACACTCAACGCATTTCAAAGTCGTCATTTATTTATAAATTATGAATTATAATTATGTTGTTTATGAATCTTTATTCATTTTCCTTTGGCTTAGTCAATTGTTTATCAGGGGTTACCACAGCGAAATGATCAGCCAACTATTCCAGCATATGTTTTACGCAGTGGATATACTTCCTGCCGCAACCCAGTAAACACACTCCTGCTTTCACACACACACACTCATACACTACGGCCAATTTAGTTCATCCAATTCACCGATATACTGTGCTGCTGTCAAAAAACAGAATGAAAAAATGAGAAATTTAATGAAAGTTTAATTAAAATTTTGTACAAGAACTATGACAAAATGATGCATGTTTTATCAATATTTTGGAAACCACTTTTGAATATTACCACTTTTGTATTCAACTCATTTTAAAATAATTTTTTAACGTGACTGATTAAAATGTTTTGGAAATAACACATTCAAAACATCATCATAAGTGGAATAATCTAAGTAAAATGTTAGTAAATAATAAATAATGTAATTAAAATAAAATCAAAAAACACATTTTAACAAAAAATTTTTAAAGTAAATAAATAGTGTAAATAATAAAGTGAAATGTTAAGTTCATTCAGGACTTTCATGGGAAATAAATTAGTGGTGCTTTAAAAAGTCCTTGAATCTGCTGTTTAAGAGAGTGTGGGAACCCTGTATTTACTAAGGGTTCATGGAAGGCACTTTAATATCTTGTTTAATTTGTTAGTAAATCCCTCTTGTTTTCAGGAAACCTGCAGTTTACTCTAACCGGACATCAGGCTCCTGTGAGGGATTTGGTTTTTGCTCCAAATGGAAGTCTTACACTTATATCAGCTTCCCGGGACAAAACCTTAAGGATATGGGATCTGGGAAAGAAAGGTGAGAGCATTTGATGTGGCAGCAGTGTACAGTTTAAAAAGGAAAATAGACTTTCTTTAGCTCTGATACTGACTATATGAATATTGTCTTGTTAATATTTGCAGGCGCCAGTCCTCATGTGCTGCGGGGTCCAAACTACTGGGTGTTCAGATGTGCTGTATCGCCTGACAGCAGTGTCATCGCCTCTGTCTGCAACCTCGACTCTGTGAGTTTCTTACTTTGTGTTATTTAAATTATATTGACCCTTTTCTTAAATCTGTTGATGTGTTTAACGGTCATTAGCTTCGTTTAAAGTTTTTAAATATTTATATTTTTAAGAAAATGTATGCTCATTTATATGTATTTATGTATATATTATATCGTGGGGCGAAGCAGTGGCGCAGTAGGTAATGCTGTCGCCTCACAGCAAGAAGGTCGCTGGTTCGAGCCTCAGCTCAGTTGGTGTTTCTGTGTGGAGTTTGCATGTTCTCCCTGTGTACGGGTGGGTTTCCTCCAGGTGCTCTGGTTTCCTCCACAGTCCAAAGACATGTGGTACAGGTGAATTGGGTTGGCTAAATTGTCCGTAGTGTGTGTGTGTGTAAATATGTGTGTGGATGTTTCCCAGAGATGGGTTGCGGCTGAAAGGGCATGCGCTGCGTAAAAACTTGCTGAATAAGTTGGCGGTTCATTCCACTGTGGCGACCCCGGATTAATTAAGGGACTAAGTCGACAAGAAAATGAATGAATGAAAATTAATTACCGCTTGTGCGAGGTGTTAGTGCTAGCCACCTTGCCGCCCTAAATAATACATGGATAAACAAAAGAATATTTGAATATTTCATACACAATTTAATTATCTGAATCTTAGGTTACTCTGCTAGCATGTCTACTGGTTGTATAATAGGTTTATAACCCCAAACAAAATAAAAACAGAACCTTTACCTCTGTAAATGAATGTAATGTAACTGAATTGTGAGTTGCCTTGTCCGAATATCTTGTCCTGAACAGAAGGTGTATTTGTGGAGCTTGCGGTCCTACACCTTCATGAAGCACCTCACATACGATCACGAGCGCACCATGGCTTCATGTGACTTCTCTCAGGACGGGGCGCTGCTCGCCATTGCTTCCTATCATTCAAACACCGGCTGGTGGCTGGACCTGTGGGACCCCTACACTGCAGACCTGCTGACCAGAGTCCAGTATGTCCATCTCTCATCTTTTATCAACATTTCATGAATGTTGCAATTAACCATATTTCTTACGATATAACTAACTAGCACAATTAAGCACTTACAAATAAATAATTTATGTAATGATCATACTAAATTAAACAAGTCATATATATTTTTCTGAGCTAATTAAATCTAGAAAAAGATTTAGACTTGAAAACAACACGAATGACTGAAAACATTGGTGGAAATTCTGATTGTTATTGGCTGTCATTTTTTTCCTCTTCTATTGGATTTCTCTGCGATATGGATATTGCATGTACTTTTATTGAGATAACAATACTTTTTCGATATATTGTGTCGCACTTATTTCAACCATTATTAACATAAGGTAAGCTTTATAAACTAATTTCGAGAGGAGCGCAGAATATGATTGATCACGGCTGGTCTCTCATACGTAATTAGCGATAAACCAATAGAATTGATCTAAACCTACAACAAATAGACCAATTATACCTCACTGCCTAAAGCTGCGGTCACACTAGAGTTTTTGTGTGTGAAATTCTGTCATACGGCGCTGCAAAAAAAGGGGAGAGATTAAACAAGGTTATTAGACATAAAAAAAAAGAGTGATTGCTCCATGTTTTTTAAATTTCTGTCCAGAGAGGTCATGTTTTGATCCTCGATTGGTATCACAAAGTCAAGTGATGCGATTTTGCAGGTCAGAGTTCACCAAGCTTTAACTTTGCACCGCAGCGACCTGTGAAAGTTGACGCATGACCCTGTGCTTCCGGTCTGACGCATGTGTATGACGTATGCGTACGTGTATGAATAGAAGTCTATGGGGGAAAAAAAGCCCAGTGTGACCGCAGCTTTATTTTGTTTCGGAAGAATCCCCCCTTCCACCCCATCTCCTCCTTTACCAGGGGGAGCTCTCAAGACCTACCTAATCTCAGACCCCCTTACATGCTAATTGACCTGGCGGGATCCATGGGCTCTATTATCTCCGAACAAAGGCTTCTCTCCTGGGACATGCCAAACCTGCTTATAACATCAAGCAATATCTAAGTGTGAACTCTTGAAAAAATAGTAATACAAACAATTTCCTTTACATTGAAGATAAGAGCGAGAAAAAAAATGTTGGCATTATTTTTTTTTTTGTATTCAACAACAGATTTTGAATGCTAATAGATCAGCAAAAATAGTTTAATGTTGGTGATATGAATGTTTTTATTTATTTATTTTTGTACCAAAATAAACGGCAAATCAACATAATGAAGTTATTTCAGAATTTCTGCATTATCATGTGATAATAATAATACATTGCAGCAAGAAACTAAATTTTTTTTATATTCTCAAATAAAATATATACACATTTCCCAAAAATATATTCATTTATTTTTTATCCCATTTTATTTTATTTTTGGATAAAAATTATTGACTTTAAATTTTTACAATGATTTGGATTTATTGATCAAACTATTACTTTAAGTTATAAAGTAAAAATAATTAAAAAAGCTAAATAATTTCATGTTTTTTACACATTTTCTCATACTCATCACAATTTACAAAAAAAATATATATTAATTTCCTTGCAGAGACTGTGAGGTGTGTGCTTACAGAAGTGATAATCTGCTGACGTCTCTCAGTTTCTCTCCTGTTGCTCTGCTGCTCGCTTTCAAAGACTACAGGTGAGCAGCGAACAGTGTGTGCATTTTACACCTCATTCTTCTCATACAGCAAACTGTGCTTTTTACATCTCTTTCTTCTAATATTTTAAAACTGCAGTTACAATTCAAGCATTTTTCATATATTTTCCTGTAAATGGATTGAAACAACCAATATTTAATTTACAGTAAACTGAATTAATTATAAATGTAAAATAGCACAAAGGAACATTTGATTCTGTCACTAATTGTTGTTTAAACAATTGTTCAACTTTTTTAAACCACTAACAAAGTTGATATTGTCCACCATTTTGTCAGGGTCCTTAGGCGATATCTAATGTGTATAAACAATGAATACAAATTTACATTTCAAAGCACCTCATGGGATCTTTAAGTTAGTATTTTCAAGACTAAAATGTCCCTAAATATAATTTGTTTTTATTCAAAGCTTTTATTGCAGTTTGCTTTTAAAAATAAAAGGTTTATTTTGGAGGTGCAAAATGTAGGTTTAAAATCATCTGCATTATGTAGATTTTCACATCTGCATTACCGAACGTCACACTTCTGACCTCATACCTGACTGTCCACTTTCTCCATTGATTACTAACCGATGGGACTGTATTGTATTGCAGGGCGTTACAGATCTGGGATGTGGAACGAGATAAACTGGTCGCAGACACAGATCACAATCGGGCCGGTGGCGTGTGCTGTGCTTTCCATCCACAAGGGGGCGTCATCGCTACAGGGTAATACAAGTCTTGTTTTATTTAAACGGTGGCACAGTGAATAGAAAGGTTGCTGGTTCGAGCCTCGGTTGGGTCAGTTGGCATTTCTGTGTGGCGTTTGCATGTACTCCCCGTGTTGGTGTGGGTTTCCTCTAGGTGCTCCGGTTTCCCCCACAAGTCCAAAGACATGCAGTATAGGTGAATTCTGTAGGCTAAATTGTCCTTAGTGTATGTGTGTGAATGAGAGTGCATGGATGTTTCCCAGTAATTGGTTGCAGCTGGAAGGGCATCTGCTGCACAAAACATATATGCTGGATAAGTTGGGGGTTCAGATTAATAAAGGGACTAAGCTGAAAAGAAAATTAATGAATGAGTAATACAGGAGAATAGAGAGACAGTGGTGTAAAGAGTACTGAAAAATCCTACTCAAGTGAAAGTGCCATTACCCCATTTGAATAACTTAAATAGATGAATAAAAATGTCATTTTTGTTTGTAGGTGCAGAGATGGACATGTGAAGTTCTGGAAAGTTCCTCATCTCGTCCCGAGTCTGAGACATCTGTGCCGTGTTGCCCTGAGATTCTCCATTTCCACCTATCAGGTGGAGGCTCTTCCCCTGCCAACAAAAATCCTGGAATACCTTACTTACAGGGACATTCCCAAGCAAAAGATTCTATATTGTAAAGAACACGGCAGGTGACTGAAAGCAAGTCATGTATGAGAATCAAATTTCACTTTAAATGCTCGGATGCCTAATTTCCCCAGAACAAAATGATGCTATACTTGAAATTTTTATTTAAAGACATTTATTTTCTTTACACAGCCAATTTGAAAATGACACATTTCTTTAACAAAGTACTGAAATGTGCTTCATTTCAAGCAGAACAATTTAATTTCAACAACATTACAGAGTTCTGAGCAAAACTGTGGTCAAAACTACATGAGGTTATTAAAGGAATAATTCATCCAAAACTGAAAGTCATTCACTTCTTCCAAACCTGTTTGAGTTTTTTTTTCAACGGTTGAATACAAAATATATTTTGAAGCGAGCCAGAAACCTGTAACCATTGACATCCATAGGATTTAGTTTTCCTCCTATAGAAGTCAATGATTACCGCTTTTCAAGCTTTCTTCAGTGTATCCTCTGTTCGTTCAACAGAACAAACAAAGTCACAGAGGTTTAGAACTGAATTGAGTAAATTTTCATTTTTGGGTGAACTATCTCTTAATCTCATGACATCAAAGATCTACGTTTCAAAGTTGGAAACCAAATGATCTATCCATCGCTGACGACTATGTCTCTAACAGCCTGGAAAGCAGCGACCATTGAGCTCAGCTGAATCTTCTCGCTGGTTCCAGAGGCCAGACGGTACCTTATTGTCGAGAAAGGGAAAAAAAAAAAAACTGAATTCATAATGTACATTCTAAACTTTAGGTCTTAAACTCAATTCCTGGAGTGCCACAGCTCTGCACAGTTTGGCTCCAACCCCAATCAAACACAGCTGATTCAACTAATGAAGGTGTTCATGACTCTTTAGAACACCTCAGTTAATTAGATCAGCTGTGTTTGATTAGGGTTGGAGCAAAACTGTGCAGAGCTGCGGCACTCCAGGAATTGAGTTTGAGACCTATGATTTAAACTTACGCCTCAACATTAAGACATAAATGCAAAAAAAATGATATAAATATTACACTTTAAACAACCAGTTCCTACACTGATATTATTTAAGATGTAATTTATTTCTCAGTTTTCAGCATTTTTATTCCAGTCTTCATGATCAGAGATTTTTTTCATCTTTTACATGTTTTGAATCTGTGGTGGATTTTTTTTTGTTATTAAAGCGCAACAAATTGCGAAAGAGCTAAAACACAAAAGAAAACACATCTCAGACCGCACGCAAACCCCAAATTGGCTTCTTATATGCAGTTTTATTATTATTATTTTGTTCTAGAAGGAGCAAAATTATGGCAATATACTAATCTTTAAAACCAGAGAAGCTCAAAATGATGCAAAAGAGCTCAATTCAGTACTTTTGCAGCACATTTATGCCTTCTTAAGTTCTTATTAGCATCTTTTAGCTCTTGAATAGACAATTACAAAATGATTCCAACATGCAAGTCTTGTGGAATATGTCCTTAAACAGCCATTTGGGGTGATTTTGTGTCTTAATTTGGCTACAACTTTCTCTGTGTTTCAGCAAATGGAATGACTTTTGATGACAAATCTTATTTTGACACAAATTTGGTGAAATGCTTTGAAAATTTTCACTTCCGGCAACTTTATTACCCTTTCGTTAAGTTTGGGGCTTTTTTTTTTACCCCATTGACCTCCATTATAATGATTTTTTTTTTTAATTTCAGAGCCACGTCACCATATAATCATGCATTCTTGATTGATTTACAATTTATAATTTGCCGTTTTACTCCAAAGAACTCCATATGAAAGACAGAAACCTTTTTTTTCACAGGCTTACATAAAGGGTTAATGCTACCAACTGATTAACAACAGTAAAATTGACTAATTTGACCTCTTAACAACAGGGAAAACCAGCAAAAATCAGGAATGCATGATTATATGTTATCATGGCTTTGCAATTAAAAATGTCATTAGAATGGAAGTCAATGGGGCAAAAACAGCCCCCAACATAATGAAAGAGTAATCAATATGAACAATACACAAGCATTAAGATGTAAGATATATTGATGTAAAAAGCTGAGATAGAACAGATGTGCATAATTATATTGGATTGGTGCATTGCATCTTAAAGTAGGCCTATTATGTTATCTTTTAAAGCTTACTCAATTTGTTTCGGAGGTCTCAATGTTCATATATGCATGCACCGAAGAACTAGCTGATCCACCTCAACCTCCATCGCAAGTGTTTCTGGTGAGCTTATGAACACAAAGCCCAATCAGAGGCATTCATATTAGTCACCAGAGAACATGGTGAATGCACAAAACCATTATGCCACTTGTCAAGGTATTTGTACACTGAAGTCTGAAATTTTTTGCATGTTTTTTTCTCTCTCTCGTATTTATATGTGAAATATTTGTCACGTAAACAAATCTTTTCAATCCAATGTGTATTAATAAATTCATATGAATTAATTATGCATATGAATCAATACAAAAAAGTAAACATTTTAGAAATCAGGGGAACTTTGATACATTGCTTGTGATACTGCACATATTCTTGTATGTAAACAAATCCTGAACAGAGACTGGCAGTACCATAGACATTATAATAGATGGCCGCCACGTTGACGTGTCAAAGCAAACGGACCATGCTTTCTATTATGATGTCTATGGGCAGTATGTCAAATCTATGGACACACACACTAAACAGTAGCAGGGCAGAGGTGTGTCAGTCACTGAATCCAGCATATAGGGGTTATACTGTCCGCCACATTCTGTCTTTATTTTATGCACTGTGTTTGTCAAAGCTATCTGTACTGGCCCTGGACTGTCAAAACACCTCTCAAAGTGCTTTTTTGGATGGAAAAAAACGGTAAAAAAATGAAAATAAAAATGACGGACAAAGTTTTGGAGGCAGTTTGTCAATACAATTGACACAACATGAGGTGGAATTAATTTTTTTACGTGTGACTATTACGAACGCAAATTTCAGATTCAGTGTGCAATAACCCTAACTCTAAGAAAACCGATTTAACTTAAATATTGACCTAATGAGCCACTTTAAAACATCATCAGAGCCATAATCATTAATGAATAGCATTACAATGTATTCTGGTGTACATTCTCTTTCAGGAAAGGGTCTACACAAAGTTGATGACTCAAACCCCTGAGCTTTATTACACACTACACGAACAGTAATATCAGATAAAGCAAAACATTGGCACTTTAAAGTTACCACAGCCTGATTTAGCTGCTGCTGTCTTTGTCTTGAATGTTAATCTAACAACACCACAACAAAAAGGCCAGAGAAATATCAACTCATTTCTCTTGACTGAATAACTTTTTCTATACTTAGTTTACACTGTGATGATGACGATACAATTAATTATTAATATTCTGTAGCTGAACAAGTGCAAACCTGACAGACCTTTGCTAATTTGTATCTGTTAAACCTTATTTGTGTGTGTTACTGTGTGTAATTTGTACTTGTTGTTTTATTAATGACTGTTTATTTGCATTTATTAATGTTTATATATTTCCTGTGATATCAAGAACTGAAAATTATGAACATTTTACCTTTATTTTTATGGTCATAATAAGCTTATATATTAGAATAAAACAATTTGGGTTGAAAACAAGTTGTTGTGGTTTGTAGAAACAAATCATTTACACTGAGCTCTGCATAAACCTTTAGAAAACCATTCTAATGCGCTGATTTTGACCATGTTAAAAATCCTTTTGACTAGTTTTCTTTTATTTTATTTTTTACATTTACTTAAAATGGAAATCTTTTGCAACCAAGTAAATCACAATTTTTATTATGTAAATACATCCTTGCTAAATTAATTACAAAGTAACCAATGCACACGTTATTCTGATTCACTAACAACCTGAAAAAAGTTAAAAGTACTCACTCAATATCTGCAAGTTTTATAAGCAAGCCCATGCGGATAGAGGGTGGGAAGTCCACTGAAATTGAGAACAAAAAATATAACAGAAAACTCACTTACTGTCCCCAAACACATTCTATTTGTGTTTACAAAACAAACATACAAAAACACATGCAAAATTATAATACACTCGACTACAATTTCACTACTGTACTACTTAGGGCCCGTTTACATCTGGCGACTTGCGGATCACAGAACTATCCAAACAAGTTACATTTGATCACAAATACAAGTCTCTCCTATTAACAAATGAACGAACAAAAAAATGAACATCTCAAATTCTCATCTGTAGCATTTCCATTGCTTATTGCATTTGTTCCGTTATATCTCATGAATCAGGGTTTTATGCTGGTTTTTACCAAATTAAATTTAAGACTAAGAAATTTTAAGACCATTATGAATCAAATTTTAGACTTGTAAAGGGCTAAAATTTAAATTTAAAAGGAGAAATTTTTCAAATGGCCCAAATGGAACAGATTTTTATTTGTTTTATTGTAATTTAATACATTTAATATTACAATAATACAAATTAAAAACTTTAGATATTACTTAGCAAAATATTTTAAATAGTGTAAAAACAAGCAAGCTCTCCTTGTAGCCATAAACTTTTTTCCCAACAAACTTTCTTTAAAATAAAAATGAACAAATGTTTTAATAAACTAAATGTATGCACAACAATCTGTCCAGGTCGGTGTCCTCAGCAGTAAATACATGGAGCACTTTAAGACAAATGTTATTGTAAGGAAAATAATTAAACCATTATGATAAATATATGGAGCTAATAATATGCCAAAATAATCTGATTTTTTTAAATTGACAATTGTAATTTAATAAATGTGAATTTGTATATGTCGTTAAAAATAGTTTCTGAAGTTCTGAAAGTGCATCTATGAAAAAATTCAGCCCTGAAAAATTCAGTTGTCTTACATTTCAGATGTTCAATATTCAAGTTATGAAATTCAAATTTAAATTAAGAAATTCAAATTCAAATCTATTTTTAACGGCATATACACATTCAGATTTATTAAATTACAGTTGTCAATTCAAACGAACACAATTCAAGTTCTGATTGTTTTGGCATATTATTAGCTCCATATTAATAGAGTTAAACATAACCTTTTTAAATAAAATGTTATGAAATTTATGAAAAGATGGATTTTTTTATTGAGGTGGATTGCGGGTTGAGGTTTGTAAGGGTGTTGGCCAGATTAGGTAGCAATACATGATTGGAAAATTAAGACCGGTTTAAAAATGATTTAAGACCTACAACACAATATTTCAGTAATTTAAGGACTTTTTAAGGCCCTAAATTTTGATTTTGAGATTTAAGACATTAACACTTTTAGACTCACAAACACCCTGCATGAAGTGACCAGGTGTAAACAGTGCAATTGAAAATTGAAGCACGTTTCTAGCTTATCGCTGTACCTCTTACCTGATTTCACAAATATGTTAACATCTATGTCGATCCAGAAACAACATTCCCAATAGCCAATCAGAATTAAGGGAAACGTTTACCTTTTAGGCTTACGGTTGGGTTAATGCACTTCCACATGTTTTATCCAACTATTATCGCACTCTGATTTTGGGATTAATCAACAGTTATAGTTGGGTTTAGGGGTAGTGAATAGGTATGAATTACATTTTCCAACAAAAATGATGTTCCAGGATCAACATAGATGTTAATCCAGGATCGCATCATACTAAAATCATGACACGTACATAAAACCATGACATGCTCACTGTACTAGGCATGGGACGATAACCAGTTTCAGGTTTACCGTGGTTTGAAATAGTCAAGGTTTTAATATCGCTAAAATGTTCCGTTCCCAAGGTATATCTAGGGGCTATTTAATGTTGAATTTTTCTGTAGTAAAGAAATCAGTGTTCAAGACAGCAGAAGGCAATGATTTATTTGAACTATTTAGCCTGACACATTTACTGCTCCAAAATATTATAAATGTTTCCTAAAATAAAATGTGTTTTTTTTTTTTAGTATTTGTTTTACCCAGACCTTTAAAAAGAACTTATTTCAGAGCAGTAATCACAATATTGTAATAGTGTATAACTGTTTTTTTATCCAAGGTTGTCATACCGTCAGAAACTTATACTGGCCCATGCCTACACTGTACACAGTATTAAACTTCTGCTGTTCTAGGGCTTGATTAGACTCTATGCTGATTCAGACCTAGTTTTGTTTTGGAGAGGAGCTGATTATAGAGCCATGCCTAATCTCTGTTAACAGCGTTTTCTTACCGCGGTGAATGAGAAGATGGACTTCAGTTAAAATGTCATGAAGTGCCAGACCTTTGAGAGTTTTCAGCTCCAGGATTTCTGTTGAATCTAGATAAGGACTTCTGAAACGTGAGTAAATCTGTATTTAATTAGGGTTTTACTCATTGGTAGCACTTTATTTTGATGGTCCATTTGAGTATTAGTAGACTGTCTGCTTAATATCTGTTGATGCTGCTCCTTCAACAGACATTTAACTGACTATAAGAAACTTTGCAAGTACATGTCAACTTACACTAACCCTAACCCTAACAGTCGACTTATAATCTAATGAGAATTAGCTGGCATGCAGATGCAGTGTAACTTAAATTCAACAAATATATATATATATATATATATACATATATATATATATACATATATATATATATATATACATATATATATATATATATATATATATATATATAGCTCTTGAAAGCAGCTGGAGTGTGGGTCCACAATCATCACTGTTTGTCCAGTCTATTTCAATTCAAACAGAACCGACCGCACCAGTTGCGTTCTCTAGGCACGGTTGTTTCGCGCAAGTAAACGGGAACATGCACGCTTTGTAACGGTCGCGTACATCACATTACCTGTGCGCGCGACTGATTATCCTCTCATTCGGTTTTCACCTGCTTTGCTCGTGCAAACGCAATAATTTTTGTCAGTCGTGTTGCTTCTCAATTCTAAGATCGCCTTTGCATGCATATTGGACCATCCTATTGTCGAACCCTGCTTTTCAGAATTATTATCCGGGAAAATTATTTTCAACCAGCTAAAGTGGCTAGTGAGAGTGTCTGTCTTACCCGCCACCTCTGAAATCTACCCGCATTTGGCGAGTGTTAATGTAAAGCCCTGATAATAAATAATAAAAACAAATTAAACGTTCGGTAATATATTAAAAAGGTGCAAGTACACAAAAAGTAAAATATAAATAAACATCAAGATAAAATGATATTAGTAATAATTTATAGAAAATATTTTCATTTATACATCTTTGTACTTTTATTCAAAGCAAACTGAAACAAAATTGGTACACACACACACACACACACACACACACACACACACACACACACACACACACACACACATCATATATAGACAAAAGATTTAATTCAGTGTCTAGGAGCTACTGACAATTTTCAAGAGGGAACCCAAACACTGTGCTGGCCTGTTTATCGCATATCAGGGATTTTGGACCAATTTGAATTTATCAGAATACTAAAAAGGGATCATGTTGCCCTATGCCAAAAAGGAAAGGCCTTGTAATTAATGTTTAAACAAGACAATGATCCCAAAGATACCAATAAGCAAGCAGCATCTTCATTCCAGACCAACAAAATAACATTATGGAGTGGCCAGCCCAATCCCCTGAGCTTCACCCAATGTGGGCTGACATAAAAAATGCTGTTTATGAGGCAAAATCTGACTAAATCTTTAAGCATTTATCATTTAATATAGTAAATATAATTTTTTTATAGCACAATGCAGCCCAATGTTTGTTTTTCTTCACTATCTGTAAAAGCAATAATATATTTAAACTCTTTATTTTTTTTCTTTTAATTAAAAATTGAGTGTTTTGAGTTCCCAATGCATTTGTGTGCATTGAAATTAAATTATAAGGATTTTGAGCTTTAATCACTTTTTGAACACACACTGCTATTATTTTGAACCCAACTGAGTGTGTGTGTGTATATGTATGTTCACATATAAAGCAAACTCATCATTCAGTGAAGAACAACAGTAAATCTTGTGAGTGTTCATTTATATTAAGCATGTGTTTGTTTGCTTAGATTACTTCCTGCTAGTCAAAAAGAATTACTTCTTCAGTTATTAAGTAGTGTTTTTGCATTTAAGTTTGCTATATTCAGTTTGATGCTATGGAAACCTTACAGAAGGATACGGTTATAAGCAGTGGTGAAGTCTTTATTAAGAGCCCAGTCCAGTATGTTGGCGATGTCTGATCTGAGAGGATGTCCAGTACACGTGTAAACTGTCTCCTCCGTCACCTTCCCATATGCCATATGAGTACTCTATACACACCAAACACACGTTAGCATCAATATAATGATGAGCAAACCATTAAAACATCACTTTAACACACGCACAAACCTGTAAAATGTTCAGTGATCGTCTCATGTCTCCTGTTGAGAGGGTCACAATGGCCTTCATGCCATCTGGAGTGATGTCAATGCTATCAGTGAAAAAAAAAAGCAGGAACAAAACCCATCTGAAATATTTATGAATGTATGCTGGGGATGGACATTGTTTGGTTTTGTTGGTTTAAAGTTGTCGGTGCAGGGCAGAGCTGAGAGAAAACTGAGTGTTTGTGTGTGAAGGGTGTTCTGTTAATGAAATGTGCCGCAGGGTTTGGTCACTCAACACACACAGGCTTTTGTGTTCAGGGTTTTTAGAGTGGATCCATCTGATGATTCACGTCAGATATGACCCACAATGCTCATCAAAACATCAGATGGCCTTAAAGCGACAGTTTGCTCAAAATGTTCATTTCCTGGTAAAGGAACACTCCACTTTTTGTTGGAAAAGGTTCATTTTACAACTACAACGTTTATCACTTTTTAATTCATTCAGTTGATCTCCTGGGGCCTCATGTACAAAGACTTGCATTGAATTAATACTTAAAACATTGCGTACGGACAAAGCTGTAAATGTGCATATGCAGTAAAAAATTCAGATGTACGAAACACTGCGTACGCAGAATCCCACGCATATTCACTTTGTACATCCGAATTAACGTGAAACTGAGCGCAACATGCACGATCGCAAAACCCCTCCCTGCCTTCTCCCCTGTATAAATATGGTAATGACTCCACTTTGGCAAAACCAAAGGAAAAAGCAATGGCTAAAGCAAGCAAGAAGAGAAACTTTAAGGAATGTGAGGTGGAGGTGCTCCTATCGGAGGTAGACCCGAGAAAAACTGTGTTACTTGCAAGTTTGTCCTCCGGAATTAACAACAAAAGCAAATAAATAGAGTGGGAGAGTTTAGCTGACGCGGTTAACGCAGTGGGGTCTGAACATCGCACAGTGAGTGAATAAAAAAAAAAGAAATGGACTGACGAAAAGGTTAAGAGGAGAACAGCGGCACACAGTCAAAGTGTGGACCAAACAGGCGGGAAAACAGGGGATGCTGAACTAACACCCTTTGAGGAGAGAGTTGCCTCAATTGTGGGCGACACTTTACTGTCTGGAGTAGTATCCGTGTCTGTGGGAGACACAGATGTATTAGAGCAGTGGTTCTCAAACTGGGGTACGTGTACTACTAGTGGTATGCGGGCTTCCTTCTAGTGGTACACAGAGGAATTAAATATGTCATGTACATGCTACACATATTTTAAAATTTATTAAAAAACATGTATATAATATGCCATTTATGACATATAGCCTATGTTTAAGGCTAATCTGCCACGTTTTTTTTAATGTGCAGAGTTGTAGCTGCTTCACTGGGCCTACTACGCTACTGTATTTCAATTCTACTCATTTTGGTGGTATTTGGAGAGACAATTTTTTTCTGAGGTGGTACTTGATGAAAAAAGTTTGAGAACCCCTGTATTAGAGGAACACTTTGTTAGGGCGGTATAGCAGCACCCCTCCGCTCTTATCAAGGCAGCGCCACCGGCATTTCAGCTGGCTAATCGACCGCTCTACAACTGACCGAGTGCGAGAATGGGCATCATTGTATCTGCGATCTTGGCCAGTTTGTGGGTTGTTGAGGGAGGTTAACAGCCACGTCTTTAATGGATAATCGCGGTCTCCTGATATGCAGTTAAATAATTACGCTTAATAAAATAACAATCTTAGCTGGAATAACATCTTTAAATACGTCACTCACCAAGAAGCCACCCATCGTGCACCCTGCCACCTTGGAGCCTCCTCGCTGTCTCTTTCCAAATTTGGACAAAACTCAGCACAGAGCTCCAAGAGGATAGCTTTTGGAAATCTGAAACGGCTAATAAGCCGGTCATCATTGTGGGCTAGAAAAATCACTGTGATCCCTAAAAACCGTGTTCCCTTCGAATTCGGTCCTCTAAACACTGCCATTGCCATAGACAGGTTGTATACATTAGCAAATGCTTTTATATGCTCTAAATCCCATAATTGGTCAAAAAATAAATATTGTGTCAATGAAGCCATTTTATCAATTATCAATGAATAGCAATGTTTTTCACATGTGTTGGTGCAATTACTTTGTAGTGTTCAATTGAACATAATTGCCTCTAAGAGTCGTTAATGGAAACAAAACAAACACACACAAGAAATGCACGTGCGCCAGACATGAAGTTGGCATGAACCAACGCACATTCTCTTGTTCATTTCATTGTTAGTAAATCCAAACATGAGCGTGAAACCTGGCGGACGCAAAGTTTTTGTGCATACGCAGCGTTAATACAGGAGGCCCCAGGTCTGGCTGAAGCACTTTTAGCTCAGCATAAATCATTAAATCAGATTAGACCATTAGCATCTCCCTTAAATATGTTTTTAAAAAAAGTTTGAACTATATTCCTATTTAAAGGTTGACTCTTTTGTAGGTACAATGTGTATTAAGACTGACGGAACATGAAAAGTTGCTATTTTCTAGGCTGGTATGGCTATAAGCTATAGTTTCATTCTAGTATCACAATCAAGGAACTTTACTGCTGAATTGCTGCAACTACAGAGCAGTAAAGCTTTAAATAGGAAAATTATTAAAATTGTTTGTAAAAATTTCAGTGAGATGCTAATGGTCTATTCTGATTCAATGATCTATGCTAAGCTAAGCTAAAAGTCTTCCCGCCAGACTCTGAGATCGACTGAATGGATTAAAAAAAAAGTGCTTAAATTCAAAGGTTTAATTTAAAACTTATTTCAATGTTGCTGTATCTTCAACATTCACAAATGATATCCAGCCTTAAAGACATAAATATGAAATCAGTTTGGTGCAGGTTTAAAATTCGCTTAGAAAGCACTTGATTCAACATTAATATCATTCATAAATCACATCCACTTTAGCTGGAGTCTCACCTCTCCTGCTGGATTACATGCTCTAGTCTGGGAATCATCTGGTTCTGGGACAGAGGGCCGAAACGAAAGCGTGTGCATCGAGACTGAAGTGCAGGAATGATCTTTGAAAGGTAGTTACAGATCAGACAGAAACGGGTGTTCTCTGTGAACTTCTCAATGACTGAGAGAGAGAAAAAGAGAGAAAATTAATAAATGTCCAATGGGAATGCAAATATGAAATAAAATAAATACAACATCAAATGTAATAAATTTACATAAAAACATATATAAAATAAAGAATGGCAATTAAAATGTATACTGTATAATTGAGCAAAAATTTAAATAATAATAAGTCTTTTTTGTATCAATTAAAATGTTTTTCTCTAAAAAGTACAACAAACTACTTTAAATAGTGGAAAATAATCTATATAAAACGCTATATATATATATATATATATATATATATATATATATATATATATATATATATATATATATAAATAAAAGCACTCAATAGTTAAAAAAAACATCTAGTTTTTGTTTCCATATACTGTAATTAACCACACAGGGAATATTTTCCTTTACCCTTAAAAGTATTATCTCCATTGTACAGAAAAGTAACAGTGTAAGTTAGGCCAATAGGAGCGCTCAACCTGCATTTTGTGTGGGTCCTAACGCCCCAATATATATAAAATAATAAGATCTATCTTAAAAAAGAAATGCAGTTATGGAATACACTTTCATTCAGCACAGTTAAATCTTTTTAATACTAAAATAATGAGATAAAATAGCAAATCTGATCAAATAAAAAAGTATATTAAAATTAAAAAATGTCTGAATGTAATTCTTAAATGTAAAATGCCCACAAAGTAATAATCTTTAAAAAAAGATTTTAGCAAAGATATCAAGAACAGACATTCCTATATTTGAACTTGATTATATCAGGGTGAAATATGCAGTTAAAATAAAATTAGATGCTTTGTCAGAAAATTAATAACTTAAAAATTGTCCCCAATCACACTGCACTTTTTTATATATTTAAATTATTGGGGGAAAAATATGGATGGATGGATATCAGGGTACATGCACGAATCCTAAAGGTAACTTCAGTACCTTTTTAAAAACCTTCTCAGAATATTGTAAGAACTCATTGTCACTTCTAATCAGTATCAAACATTTAACTTAATAAACAGTTGTTAATAAACAGTTTTTAATACACAGTTAAGCTCGGAAGAAACAAAGCTTGAAGGAATACATTACGCGGTTGTTTTCAGCCACTGCTTAAAGTCGTCTTTCTACCCACAGAAGTACGCAAACTTACATTTTTCCATTTTGCCGTCCGTTTTACTCTATGGTTTCGCTACATGTGTAGAGTGTCACATCACTTTTCCGCATTTGTCGCAAATTACGTGACATTACACGGACGGAATAGCTTTGCTGGATGCGCCCTGGCCTGAACCAATAGCTTGGATCGAGTATGCTTCTTTTAATATTAGAAATAAAATACACTTTAATAATAATGATAATAATTATTAATAATAATAACATATAATTATCTGCAACAATTAAAAAAATACATTTTTGCACAAGAATGTCCAGAATAAAGCATGCAGTTATTTGATAAAATCACATGCTTTGATCGTCCTAATATAATGTTTTCTGCCCAATGATACAGTAATTGCCCTGCTCTCATTCATGTCTGACTGTGGAGAGTAAAATGGCAAACTCTATTCTTCTGCCATGGGGCCATTTGGGGGCTCAGCAGGTGAGCTGATGGAGGGGCAGATGGTGCACTACCTCTCCTTAAAGCATTCTGAGCGTCCTGGGTCATTGCATCCGCCTCGTCCAGGATCACCAACTTAAAGCCTTTCCTGAAAGAGTGAACACAAACAACAGTATGGCACAACAACAGAAAACATTCAGATGTAATCAAAGACAAAAAAGTAAATAAATTGGTACAGCGGGGAAAATAAGTATCATACACGCCAAGTTTCTTCCTGGGAATAATATTTCTAAAGGAGCTGTTGACATGGAATTTCACCAGATTTTGGTAAAAACCCCAAACAATACAAATAAAACAACAAAAAAAATCTGAAAACTGGGTTACGTGTAACAACAAAATGACACAGAGAAAGTACTGAACTACTGAAATGTATTGAATACATTAAATAAAAGGCTTTTTTGGTAATGGCATCTTAAAGACAACTTTCATAAGGAGAATGAAATCACTTGCATTGCTCAGGTGTAAGTTTTTTCACAGACTTCAAGAGAGTAAAAATCTTGATGCTTCTGTGGGTCTCGTCTGTCAAATCTGATCTTTAATATGTATTCTCTATTGAATTCAGATCATGAGATTGGCTGGGCCATTCTACAGCTTGATGTTCTTTCTCTGAAAGCATTTGAGAGTTTCCTTTGCTGTGTTTTGGATCATTGTCTTGCTGAAATGTCCACTCTAGTTTCATTTTCATCATCCTGATAATGTAGATGTCGGACTAAAGCAGCTAATATTTATTTACAATGAGGAAGGGCAGAGGGCTGCTGAATAACCTCTGAGAGATTTCAGCTGCTGTCTGGGCTTTCCTGGCCTTTCTACTCCTCCCTTTCTTCATGTGTTCAATACTTTTTTCCTGCGTCATTTTATTACAAATAACTTTATTTGTAAACTAATTAGATTTGTTTTCTTTGGCTGTTACCAACATCCAGGAAAGATTTCAACAGCACCTTTAGAAATATTTTTTCTAAAAAAATGGTGACGTGTTTAATGCTTATTTATATATAGCATGCTTTGGATAAAAGTGTCTGGTAAATGAGTAATTGTAAAATATTCCTACTTGAAGATGGTCCGTGTGCTGGCAAAGCTGAGGATCGGCCCTCTTACCACATCTATACCACGATCATCTGATGCATTGAGCTGAAGAATGCAAACGTGGAACATAAAAAAAAAATTAAAATAAAAACTTTTAACGATTTGCAGCAAGTACATTAATGTTGATGTAGTGGGTGATGCAGGCACAAAAAAAAAAAAAAGAAAAAAAAAGTACAAAATCAGTCAATATCGAAAATTATGACGGTAACTTTAAAAATCTATAGTTTAGAGCTTAGGTCTCAAACTCAATTCCTGGAGGGCCCATGCTCTGCAAAGTTTTACTCCAGCTCTAATTAAATACAGCTTTTGCAACTAATCAAGGTGTTCATGACTTTTGAACACCTCGATTATTTGGATCAGCTGTGTTTGATTAGGGTTGGAGCAAAACTGTGCAGAGAATCGGCCCTCCAGGAATTGAGTTTGAGACCTAAGCTCTAAACTATAGATTTTTAAACTTTGACACCTATTGTTAAGAGTAAACACTGTAAAAACCAGACAATTAATTATTATTATTATTATTATAATAATGACATTTATAAAACATGCATTGGGTAGTGTTATAACGGTATGAAAATTTAGAGATCAAAATTATCAAAATGACCAAAGAGTTTCGATAATTTTACTATTTAAAATGGACTATCTGCAGTTACATTGTTCCTTGATTGATACAGCAGAGTGAGAGTATAGTTCCTAGGGTCCGTTCTTCGTACCTCGCTTAAATGATCTAAGATGATTTGGCAGATCCTGGATCTTTTAATCTCGATAACTGATCTCTCGCTAATTTGGTTCTTCAAACAAGTTTGCGAATCAGATTAGAATGTCTGGATAAACTGATCTGAGATCGCTGCGTGTGTTGTGAAGGACAGATCTATCGATCCTCGAAATCATGATCAGCAATGCAACGATTGGCTGACGGCACAGCAGCGTAATGACATCATCTGATTAATATTCAATTATCCATGTGAGCAAAATTACATCAAATTAGCAGTAAACGGTGCGTTAAATATGACACGCAAGAACTTTACACATTTGTTATGAGCTGCAGGCTTTACACTTTTATTTGTCAAGACAAGAGTTTTCATGTATTTCAATGCAAATCAATGTATTTAGTTCTACGTTTAGAAAAGATTTTCGTTATAATAGTAGCCGTTTTTTAATCGGTGTAAAGAATAACTGGTTGTTTACAAAAGCATTTTCATATTGGTAAAGGCGTCTGCAACTTTTGTGAAGCATCAAATCACTGGCATATTAACTATCAAAATATGTTTATGACTGCATAAATGTATTATTGCTTAAAAAAATCACATATTGTGCATTTCTATTATACACAATTTGTTCTAAAGCGATCTAATAAGTTCATTTCAATAAGTTTTCTCTTTGCACCAGATGGCAGTCTTTGTACTTTCATTTCGAGGGTGCAGATTGCATACGTTTTATTAATATGTATAACTTTGTTTATTTTATTAATGACTATAACTTTATATATATATTTAAAAATTATGTATTATTTTCCCAAGTGTATATAACTACTACTGTACGAAAATATCAGAATTCGGTACATACTTTCTGTATTATCTTTGCTTGAACTAAGCCGATCTAATCCTGTTTATATGATTTGAACCTGCTCCCGATCAGGTTTGACCTAGCAGAACTGTTGCCATGACAACAACTCTCGGATCAGCTTTGAAGAACGAAACGATCCTGGATCGTGTCAAATCGTCAATATCCAAATCCAGCTAACTGAGTAATCCACGTACGAAGAACGGACCCCTAGTCATATCAGCTTAGAAAACAGCACATTTTCATTTTCGGTCGATCTTGGTACACAATGTAAATACAGATATGTCAATCTTCAATCATTTTTTTTGGCTTAGTCCCTTATTTATCAGGGGTCGCCACAGTGGAATGAACTGCCAATTAGTCCGGCATACATTTCATGGAGCGGATGCCATTCCAGCCACAACCCATACACTCTCACATTAACTGTGGCCAATTTGAATTGTGGGGGAAACCAGAGCAGCCAGAGAAAACCCACGCCAACAAGAGGAGAACATGCAAACTCCACACAGAAATGCCAACTGGCCCAACCAGTGACCATCCTGATGGGAGGCAACAGTGCTAACCACCGAACCATTGTGCTGTCCAAGAGTTAATCTTTTAATAGAAAAATTCTAAACTCTTTAGTCATTTTAAAGTGAGATGCTACTGGTCTAATCTGATTCAATGAATTATGCTAAGCAAAGCTAAAAGTGCTCCTGCCAGATTGGATAATCGGCTGAATGGATTCAGAAATTGTAAGACTTAAATGTTTAACTCCAGGGGAGCCGTTAAATCAGCCTATTTAAAAAAAAATAGTGTTCCTTTATACTAAATCATTTGTGCATTTCACAATACACACACCCAGATAAACATTTAGCGTGGATCACAACAGAAGCACAATTTAGCATAAAAATCATTTTAAAACTTTATCAAACACTCGCTTTAGCTATAACATCATTATTATTACTATAATTGTTTTATCAACCATTAGAACGTCCCCCAAAACTACTTTATAGACTAATTTCAACTCATTTTGCAAAACATCTACAGTACCTCCAGGACCATGGAGTTGAACTCTTTGTCTTTGTACAGCTGTCTGGCACATGCTAATATAGTGGAGGTCTTTCCTGTTCCTGGAGGTCCATAGAAGAGCAGATGAGGCAGTCGGTCTTCACTGATGAACTTCTGGACTGAAGATAAAAAAAAAAGCACACATTTTTAAAAAATAAATAGGTATGTTCACACTTGTATTATAATTTAAGGTAATGAATGATACAAGTGGCAAATTTGTGAATAGATGCAATCACTTGGCAACGATGTGAGAGACAGGAGAATTAATTAGGCAACAGGATACACAAATACTATTTTGTTGCGCATTAGATGTAAATGAATAGGCATATATACAATATGGCATTAAATATACAGTAAATAGGCCTATATATAGCAGAACAATGTATTCAGTAGATTAACTGTGTAATCCATGCTGCTGTTTAGATCAAAGTATTACGAACTTCAAGATGAGCATTATTGGCATTTCACTACATGTGTGGACACACAATGGAATAAAATGTTGTCTTATTGTGTACATAATTAAACAATCTTAAAAATGAACACAACACTGGACTTGAGAGCTATTTTTCACCTATACATAACTGACATTCTGGAGCGGTAAACTGACTATCCCACCCAATAACTATACATGCACTGTAAATACTTTACTATATGCATAACCAAAGACAGACTATACAAGTATTTTACATAACAGAGCAATATTGTGCGAGATGTTGTGCAAAATAGGTATTTAAGGATGAAGAAAACAAGTAATGCAACATGATTTGTGATGCATTTACAAGTAAACAGTGTTTTCCTTATTGAATCCTTGTAAGATGGAGTTTAAGTAAAGTGTCTAGGTAGGGTTGCGCAAGTTCTTTCTTAAACTGGAATTTAAAGTCCACACTAGGGGCTTAGTAACTACTAGCTAGTTTGTAACTAAATTTGCTCTTACTTCGGTTGAACCACATGTTCTTAAGGCAAACCGTAGTTAGTAGATCGTAAGCTCTCCGTAAAGTCATGCGTTGTCGCATTGAATGACGTTATATCTAATACAAAGCATTTAAATCGTTAAACTGCTTTAAATTCAGCAACCAATGCATATATATATCAGGGTTCAACGCTAAGGATTTTTTCTACTGGCCCGATCGGACCAGTGGTTCCGATTTTTACTTGCCCTGGCAATATTTTCACTGGTCCTACCAAAAAAAAAAAAGTTAATAGCTATTTCGTAGCCACAAATTAAAAACAAAACGTGTCAAAATGTTTGTAATTCAAGAATTTAAATATTTTAAAAGTGTTAATAAATGTATGAGCAAAATTCAAAGTGTTTTGCAAACAAAAGTAGCAAAATGTGCAGATATTTTTTTGCTAAACATAAGATGGCTGAGCTGCCAAACTGACGGCAAACTGTACAAAACATCACTTAATTTTTTTTGTCGTGGTGTACCTTGTAAATGTCTGCTTCCAAGACGTTAGAAACAAATGTTTTCCTTTAGCATCATCACTTGATGTTGCCGCCTTGTTGCGGTCTCTTTGCTGTACTGGTTGTTATGAAAAAAATAACGTGCTCACATCCAATCAGATAAGAGGAAATGAGCATTTCAAGGTAGCATTTGAAGGCTTAAACACAAACTGTTTCTTGATTCTGACTGTTTTTGCACGCAATTAACAAATAGTCACAGGCAAATTAAACTTAAGTGACAGGACATCAGTGGCCCGATCGGGCCAGTAACGATCCTGTCTACTGTCCTGAGCATCTCACACGCTGGCCCCGGGCCATCGGGCAGTCCTTATTGTTGAGCCCTGCATATATATATATATATATATATATATATATATATATATATATATATATATATATATATATATATATATATATATATGACTGTCCTACGAAAATGAAATTATAAAATCACATTTTATGGCACATTAAATTACAGTCAGTCACTAATAACAGACGACACACATACCTGCATCGCAAGCCGTGAATGCACGCGAAATACGAAGTTATCAAAACAATAACCTTGGTTTTTTTTAAATATCCTACATATGAAAGAGAAAACAGCAGGAAGAAAAACTCGGTCATAAAGAAATTCTCGTTTTAATTGGTGGACACAATTAACACTAAAGACAAAAAATTAAACTCTTCTTTCACAAACCGAAACAAATTTGAGAATTGGGAGGAAATTATGGTTGTGAGTAGAGATAGAGCACTCTTAAATTATCACTAGCTCTTCAAACTAATCTCGCTGTCTCCTTTTTTTACAGTTACACATGGGGGGATGGTGCCGTAAATATTTAGTTGGAACGTATTGTTACGTTTAAACTAAAGTTCAGTGGTGCAACACAAAAATATTTAGTAATGTGTAAACAAATTGTAACGAAGTGTCCCTTTAAGTCACAACTAGGCTACATTTTAACTTACACACTGCTGGTGCAACCGGCCCCTGGTGCATATGGAGAAGAGAGTTTCTATCGGTGGTTTTTCAAATCCACTCACCTGTGCGAGGAACACTCAGAAATGCACAATGTTTTTTATAAAGATATGGAGTGATTGTAAGATACTGTTACCAGTATCTGTTACCAACTGGGTAACTGTAAGCGAAAAGCCCGGTATTAAAGTTTTGCCTGGATCAAGCTATGCCATTATTAACAGTGAAAAATAAAAGCACAAAAATCAAATGACAACACCATGCTTAAAATGGCTGCCATAATGCCACTTTTCTTGCTGCTTACTTGTGCTCAGGATGTCTTGGTGAGAGATGAGGTCGTCTAACGTCTGTGGTCTGTACTTTTCAACCCTGAAAAAAGAAAAAGCATTTTAAAAACATTTAGCAGTTTTTATGTTGTGTTTTTTGTGTTCCTTAGGATTAATGAAGTGATACGTTTTAAATGAACCAAAAAATCCTGTAAACATAATAATTTCTGAGTAATAATTTATCATTGATAATAAATCCTGTATTTAAATAATTTACCATAACCTAAAATGTACAACACAAAAAAATAAGCAGAATTGTTCTATATTTTTAAAATACTTAATATAAAGAAGCACAATTAATGACTGAGCATCAATAACTACTGATCATATTAGAGCAGCAACGTGACACTGGAAAATAAAAAAATAATAAATAATAATAATAATAATAAAAATAATAAAAATGACTCTTAAAATAAATGACATTTCAACATATATTCACACATACAAACTATATTTTGAACAGAAACAATTCACAATGTTTAATATATCATGCATGTTTGATTTTCTTCCTGTTCACAAAGAATACATTTAAATGTGAAGACTGAACTTGAATAAAGTTAGACAAAGTTTGTCTTTTAATTGCTTTAATTCTCCAGACAATGGTCAGTTTACACACAGACAGCATCTGTGAGCAAAAGGATCCCAAGCATGGGCTTACATGCGTTTTTAAAGACAATGTTACAATGTTTTAGATAAGAACTTCTCTACAGCTCCTTAACTCTTAAAAAACAGTAGATTACACATGGCTAAAATAGACTGAGGTAGAGTTGGTTTTATATTTGCACACTCGTTCAGTGACAACTTGTGACATGCTCGTTTACCATGGTACTTTGAATATTCAGTCTGAAATCACATGCAAATATGACTTCAAAACAACATTAGTACAATGTATTTGACTGTGAAAAATGATGTACTTTGATAGTCATTGGCTGCTAATTTAATTGAAATATTAAGAGTTTGCAAAGAATACTTTGTTTTGTGATATCACTAAGAAGAAAGTGTGAATGTGTAAATATAAAACCAACTTTACCTCAATCTTTAATATAGCCCAATGATTATAAAGCATTTGATCTTAACTTTAACAAAACCTTAATCAATTTATAAAATCAATATGTGATGATTAATATTAAAATTTTCCATCACACTAACATTTTCAAACATTATTTACCTTTTAAAACAAGCTTACAAACTACCACATATTAACATCCTGATATTATTATAAAAGCTACCAGCAAAAGTGCATAATATTAATAAAAAGTTATTATTATTGTTCAGACATAAGGACTTTTTCGTAAGGAACTGACAGATTTCCTTGACGATTAACGTTAGTCATGGATTTTCTTCAGCAATGACAAATGTCACGATAATTATAAATACACACCATTGCTATTGTATGATTACTCTAATAAACTCGAATCCATTGTCGTACATATTGCATAACGAACTAGGCTCTATTCCATGCTTGTTTTAATATTAATAAATTCACATTATCATATAGGATGATTAAGTGCACATGTAAACAAAGCAAAACTGCAATGTTGTACGTCGAGTAAATAAAAACGCCTCTTATTTCTATTATCTGCTGACAACTTAATATTGTAATTCATTCTACAAGAAGAAGAAATAAAGTTACCATGGTAAATTTCTCGCTTGAGGTTGTGTTTTACTTGTTGACGCCATGAGTTCTTATATTTTGGTCAATCCTCCGCGCGATGTGCCTTGGCGCGTTTTTCTGACTACACGCATATTTCCGTCCATGAACGTCACCAGCCAACAGATTTTTGACCAATCGAAAGAGCGCTTGTTAGTGAAGGCGGGATTAGCGAGGAAACACATTGCTGTGTTTTCATAATAAGAGTTTAAGAAGAGATAATTAAAGTCATTGGTTTTCTGCTGTGCCTACGGTGGTTTGGTAAGTAACCGAGAGTTTCACACAAAATTATATTGTACATAAAGCTTTTTCAGCGTTTTGGGGATTTTCGAATTAACTTTGGTTTATCATACCCATGTGTAACGTAATTTCAGTTTGTCTGAGAAGAGAAATATAATTAATTTATTAAGTATCGATTAATTATCAATTAATTAAGAGTCATTACAAATGAAGCCAATCATAAAATAAAGGTAACTCATTATATTTGAGGAAGTGATTATTTAACTAATTAGTTTAATATTTATTCAATTAATATTTTGTCTATCTGTCTTTGTTACTGCTGCAAAATCTTTACTGCTGTAATATCTTACATGGACTGACCATGGTTTTAGTTCAATAATGTGTGTGTGTGTGTGTGTGTGTGTGTGTGTGTGTGTGTGTATGTGTGTGTGTGTGTGTGTGTGTGTGTGTTTAATGTAGGTGATTTTTGCTTAGCTGAATATCCATCAGTCGACATAGGCTTGAATATTTAATTTTCGTCTTAAACTGTCATACACCTGAATGATTTGTACAGATTTAAGTTTGGTAATTTTTAAAAAAATGCATGACATATTATTGCAGTCGGGGGGTAAAAATGAAATGTAAATGTTTCAACACTATTTTAACATTTTCTAAGGAAATGTGTGTTTTTTAAAAAGATGTTTTACTATAAATATGTAAGACATGTCACAGGAAAAATATATCTAGACAAGTTATGCTTCAAATTTGAGGTCCATATCTCAAAAAATTAGCTTATATTAGGATTTTGTTTGGGAGCAGAACCAAGTGTACAAAATTAGTTAAATATTAATTCAAATTTGACTACTTTATTTGGGACCTGCAAAATTATCAAATCATACCCATCACTTTATTTATTATTATTATTATTATTATTATTATTATTATTATTATTATTATTATTATTATTATTTTGGTGTATTTTCATGTCATTAGGCAAAGCCTCTATCAAGTTTTGTAACATTCTGATAAAGTAAAAAAAATAATACAAAGCAATTAAAAACCAAATGTAAAATTTCTTACATTTTTAAGTTGAATCAAATACACTTAAAGGGATAGATCACTCCAAACTTCTATAAGTTTCTATATTCTGTTGAACACTAAAAATATTGTAAAGAAAGCTGAAAACATTTCAAAACATTGACTTTCATATTCATTCATTCATTTTCCTTCAGCATAGTCTCTTTTTTATCAGGTGTCACCACAGTGGAATGAACCACCAACTATTCAGCCATATGTTTTACACAGAACCGTAGCCGCAACCCATGGAAAATGACTTCCATATAGGAAAAACAAATACTATTGGAAGTCAATAGTTACAGTTTTCCAATCGTCTTCAAGATATATTATTTTGTTCCACACAAGTATGCAAAACAGGTTTGGAACAAGTGAATGGGGATGACAGAATTTTTATTTCATTTTGGCTAAGCTGTCCCTTTAACAATCATTATAATTTACATCAATTAAACTAAATTGAAACATTAAGTTAAAAAAAACGCTGAAATCTTATTAACAAACTGAAAAAGTCGCAAAACATTTGTTGTCATGACTTTTTGATCATACTGCACAGAGAAACTATTTTAAATATGCAACATAAAAAAAGCTTTTGGATATTATAGAATCATAATTTTATTTATTTATTTATTTATTTATTTATTTATTTGTCTAAGGGATGTCACACCTTACCCACAGCTTTTTAGCAACTAAGGTGATGCAGTATTTGGAAACGCAGTATATGACAGTATACTTTAAACTTATAAAAATGAGCAGCAGATTGATAAATAAATATATTTATTTAAAAATTATTTTATTGGTTATCTTGCGAGAAGTCATTAGATCACTCAAAAAAAAGTTGAGTTATTTATTAATACCTCAAGTAGTTGGGTTAAATACTTGGTGCTTTGTTGGGTTATTTTAAACCTTTATTAGGTCTTTAATTTAATAACTCAACCAGTTGGGTTAAAAAAAAATATCTTAACAGTCTACTGATTTAACTGACACAGACCAGCTGTATTAATCTGCATGCTTATTGTTGTTTTTGTGTTATAAAGTTTATCTAAGCTTAATGCAATAATATTGTTTTTTTTTTATTATCAAATTACCTCTCAATGTTGTGTTTTTTTCTATCCATTTTACCAACACTCTTATTGATGATACAAGCATGCGCTTCACAGCTGATATTAAACGGATGAAAGAACTTAAAATGTAATGGAAATACAGCAATTTCAATATTTGTGAAGTCTCTGTGTTGTTTATTTAGCCATAATTATAAAATTAATTGTAGTACTAGTGATAGTTGCAATAGTAATACCATGGAGAAAAATAACATTTAAATTATATAACCCAATGAGTTAAAATAACCCATTTGGGAAGGTGCTATAAAATTTTTAACCCATTTTAATTGATTTAATGTATTGGATCATGCAAATCCTCATTTTATTTATCTATGTATTTATTGAGGGACGTCGCACCTGACATACAGCCAGGGGCAGATTGAACCAATAAGCAAGGTAAGTGGCCCCTTGGGGCCCCAGGAAATCTGAGGGCACCCAAAATTAATACCTAGAAGTATAAATGATATCTATAAATTATATATAACATTGTTTTCTATCATATTTTGTATGGTGAGGGTATAAATTTGTTTTTATTAAATTTGCACAAATGTGTCCTCCACCTTCAATCATGGACTAGTCCAGCAGTCAAATCAGTAAAGATTTAGTTTTAAAAATGAAATTGTTCATTCATTATTTTTAGTTGTGAATTCATTAAAACAAAAAAAAAAAAACAACTAATTTCGAAAGTTTTACAAGGTGCTTTACATGCTGTTATTATTTTGCATTAAGATAGAATGTGGAAAAGGAGATTGAATTAAATAAAAAACTGCAAACTAATAATAAAAAGTAAATAAAATAAAAAACAAAAGGTGCATTTTACAACTTTTGGGCCCCATGGCTGGAATTGCTTAGGGTGCCAAAATCACAAATTCTGCCCCTGCCTATGACTTTTTAATAATGCATTTGGAAACGCGGAATACAGTACTTTTAAACTATACTTTCATAAAAGTGCAGTTGATAAAGCAGCGGATTGATTAAATAGATGTGAAAAAAGGTTGTCCGAGTTCAAACAGTGAGCTCACTGCATTGATGCTTATCTCGCGAGAACTCTCTCCCTGCCCGATGCGATGCTGATGCTGTTGCTGTGAATTTGATTGACGCGAACATGTCGGTGTGATGGGGGAGCGCCGGGATGCAGCCGATGATGCTCCACAAGGGGAAAACACGCAGTCAAACCAGGCGTTATCGTTAAGAAACATCACCAAACATTCTCCTAAATCACCCGTGGCAAAGATGTCTCAATTCGAGTTGCATTTCCCACGCGCGCAATGGATCTAGCTGATGCCACGGCAGCGAGGATCTGATTTTGATTTCCCCCCTCTCTCTTTCCTTCCTTCAGTATCAGTGAGTGTATTATGGTAGAGTCAAGTCGGAGCATCAAACATAAACTGTGCAACCCTGATGACAACACCGTCAGGATTTCAGGATATCAACAATGGAATCGCCTTACACGTAGAGTCTAGTTTTTTTTTTTCACGATCACACCACAAAACGCACCACAAAGTCTTTTCTGATCTGATTGAGAAGTAGGGGGAAAAGGGACCACTGCTCGCAAATTATGGACGAGGAGAATATGACCAAAAGCGAAGAGCATCATCTGAGTTTGCAAAAAGCCTTGCAGCAGTGCGAACTGGTGCAAAACATGATTGACATTAGTATCTCCAGCTTGGAAGGTCTGAGGACCAAATGTGCCACATCCAACGACTTGACACAAAAAGAAATCCGAACGCTGGAGGTAAGCGAGCATCCATTTGCCTGAGCCCAAATGTTGAATACTGAACCCCAGTCTGCTGCATTTCTACAAATGTCACGAGAGAGTGTGTGTGTGTGTGAGAGTGCGCGCGCGCGTGTGCATGCACGTTAAACAATTGTGCATCTTTAAATGTGCTTTAAATAAAAGTTGCATGTCGGGGATTGACTGTATTGGCGTAGTAAACGGAGAAGCTGGCGCTGCAGTGAGGGGCGCGAGCTCGCGCATTCTGCAGGTGGTGAAGAAGGTGCTCGTGCGCTCGCTCGCGCTGCTAACATGGACACCGAAAGGGCCTATTGTTGACATTAATTTATAGCCTCGCTTTTAAATCATCCGCGTCATTAAAACTGGAGGGTGGAAGATACAAACATGACATAGTTTTAATGTATGTTATGTAACAAAAGTTAACGTGCTAGATGTTTTCCTTTTGGTGATGGTGGCAGGATTTTGTGTAGGCTTACTATGGTCGTGGATCAGATGTGTTTGATGTAGAGCCGATATATGTAGAAATAAGGCTTTTATTATGCACGAAAGACAATTTTGGACTATGAGAATGACACATTTAGTTAGTGTTCTTCATTTAAGGCTCAAACTTGGTGTTGGGAAAAGATTTCGCTTATGATTTTTCCATTTCAATTTAAATTACTTTTGAGGTGGAAGTATTTTGATTAAAAAATAAATAAATTATATATATATATATATATATATATATATATATATATATATATATATATATATATATATATATATATATATATATGTATATGTGTGTGTATGTATGTATGTATTTAAAGCTTGTGCTTTCTTCAGTTATAGCCAAATGATGAGATCATTTCATATTTTAACAGAAACAAACAAAACAGCATCTAGAGTCGACAGAATTTAAATTCTTAAAATTCTATCAAACTCAAAATCTTTCA